AGGGTTTTTTTTTCTGTTTGTCCAATTCTTGTGAGAGTTCATGAAGCATACAATAAACGTATTCAAGCACGATGAGTGCTGGCTTGTAGTATAAAAACACAATAGGAATTAAAACTTAATGCGCAAGACATCAAATAGAAAGACCAACGAAAAGAAAATCCAGAATGCAGACATACAAATTCACTTAGTGTGAATGGGGCCCTTCTCATACTGTTATATCTGATAATAACAGTGTGACCGATTATTGCAGCTTAACAGGCTCTACATTCTCCCTTGTAATCAGATCCATTTGGGCGATTTCTGTTCTTATAGTTGTGCTAATTGCATTTTAATGAAACCCCATGAGCAGTGAGTTTCTGAGATTTCAGAACCTGAAGAAATTTCAAAGAACATTTCTCTGACCATTAACTGTGATAAAATCTATTTGTTTTCCCTTTGGAAATCTAAGAACATGCAAATGTACTGTACGCACATGGTCTGACCATGAAGCTACTTAACAAATCACAGTTATTTAGAAAATGAGCTGGAAATCATGCTACTTCAGTTGACAAATACACCAGCTTGTATTTAAAGAGTGTTGATATTTAAGCACATATTTAAGAGTTATTTACCTCTGAAAAAAAAACATTAGGTTCTTGGGTAAGGAGCTAAGCAACCAAACACTCTATTCATTCATTGTGGTGGAGTATCAAGAGAACATTTTCATGTAATTATATGTGCGAGATGTGTAAAAATCCTCAAAGATTCATTACTCTATATTTTCAGATGCTTTCTTATTTTGTTCCAGAAGATCAAAGCAATCATAAAATGCAACATTTATTCACAGTGCTTGAAAGGAGTGACTCGATGAACTTATTAACCTTTTCTATACAATATCTTGTCCCAAATTCTTTTTGAAGTTGGTTTCTTGGCTGTTTCCAGAAATTAATATCAGTGCAGCACATAGAAATCAGAGTAATTTATTTTCATTTTGTCTTTCCAAACGTTGGTAGGTACTGTAGTGAAGAGGAAATGACCAAATGATGTGAGTTTTACAGAAGAATGTCTGAGGATTATATAATGCTTTGTCTCTCTATAATCCTTCCTCCAGTGTCTCTCAGTGTGCAGTTTAGCACACTGAGGGAGCTGGGCTGTGTGGAACAAGGCAGAGGGCTCTGCTAGGTGGCCAGCACAGTTCAAGCCTTTCTGACAGGCACAGCGTGAAGGCATGCAGGTGCTTTGTGTAAACAAGCCTGTCTGCTGTATTACTTGGCTCAATACTCAAGGCCTAATCCTTCCTGAAACATTGGGAAAGTCTTTTCGCCACGCCTCGTTTCTCCCTGGCTAAAATGAATGTACTGTAATGAAAGGGTCCCCCATCATTCACGGCTTCAGTGAGTCCATCAGCTCAAAAGAAATGACAGAGCCATGGTTAGGACATGTTTCAGCTCAGAAAGGGCTGAATTAAATCAGTGCACTTTTTCTGCTGCAGTCTTTAAGATTGGTAATTCACCTTTTCTTGAATGTGTCATAGAGACTATTGGTAATTTTTTGGGGTTTGATTCGTAACTTGAAGGCTCCCGAAAATTTCCTCCCACACTAAAACCATCTCTTGAGAATTTCTGGTTGATTTCAAGTCTTTGAGATCTGCTGCCCGAACACCACAGCCCCTCACTGAGTTGAAGGCATCCTCAGTATTGAGGTTAACCAGGAGTGAACCAGTCTCAACAAGATTAAGCCAGATCAACACTTGCCCCTACTGTGCTAAATTACAATAGATAGAGACACGTGTTAGTTTTATGGATCTCGATGCTAGACCTGCCTTTCAGCTATTGAGAGGGAGGATGAGAGACTTGGTCACTGTTGTGCAAAGGCAGGAATGCGATGGCTGTTACAGGCAGTGAGGGGAAAGTAGTAAAAGCCGCCCTGACAAAGCCCCTTTAATCCCGGCCGCGAGTGATAAAAACACAAGCAAAGAAAGAGGGGAGGTGCACTCCTACCCATGTCTTGTGCACCACTGAGCAATGTTCATTTCTATCAGCAGTCGGTGAAGGGAACACCTTACAGAAAGAGTCCTGGTCTTTTCTGCTCAATTGCTGTTACAAATATTTTAACAATATAATTATGTCTTTTATGCCAACTTTATTGTAACGTGGGTAATAACCACGCAATGAGGGCGCTTCATTTTAATATCTATCCATTCTTTTTCCAACCGTTACCTCCCATTCAGGGCTGCTGGGGAGCCAGATCCTATCCCAGCAAGCAAAGGGCACAAGGCAATATACACCCTGCATGGGATGCCAATTCCATACCAGGGCAGATGCACCAACACAGCCAAGCATACATTCAGAGCTAGGGCCAATTTTCCCAGAAGCCAATTAACCTTTCACAGAATATTTTTGGACTGTGGGAGGGAAACAGGACACCCAGAAGAAACCCACATGAACATGGAGAGAACATCCAAGCTCCCAGGTACCACCCCAGGTCCGAAATTAAACCCAGGGCCCGAGTGCTGTGAGGCAGCAATGCTAATGACTGGACCAATGTGCTGGCCACTTTGTAATATCAGGCATAAAATGTTACAAATGAGAGTATGTCATTTGACCCATCTAGATGTCAATAACTGTCCAAAGCATCTCATTCAGCCATTTCTTGAAAGAAGGCAGGGCATCAGCTTGGACAACATGGCTGGGTAGCTTTCACCAGACTCTCACAACCCTTTGTATGTAGGAGTGCTTCCTGTTTTCAGATTTAAATGCATGTCCCATTGGTTTCCACTTGTATCCAGTTGTTTGTGTTTCGCTCCTGATTCTGAAACTTGACATAATTTTAACAAGCAGGTTCTCTTGTCTGATTTGTGTAATCTTCCACTTATCAGTGTCTACTGAGTAGGTGGGAAAACATCCTGAATAGATTAAAACTGTAGATTGTGTGAGTGGCATAGGAATCACTGAATTGAAAAACGTGACATATTTTGTTTGCTGTGATTTTGTGGCTTTTGTATAGCTAATACAGCTGCGAAAAACATCATAATAGGCTGCCTCTCTGATTGTTAGAAATGTCTAAATCAAGTGTCAGAATAACTTCCTCAGTGAAAGAACCCCTATCCCATTTCCAAGCAAAAGAATGTCTTTGAAGTTTATAGTTTGTACATTAATCTTACAATCATTGCTGGTTAATTTACCTCACAGTAGCTGCTCATTATTCCTGTTTTCATTTCTGGACGTATTTGTTCAAAGTCAAGACTGCTGCCTACTGTGTGGAACAATCTGAAATATTAGTATGAACCTTACATCACCATACTGTATGTATGTGGTCCTCTTCAAATGAGAAACATGAGCTCTGTAGTTCAGGACCAAATTCCATGATTTTTTGTGCTGCATAAACATTTCAGTGTGAGAAAGTCAAGAGAAAGTCAAAACCTGTTGCAGATGTTGCCAATTCAGTCTTTGTACCTTTGTTATTATCATCATATTAGGTTTACACACAATATGCAATTAAGTAAGGATTATACTGTTTAGCACTACAAATGTGTGATTTCTGTGAAAAAATAGATAACCTGTTTCAGGCCTGGTTGGTATGAGGCACATTGTCATGAAAATACAAGTATGAGGCACGTTATCAAGAAATACACAATTGTGTTGTTTATAGATGTATTTCTTTCACATTGAGTGGATTAAGACTCTGCGTGTTCTTTCATTCTCCTTTTCTATACTAAAACAAGCATCAAAGGAAAACAGTCCAATATGAAAGGTCATTGTTGGTAAATTTCTGCTGCTTAGATTGTTCAGATTGTTTCTACAGTGTAATCTTCTGCTTAAGCACTTTTTGATCATATGCTAACAAGGTAAGTGTTCATTCCAAATGCTGAAGTGCCATTTATGGAACATGGAACAGTTCGAGATGATTTAGTCCTCTGGAAATCTGGTGGAAAGAAAAGCTACATTTATTCCCTTCCTTGAGAGGCAGCAGCAAGTATAAGAATGCTTGTTATAATTAAAGACCTGAATAAGATAAAGTACAAATGGGGAGAGAGCATCAGAAAAATTCCAGCACATTGACAATCCTCCTCCCAGCACCAAGAAGACAGAATGTTTCCACAGTGGAGAAAAACAGACCAACTCACTGGGATTTTGAGGAAAAGGAAAGGGGGGAGGTTGTTATCGCCATGGAAAAAAGAAGCCTTCTGGACTTGCTTTACCAGGCAGTCTCACTAGACTATGTTCCTTGTTATAATACACACTGTACACAAAGGAAGTAGTTCTTGTAGCGTACCCACATCTGCCTATTAAAATCAATTGTACATTTCAATACAGAAATACAGAAAACACACAAAAATACATTCTTGCAGCATCACATATTTAGGTTTATTTTTAGATAATAGCTCATTTCTTTATAAGTTATTGAACTGTGGTCACTCTTAAAAGGGCTATTGTGTGTTATTACTGGCTATATATTTGTAAAGAATCTCTGATGTCCTATTGTAACCTGAAAGTCTTCTGTTGCTCCGTTGCTCATCAGAGGATTGAAAATACCCCATGCAAAAACCATCTGTGGGAAAGGAGGAGCATGGTTGCAGCAGTAATCAGTGAGAGTATGGAAGACTCTGGTCAGGAAGCACCGCACAGTACTGGAGATCCCAGCACTGGTAACACCCTGGACCATGAATGGAGGTTAACTGATTGAGATCCAGTCACAATCAATAATCACAGTCAACTGGCCCAAAGAGAGCAATAGCAAAGAATGGCAATAACTAGATGAAGACACAGCAGAGTACTTGACACAGCTCTAGAAGGGACAGTAGAACAGAAAGCTGATACTCTTAGAGCAATAACACATAACTTGGCAAAGGAGCGTCTTGGAACGGAAGTAACGAATGGTATCATTGGAGTGGAAGCCAATGAACAGAAGGGAGAGAGACTTTCAAAGGAGAGTAATGGTAGAGGAAAAAGTGAGCAATCTGGGGGAGGAGGGCCAAAGGTCCAGATCAGTGGAGTTGGGATCACAGGGATCATGGACAAAGTGGAATCTTCCTGAAAGAATATTCACCTGGACAAAAGTGGAGGTGGAGTTTGGAGGCCTTCTGTATCTCTTTCCTGCTGAGGGCAGTCAAGGATACCCTCCCATCAGCAACATGAGGGTGGACCTTGGAGGAAAGCTGCAGTTTCCTGAGGTTGTTCAAAGACCAGACATGGTCCTCAGAGGCAAAAAAGATCATCCTCACTGGGGTGACAGTGCCATGGGAGGAAGGATGCGAAAAGGCCTTTAAGAGGAAAAGTGAAGATTTGGTACTAGACTGCAGAGGAAAAGGGGTGGCAGATGTAGTTGTTCCCAGTGGAGGTTGGGTGTAGAGGGATCTGCACAAAATCAGTGCGAAGAGAGCTAAAAGCTGTGGCGCTCACTGGGAGGGGAGGGAGAGAAAGACAGCAGCCCAAAGCCTGGGAGAGGCAGTGGAGACAGCCTCATGCTGGCTCTGGAACAGGAGGAAGAAGTAAAGCTGGAGGCTGGGAGGAGATGGGCAGTGACTGGCTATCACTGCTGACCTGCCAGCAGGAGGGTGTTATGGATAAGGATATAGATAAAGGTGAAAAAGCCTGACGAAAGCTTGGTTCCACCTGATGACATCAATTACTGGCCAACAGTAATAATCCATGTAAGTACTGACTAAGGTGATCATCAGTAGATGTACTGTATATAAGAAGTGGGAATATCTCATTTGTTGTTTGGAGACTATGGAGAATGGGAAGCAGAATGCGTGTATGTTTTTGGGTCCAGTGCTTCTGATTGCTGATTGCTATCAGCATGCCGGCCCTCCTCCAAGCACAGCAGCATAGTTGCAGGTTTAGGGCTGTGGAGCATAATCTGATATCCTATGTCCTATACTGTACATTTATTTTTTTCTGGGAGCATGCCGATACAGTAGGTTATACAGTAGAAATATTCCCGCAAAAACCTGTCGAGTAGTCATTTACCCAGTGCCCTTTTCTGTGATGCATTCTTGCAAATAAGTCAAGGTTGTTCAATGACACATTGCTGCTTTGCACAGGATATTATAGCTGCTTTAACCAAATGTGTGCAAAACTGTGCAAACTGTGAAATTATTAAAGAGCCCTAGGCCTGATATACTGGACACTTTTCTCCAAGAAACATAGAAATGAACTACATTTTGAAATATAGCTTCTAACCTGCTCTGTGTAAGTTCAGTTATATTCCCTCCAGTTGTATTTTTCATATTATGAGTTAAATGGCATCAAATCAATCAGCTCTATAGATTTCCTTCTTTGTCTCATTAAACATCAGATTTTCTGCTCCTGTAACTAAAGAAAGACAAATAAAGACTGAAGTGGCTATGACGTGTAAATGGAATGCATTTTTCTTCACTTACATGAAACTATATCCTGTGCTTTTGTGAGAAAACTGCACAGAAAAGACATGTACATGATGCCGCAAGAGGAAAAACAGTGGAGATTATTAAAAATAAGATTTAGTGCCTTATTTAAGGCATAATTGATACTTTAGCTTGTGTGGTGATACTATATTTCAACCACAGAACACCTACAGCCTGTTATTAAAGATTGTAGGCACAAAGTCATCAGTGTATAATGAAATAGCAGTTCCAAAGGCAGTGGAAATGGTTTATTCAGCTCCTTTTGCAGCCTGGATGATAACGTAAACAGTAGTTCTGCTTGTGATACCATTTCAACCTACAATCATCAACTGCTTTACAGGGAAAACCTACAAGAGGGGGTACATGACAGAAGGCAATATCAACAAACTGAGCAAATCCATTGCATATTACTTCATTTCCTCATGTTAAACTGCATAATTAGGGCAAACTGGATAAAAGACCTCGGTTCATAAAGGAGGGAGTGAGTTAATCATATGAAATGAGAGGCTGTTGCTTTTCTATCCTGCATGTTAACAGTCATAATAAAATACAAAAACATTTTTTAAGGACCAGCACATGGGTTTAATTTGGATGTCTCCAGATGAAAATCAAGGACCATACTGAAATAATTTTTAAGGCTGATTTTGCATTAACAACCCCCCCCCAAACACACATTTTATTAAGGTTACATATTAGGATGAGGCTTGTGGAGGATAAGCTGGCAACTAATGAGTTTCGACCCACTATTTCTGCAGATGTAGGCGGGTGGTACCCACACCTGTAACACAGTTTCCCTGAGAGTCGGAACCCTTCTCCAAGGAATTCGAGCTTCTCTGTTATTCTCAGACGCCACACTGAAAGGAGGTTTGTTTCCCCAGTAACATGTCCTCTGCTTCTTGCCAAAATTCTGCTCTGGATCTCTTTGAAAGACCGGCCATGTCAGCAGGTCTGGGGACATTAGCATACCAGCCTTGATGTTCATGGAGAGCGATAGCAGAGCGAAGAAAGATCTGCCTGTCTCTTTCTTCAGGGTTCTCTTTCAGCTTTCTGTGAGACAAATCCTCTGACTGTGAGGCAGTTTTGTTTCTCTTGATGGTATCTTTGAGGAAATAATGATGTCTTCCCCAGGATACTAAGCAACCGTAAACACATGTTGAGGAAAGATATGAGAGTTCATATTAAACAGCTTGAAATGTTAAACTTTTACTATAGGGAGAAAGCATCTACAGTGTGGTGCACTAATGAATCAGTATATTAAGTGAGAAAATACAACATTTACACAGCTACAGTCATTCTTGTATAAGTCTAAGTGATCTAAAGATCATGGTAAAAACATTTTTGTCATACCATAGGTATAATAAGGATCTGTTCTAAAGTACCTGAAAATGTATTATTTCAGCATTTGACAGAACAATAGTATACATAGTGAAAATGTATATTTTACTCTGGTTGCTTGTGTCACATATGGTTATATTTAGAAATCCTACTACTATTACTTTTAGATTTGGTTATTTATAAGTTATGAACATTATGCAATAGAATATAGCTTATTTTGTTTGGTTTGTGGCGTGCAAATTTGCCCTTTTTGTCAGATCGTAAACCTCTTCTTTCTTCTTTTGTCTCATGTGCTGCTGTAAATGGTGGCCAAGCTGCACAATTACAGACAGGAATTGAAAGACACACTACAGTACCTGGATTATCATCAATTTACAGACGAACTCTTGCGTTTGTTGTTCAAGTTAGTGAATTCCCATTTACTCTAAAGCGCCTGTACCTGAGTACGAATCTTGAACTGCTTTAAGGTTCCTCTTTAATTATGGTGCAAGCGTAACAGCTAATTGAAATGTGTCTCTTAATGCCTTAACACAGTGAGACACAAGAGCATAATGTCTGGCAATTTGACACACCTTATGCCAATAAAAACACTGCACAGCTTTCTTTCCATTTTTCAAGTGACTGTTTATTCTTTCATTGTTTCAGGTTTTTGTTTTCTGCTCTTGACTTTTTGCCTGATATGGGGAAGTCACTTCATACAAGTTTCTGTCCTCATAATAATCCTTTGTGCATGCTGACACAAGTCGAAAAAAGACTTTTCTGTTCCCATCCAAATTGCCTTGTGAAAAGGTCCTGTTCAACCCAATCGCTTTTGTAATCTAATACAAATAAAATAAGATGAATATGCTAAAATAGCAATCCTAAGGAATATTATCATGTTAAAACCAGCTATCAAGCAAATATTAAAATGGTATTTTGTCTTTGTGTCAAAATGTTGGCATGCGTCTCCTGTTTCCAGGCTCTTCCATTGCAGTTGTCATAATTCATCTCTCTTAATCAACATTTTAACTTGAAGCATGTGCAAATATGGCCTGTGCTCTGGATCTTTGTGCCTTCCTGATATTAATAAAGCCTCAATCATAAATTGTAGCAAATTATTTGTGGACAACTGGAAATACTGAATCCATTTTGATGCTGGCAGAGGGATAAAGAAGGCCTTAGATTTGGGGAAATTAATGGGAACTTCCACAAAATCCTTTTTTTTAGCCAAACAAATACAGTAACTTGCACTTAAATCAAAGAATGCATTTCCAGCGTTGTGTGATCGTTAGTGCAATCTATTTGAATGGTGTGAGTTATTCAGTGGGATGTGGTGGGAGTCCGTTATGGAAAGATGAAAAGGGATGTGACGAATTGTTGAAGAGAAAGAGGCTAGACTGCCTCCAGTCCCCTCTGAAGCTCCACCAAGCCACTGTGGTGGAGCTGATAAATCATCCCCAATATCTGCACTTCATTAAGATCACTTGATAGAAATAAAGGGATTTTTTTTCTGAACATGACTCATAGCAGAAGGATTCAAAGGCTGTTTATGGCTTTATCCATAGGTAATAAAACTTTGCAGACTTTAATTCCTCAAAAGCTTTAAAGACACAGTTATTTCAATTCCAAAAAAATATTTTATTAATTTAATTACAGCATTCTCCCTAGGCCAATGTATGTATGAATCATTTTGTGAAAATAATAGTACAAAACTGGATTTCCTACCCCATGCTTGTCTTTTTATATTATTATAATGATACAACTCCACATTAAAAGCATAAAAACTATATTTGTTTCCTCTTCAGCATGTGATAATCCTGATTTGTGTTAAATTCGAGCCCCTTTCTTTCAGCAAGAGGAAGCGTCGGTGTTATAAAGGCTGGGGTGTTTTAATTAGTCTGGACATTTCAGGACTAGGCTTGCTTTACAGAGAGTCTTTAAGGGCAACCACTACACAAAGAAATCTGCTCCATGAAAAGATCACGTAAAAGTAAAGCTGAATGAGCATCTTGGGGAAAAAGAAAGAATAGTTACAGGAAAGAAACGTGAAAAAAAAACACAGATGGGAATCCGTGGCACAGAAAACTCTTTAATGGGGTTAACAGAATCAAAGGGATGTGTGCAGCGTGTAGTTAAACCTCGGACCCCCGAGAATTTCCCTGGCATGTTCCTTTAAAACAAAATGTTCGAATCTCCTAGGCGTTGGCCCTGCTGTGTGTTTTTTCTTTCTAACTGTTCTGAACTATTTGTCTTTTTACTACATTTTTGGCTCCTTAATATACTAAGTGGGTTATCAGACACTAATCAGTTATTCAGTTCTTTATCTGTTGTAAGTCCAGATGGAATTTCACTACCTGACTCCCACTGTCTGTGATTAATACACCGAAAACTATACTGAAAAAAAGACATTCCCAATTTGTGATTAGACTGTGAAAGAAATTAGAAGAGGAGAAAACAGTTAATCTTCTTTACAAAATTACCATCAGTAAACTGATTTTGAAGTGCACAATTTTGGTGAAGATTGCATGGGATCAGAATCACAAATGCTATATGCGGTTTAGTAAGATCAGGCTTGTGGAATGACTGTAGGCCTGTGGTTTAGGGGATTAGTAAGTGTCCAAAGCTCTTGGCTATTGGAGCATGGGTGACTTCTTTAGGGAGAGGCTGCAATGGCCTCAGGATGACCTGCAAGGATTTTCCCAATGCTTGGAGGCACCTTCCATGCCGCCAACCCCAAAATTGCTGGCCGTCCTCTTTCAGCTGACAGTGCACTACGATTCAGATGAACACTCAGCCAAGAACAAGAGGAGGGAAAAAAAAGTGGAAAGAGTGTGTCTGAGTCACTGTGGTTCAGGGTGGAGAACACTCCAGAGACAAAGGTTTAATTTTTTTCTCTTTCTTTAATCCCAATTTCCTCACTGCCTTCTTGTTGTTTTTCATCTTCACTTCAAACCCCATTTCAACAATTTCAAAAACTCAATCATCACGGCATTATATACACTGAGGTTTCATCCAAAGTGCTCCTACCAGCACTTTTTTTTTATCAGGAGACAGATATACTGTACAGACAAAGTCAAGGGGTCAGCTAAAAAGCAATATTACAGTGAAAAAATGGTGGGAGAGCTGCATGAGGGGCCCAGGTTCCATGTATAATCTTGGTTTATTTACAGGAATATCGTTCTTCCTCAAAAAAAGAATGCAGATCAAGGGCAGGAAAATCACGAGACTTGTGGTCTACAAGGCTAGAAGGTAGATGTGATAATCCTCACACCTGCATTGTCACAGTATTAATTCTACTGTATTTTTCTGGCAACAACATAAGCCATGTCCACAGATTGCCTTTTGTGTCAAAATATTTTTTAGTGATGGTTTTACTTGGTACAGATGGTTACCACAACATATGCACACAGCTGCAATTTTATCAACACTTTTTTTTCCAGGTTGTTATAGGGTAAGGAATTGTTGTTGTAAATTTATTGTTTTATACTCTCATTTGTTTTTTTCTTCTTGTTTTCCCTTTAGTCCTTTCTTCATTTGTAGAAATGCAGTCTGCACAGAGAAAGCATTCACCACTATGCTAACATTTGAAGTCTTACTGTGATTTTCCACAATTCCAGACAGTACCTCTGACCTTCATTTTGTTTAGTCACCATGACAAGTACAATTACTGTATATCACTACCTTTTTCAGGAAGTAAATCCATTTACTGCAGTTAGAGCTTGCCTTGAGGGGTATATGCCTTTGCACTAATTTTTTAAACAAAATAATTATTTCTGTTTTCATTCTAGCTGTAGCCAAGGGGTGTCTATGCCCTGCAGGCTAGACAGGTGTCATTGTTCAAATAAATATCCTCTGACAACGTGAATTAACCTGTGACACATATTTAAGTCATGCGATCTAAAAGGGTGTTGTTTTAAAACATTGGATGAGAGCAATCACAGGAAAGTTGCAGATAAGTCCCTTTATCTATGCATTAAATTTAATTGAAAGCACCCTATTAAAAGATAACCTTTGCATTTTGCTTATAATATGTAACAAGGTACTCGTGTAAAGGCCCATCAATTTTTTCTTATGCAAGATAGGATCCCATATTACAATATTATTTTTACTCTCATTTTTATTTTTAGCTTTAAAATTGAAATTTGTCTTGGTAAGAACTATTAAAAAATATACATGCCTGGATTACAGGGCAATTCTTTCTGTAATCCAGTCAATAAAAAAACATTCTATTCCACATTGCAATGATGGCATCGTCACTGAGAACCAGGAATAATGTTTGGTTCTAAATGATCTGCAGTAATTGTTTTCTTAATTTTTGTAAAATAATCCAAAAGTGTCCATGAATCTTTGCCTTGTTGAACACCAGCTGGTAGCAGTATTCCGTTTGGTTCAAACGATGCTGCTTTTCACAGTTTCCTTTTTAGGGCACCAAGATAAATCCCTAAAACAATGGTCAGCACAACAGGAAGTCATTTCTTAGACTGCTGTGACACTGCCAGTGGGATAGAAAAAAGGTGTACACCAGCAATTCATAGGAGCAAGGTGCAGACTGCTGAGATGTACAAGGAGCACAAGCTAACTCTTACACCCAAAGAAGGCTCCACAGCCGAAACGTTGTGTTTCCTTTCATCTCTTTTCAGCATGGAATAAACCTTTACTTGTTCCTTTGTAACCTACACATGCTGACACAGCTACCCACCCGAACTACAAGCTAACTCTTACTGGTATGGATCATAAACGGCCCTACATTGATGTCACAGGTATTCTGTCTTTGGAACTAATTAAAACTTTCCGTACACTGCTAGACAAGCTCCCCTCATCTCCAACATGATTCAGGAAAGGATATGTTGTTATTTTAGTAGAAATGTCTCAGGCCAATTCAGACAATGACATCTTGTCTGCTGTACCCAGAACGCAAGCTTTAAACTTGTTGGAAATAATTGCAACACAGCAACATGCCAGTGCCTGTCAAGGAGTTACATGACGGTTTGCTGTGTAGCTATTGTTGTTCATTCGCTTGAGGAAGAGATGTGTTTATTTTATTAATTGCAGAAGATGCCGTGGGAACAGCAATCAGAGCCAGGCCAGTGGTTGCACAGGTTCACCTGGCTTCGTGCAGAGCTGTCTTGTGGACATCATGGCACAGTGCTCCTCTCCTGAGCTCCGGAGACGCCCCTGTCTGCTGGCAATTGTGCTGTTAGAACAGGGTCACGCAGGGTAACACAAATGGCTTATACAGTATATGACAGAACTATAGAAGAAAACAATATTTCAGTTTTCTAATAATTGACCCATGATCTGAGACAGATTTCTATCTAACAAGGAAAGCCTTTCAGAGTTATGATGTTTCGAGAGCAAGTAGAAGGATACATTAATCACAGGATAATATTAATTAGGTCTAACCATTTCACAATACTAGTTAACCAAACAGCCTAAAGTAATGTCTAATCCTACATTGTGTTAATCTATCTCCCTAACTCTGTTTATGTGTTTGATTACATACAAAAACACTAAAGCAGGAGAAAATTCACTTTACTTTGTTTAGTTCTTGTATATGCTCCAATCAATTAAAGCCACTTCCACAGTCAGAATAGGTTTCCTTTTTACTTTTCATTTTGGACCTTCTTTACTTGTTTCTTTGCAGCTCTGACAGTGGGACAATTCTCTGACGTGAAGTGTTCTCATGGGAGAAAACTAAGCACAGGTACAACATTGTGAGAATTGGAAGATTAAAGAACCATACAGTCTGATTTGCCTCGAATCCCAGAATACCTACACAGCACTAGAATTTGTCATTATTATTTGGATTCTCTTGCTGTAAAGGGAAGTGAAGTGAATTTTTGGAAAGAGGAACCAAACATTAAAGAATAAAGCTGTTCAGAGCTCGTGTATCACCTGGATGTTATAATAACATACAATTATTATTGTTTTTAATATTATTATACATAATGTCTAGATGCTGGAATTTTTCATAATGTATTTTCAGGGTTTTAGCTATGCCCTCAAGATTTTTTATGCAAATGAAAAGTAATATATAAGACAAACAACCGTTTTGAAAACTGTTAAAAATAGGGGGGAAAATTGTTTACAATGCATCTTGCAGATTATAGGTGGAATTACTTAGTTCAATATGGGAACTTTTTTTTTCAGTGAAATTCAGTGCTAATTCAATTTGGCTTCAAGAGTAGTAGCGAGTGAATACAAATTAAGTTCAAATCCTTGTCAAGTGATGTTGTAACATCAGCTGCGTTCTTCACTGGTAACACTCAATTAAATGAATTTTATTCATTTAATTTACATTGATGCTGGACTGGAGTTGGAAGGAGACTGGAAGTGAGTCAGGAATTACAACCCATTATGTTTGTTTTATAGTACTTTATCTGTCTAATCAGGGGACTGGGCTCCAGGATTACAATCTTTCTTGGTAATTCTTGTAATTAATCAATAAACAGAATATAGCACAAATCATTTGTCCATACACTCAGTGTGGATTGTTAAACACTTTTCCCAAAAACCAAATAAAAAGGAGGAAAATGGGGGAATGAATCATAATGTATAGCAGAAAAGCCAGGATTTACAAAAAAGGAAAAAATAACGATCTTCAGAAGAGTTCTGGATTTGACTTTTCTTGCAATGATCACTGGAACTTATATTTATTATTAGTTTATTATTGTATATTATTGCTGAGTTTCAAGATCGTCATGGTGAGGACAGTGAAAAAAACATATAGTTCTGCAAAGAAGGTGGCACTCATTGCCATTGTTGTAAAGAAGGTATAATTTAGAGTAATGGAAAGGTTTCAATTTTAAAAGAAAGCTCCAGAGAATTGTTCTAAATTAGAAAGCTTTCGTGTAATCCATTCCATTGTAATAGGATGCTTGTATGGTTTTAGAGTTCATAGACTAGCACCTATGAGAAGAAACCCCTTTCTTAATTGCCTCTTTCATTTAATAATACAACCCTCGGAAGAAAACAGCAGAGTTCTCACTAATTAAGCAGTAATGTGAAAGCATTTGGACATAGAGTATTTGCAGGTTGTGATCTGGGGTTTACCACTTCAGAGAACACAAGGACATGCCTGTGATGTCATTCAAGAGTTCTTTCATTTCACCATGAGTCTCTCCTCCTTTTGTCAGTGTTACAAGATGGCCCTCCTTAAAAATGTCTGTACAGAAGAGAAACAGTACAGTTTAGTGGATAAAAGTACCTAAAAGTACCTCACGAAGGTACTTTTCACCATGAGAGGATCTTTTTTTTCTGATCTGAAGACCATTATTGAATTCCCATTCGTTTTAAATATACAATAAAAATGAGATCTGTAAGTATTATATATAATGCTACATAACTTAGTTGTGTCACAATAGTTTAGGGATTTGGACTTGTAACCGGATGATTGTCGGTTAAAATCTTACGTAAGGCAGTCCTATTGTACCCTTGAGCAAGGTGCATCACTCTGTTAGCTCCTGTAAAATACCTAGCTATATCAATAGGCACAAACGTAGGTTGCTTTGGATAAAGGTGTCAGCCAAATAAGAGTTCACTAGGGACAACATCCAAGGGCTGAATGGTTGTGAATGGTTGGAATACTTGGTGAGAAAAGTTTGGCTGAACATGCTTGGTCAATGGGTAGCCTCCTGGCCATCTGATGAGAAGGGTCGATCACCATTCAGACAGAGAGAACGAAGGGGCAGCTGGCAGGTGAAAATGAGGTGGAAGAGAGATGCTATAACAAATGTGAAGGGAAGTGCTATCAGAGCAGATCTACTGGTAGAATGTTGGTTTTACGGAATGCTGGGCCCACAGGGGACATGGACACCACATTGAAAGCTCTTGTTCTACAGGGGCTTTGACGATGGGGTTTCAATCTGCAAATACTGTACTTGCCTCTCATTAAGATCCAGTTCTTCTACGTAAATAATCAGAGAACATGAAAAACATGTTCCACATGTGGTAGTTCTCCCTGTTTTGATTATTCAAATAACACTGAATTGAATTATGGGAATACTGTACACCCAGTAAAACATCCAGAAGATTTTCAGCCTCGCTATACTCTGACAAATAAATGGTTAAGCATTTTTATTTTCCAGAAATAATCTATTCATGTTTAACACATCTGCAATTTTAGATATCTTTGGTTTGTGGTTAGTAACTAAAACTGTTTTGCTTACATGTTTGTCTATTTAGTGCTGCAACTAGTGGCTTTCTGAAACTGATATATTTTGTGATGAAAGTCACTTTAATTACTGTGAAGCAAAGCTCAAGGCAGATTCATGATCGCTATTGTGGCAGTCATGAAAAGCATAAAAATGACATAAATGCTTTGATGGTAAATGACAGGAACCTAGTCTAAGAGTTTATATGTGTGAGACCTTTTTTCTCCCTAATTTTCTGTCCCCTGACCAAACTGTTCAGTTTGTTTTACTTTATATCTCTGTGTGTTATTTTTTTCTGATTTAAATAACTATTATCCATATTCTTGCATTAATCATTTAAAGAGTAGTTAATCATATGAAACCAAGCAAGAGGCATCTGTGATAGATTGCTTTGAGAATATAGCTATTGTAATATTCCATTGTAATACTCATCTGATATTCTGTTAACTAATAATATTTTCTTGTTGTCATCATTTACACATTATGTACAATATTAAAACTGATTTTTGATGCACAGACACTTGTATACTTGTTCCCAATTCTGTTGCCTTCATGACAACATAACAACATAAGATAAATGTTCTAAATATTTTAAATTTAATTCAAGGTTTTATTGCATTGAATTGGCATAGTCAGAGTACACACTAAGTTTCAACACCATTGCTTATGTGCAATATTTCATTACTCAATACAAAAGATAAAGGATTCATTTATATTAGAGCTGTATTGGATGTATTGGATTATTGGTATTGGATATAAAAAAATCATCCTTACTAAAGATGGCAAATAAATCAGAGACAAAAACTGCAGTTGATGTAAATAATCTGAAATTTACTTTCACCTTTCCTCCATTCCTCACCCCACACTTTGCCTTACATTTCCTCTCTCTCTCCTCCAAACACCTGGAGAGACTCCACAGCTTAAAAACTGTTTTTTTTTTCTTACTTTTCAATGTGGAATAAATCACTGCTTGATTTTGTTTTTCAGCTCACACACTGATGCAGTGCCTTGCTCAATCTGATATTTCTGCCGTGTCATTTAATACTGTATATGTATCAGTTTGATTTTATTTTCCCTGCCAGTTAAAATATGGTCGGACACTGTGAAATGGAAATATCCTTGAAAAGCTTGAAAAGTCAGAACATGTTAAAGCTGCACAGAGCTACAGGGACTGCAGAGCCTGAGGCAGTCATGATTCGATGAAGAGCATGCAGGTGATCTAAACCCACAAGGATTGCACAAGTCACAAGGGGACTGACAATGTAATCAGATGAACCAGAAGCACTTCAGGACAGTGAGTCAGTGACAACACTGCTGACTCTGTCAGCATGACAGACCTTACAGCTTTAAAATCAGTGCTTTAGTTTTTACACCTGAAATTATGGGAGCTGTCAAGACAATGTGTTAATGGATTCTGTGATATAAAAAAATCACCCCTTCAGAGTTTTTTATGATCCTTTTTATGACGTAATTTAAAAAAACTGATAATACAATTTGAGTTATGGGTGGTTTAAGCAAAAGGTATCCAAAAACGCACAATGTTACTTATACAGTACATTTGCTTTTGAGTCAATACACACTTCATTCTAACTTTTGGCTTTAAACTCACAATACAGCCCGTGACACCATATAAAGGTCCAATAGATAATACTTTTAAAATGAATTAGAAGCTTTGGACAGGCAATAATTCATGAATTATGACAATGTAATCAGCAGGAAAGGCCATCAGCTCCTGAAGGCCTTTATGCCTGGAAGAGACTACAATCAGGCTGTCCACCCCTCACAGCTGTCTCTCTGCAGTCAGGACATTTCACTTTGCTATAAAGCAAACACTGCAAACCAATTAATGCTTTTCTCAGAAATTTAGCAATCATGACCCTGAAACAGAACTGACCGTTGTCTATGCAAGACTTAGTGTCTCAAAAGCCAACAAAAAAACAAACCAAATATACAAAGGGAATAACACTTTTTTTATTTAGAATTTGTATTACTGTAAAACATATAAATATTTTTTAACTTTGCCTTTCTTATACCTAAGGTATTAAGACCTATTATCATAATCATCATCACTACAATAATAATAATAATAATAATAATAATAATAATAATAATAATAATAATAATTTTATGGTTATCAAGAACGTATGGTTATACTGAACTTAAATGTTCCTGGTCCAAAGTTTGTTTGGTTTGTTTCACAACACATTCAAAATGAAATGTTTTCAGACTCCAGTGAAGAATACCAATCCTCATTGAGAAATCATTCATTTTAAAAAGTCATGCTTATCCCTGGATGTCTGCTTTTCAAAACAATGCTCTGAAGGCTTCTCTTTACTTGTTAAAAATGTAAATCGTCATACTTTTATTTCTTTTATTTCTTACTTGAGAACATTCGTGATCATTCCATGAATATTACAGAGACATTTGGTTGAATGAGTCTAATTTCACTTTAAGTAGGAAACTATGCATCATGTCCTGATAGGCTGATAAAAATGGCAAGCAATTTATTGGATTTGAAATAGTGCCAGGTATTGTACTATTCAATAAATTATAGTAATTGCTGTCTTACTTTGCATCAATAAAATAGTAAAGAAAAATAGCTCATAGGTGGCAGTAATTATAAGTTATCTAAGTGCGTGTTACAGCATTTTTAATCAGTGTTAATAACATTTAATTACTGTGGTGTTGCAAGTTTCTAAATTGTTCGCTTAGTCTGCCCCTGGGAGGAGAGAAGATTAAAAGGCAGGCACGATTCCAGCGGGCAAAGTCAAACTAGGGCAAGAAGAAAGGCATGGAACAATAGCAAGGATCAGCAAATAGAACTGTTTTCAATGTCTAGGCCTTTCAAAAACACACTCAGCTGCAATAATGGCAGGCTTAAAGGCTGCATTTTTGCCAATAATTTTGCTTTAAAAGCTCCCAATTCCATTAAACACACATTCCACTTTCTTATCTGCAAACTTTGCCAGTAATTAAATTTTTCTGAATTGAAAAGTTACAGCTGTGCAAACTCAGAGGTCAGAGAAGATTGTTGCCAGGCAACCATTTACCACAGGTCTAAGGGGTCCTCTAGGCCTCAAGACTTTTTTGTTCTCTGTTTACGCAAGGGAGCCACACTGATTGATAAGCAGCAGGTTCAAATTATTATTTAGTGTTCATCACATGTGGAATAAATACTGAATTATTATATCAATAGAAATATATTGTGTATTGGTACACGTACTAGTTAATGCCTTGGTGAAAAATATAAAGAAACAAGAAAAAAACTTTTTGCGTAAAAGAATTATCAAAAGTAGTTTGCATTTTTCAGTTATTTCATTATATGCAAATAACCAATGAATGTCTTTGAAGTCTAATGTAATTTTACAGGTGAAAATAAAAACAGCTATAAACTGCTTGTCATTCAGTTAATACCATTAAAAATAAAGCCTATTTACATTTGGATACGTGTATACATATGCAAATATATTGAAATTTTAAACTGAAGATCAAATTCTGTTCCGTTTGAGTGAGATTTGTGTTCCTTTGCTTGCAACGGAAAGGGCTAGCCTGCCTACAGAAAAGGTAGGCAACAGTGCCACCAAGTGGTCATATTATAGAAGGCCCGTCCTATAAATTCTGCACATCGGTCAGATATAAAACATGAGCTTCTTCATTAAATCCAGGAAGACTTCCATTTTGATCCCGTTTACATAATCTAATTAAGATTTAAAGACCAGTAAAGCATATCATGGCAGGCTTTGTTAGCTCATAAACGTTTCCTTTGCCCAGACACTAGTACAGTATATTCTGCTCTCAAATCTTTTAAGATTTTGCAGTCAGCTACATAGAGTTGTCAAATTTCATAAACTGGCTCCTTAAAAAATGTCACAATTACAATTTACTTTCATATTAATATGTCACTTCTAACTTTGAGGCCCAAAGAGTATTTCTGTTGTAAACTTAAGAACTGTATATGTATCGATGAAGGAAACAAAAGGAGATATATCAGTGGATGTTTATTTTGTTTCAAACATCGTACCTTGACAGCGAAACCATGAATTCCCCTCAGCCTTTGCTGACTTTCCACTCCCCACACTGGAATCGCATGAGGCCTGTGCTGTGGGCAGATGTCACGGATGTCGGAAGGGTCAAAACCGTGGAGAGGCAGGAGAGCGGAAAAAGACCCATGTGCGCAGCAGTGGAACAGGGGATTAGCCGGGGCTCAGCGGTTCAGGAGTCGTATAGAAACCAATGCCCTCAGGCAGGGGACATGGGGCGACCTGGGTGCCAGGCGGGTCTCAGGACACCCGAACGTCAGTGCTGAGCGAAGGTGAATGAGTGACCCGGAAATATACAGCCCCAGAGAGAGAGACACCGGAAGGACAGCAAAGCACAGGAAACTAGGGACAGGAGAGAGTGACACAGAGTCCTTGGATGTGCAGAGTTCAGCCAGATAAGAGGCCCTTTATCTGCGGCCTGCCTTAGCCTGACATTTCTTGCAAGAAGGCACCAATTCACTGGCTTGCCATCTGAGAGACTGACTGGCCCAAGCCTGGGCTGGCCTCTCTTCAGTAATGCGGCTGGAAAATTACATGTAGCATGAAACCAGCCTGCCAACAAACACGGTCAAGCAAGCATGGTCTGTCCATGTTTTTCCTTGACGAATTTCGGAAAACAGCCCCTTTTTTGAAGCAGAATATAATGGACACTGAAACTAAAGCAGAGATTCAGAACATCTTTAAACAAGGTTGGGGATTGCCAAGATTTTGGAAGGTTTTGGAATCCAGTACCCGGGAATCTCTCAAAACTGTTGGGTACTACTGTATGATAGAACCTCTTGCATTTGGGTTGTAAGTGAGCTTTTATAGATTTTACAGTAATCTATATTTGAAATCGAAGCTTAAAACAAATGGCTGATTCTGTCTGACTGAGGAAAACTTTTTGTAAACTTTTTATGGTGGGTCAGTGAAAGAATTAACTTCTTCAAATGCATTAAGCATGGACGTTATGTATATTTAATGTGGATTTAGGGTCTAAATACAGAATAACATCACATCACTTTATTAGCCCTATAAAATTTCTTGCTTTAGGAATTTGTCTTTTTCCCATACCCCAGCTTGTTCTCCATGAGACACACAGACAGGGAGAGAAGCTGGGGGTCAGAGCGCAGGGTCAGCCATTGTACAGCACCCCTGGAGCAGTTGGGGTCCAATGGAGTAGGATTCCTCTGCCGACTGCATGATTTGAACTAATAAAAAAGTATTTTTAGATCCCATATCTAGGAACTGAAGGCAAGATGGAACTGTGCTGTCTGTGCCACTGGCTCACAAAAAAGGCCAAGGCCCCTTAGCTTTCTCCTTCGTAGAATTGCCATGGCAACCACAAACAAGGCCATCCTCATGGCCAGTATGGAGGCAGTTGGGCTGCAAAAAGTCTGTTCAACAGCTTCATCTTAGTTTATTTAAGGACAAATGGCAAACAATTCATATAGAAAACAGCTTGATTTTACAGTAATCCGTAGATGAAGTCCCTTTCAGTGTTGTGTTTTGTGCCATGAAAGACGTCATCTGCAGTGATCCTTTCTATCACAGCTCATGCTTCAGTCATGTCTTGAACATACTGTATTTCTGGAAGGATGGCATTTTATAAACAGTCCTGAAATGCTGGGACTGTGTTATTGGCACTTATAGGAGGCTGCTTCTTTTTTAAGTACGAAGAAAAAAATATTAGTAAAACACCTGTGTGGAACTGATGAAATGAGCTCTAAAGTTGTTTGACTATAACTTAATGGCCACTTGCTAGCACACAAGGCTAAGGGACTTTTCCCTGCAGGTCTTCACAACAAAAGTCCTAAAGGACAGACACAGAAATCTCAGCCTGGGCCTAATGACTCCATAATCAATAACAAAAGTGACTGCACATTCAAGCTCTAACAGCAGTATCACCTGTGTACCAACCAGAGGGTGTAGATTTAAGGGACTCATATTTCCCAGCTGGCACACACAATTGCCAGTCAGTTGATCATTCATTAGAATGCCACAAGTTATAGCAGGTCAGGCAAAAACACCTTCTATTGCACATAATTATTTACCATTGGCTTCAAATTCTTTCATTTGAATATCAGACCAACATTTATTAGAATTGCAAACCTTCCCCTTATACAATGTGTTAGGACATGAGCAGGATAAGGTACAAAGCAGCAGCACTGAAGAATGAGATTGTTCATTTGTGTAAAGACCCCTACAGAAGGTATTTAGTAAGGAATATGGAACTGAATTACTGAATTCACCAGTAATTCATCAACACTGCACTACAGGGGGAAGAAAGTAATGTAGTTATTGTGGTCCTCAAAGTAATGGCAAGAGACCTGGAGTTTACAGTAAGATACTGACTTCTAAAATGTCTATATAAAGTACATGTTTGAAAATAAAACATGGAGTCTTTATCTTTGCCTCCCAGTCTAAATAAGCTGGGAAAAATGTTTTCCCTCTTTGTCTGTGGCACACCACCATGTCCAACCAAGTCAGTCAAGGACCCACAATCCTTGAGGCTGCACTCTGAGAGCACAGACAGGCTGGCCTTGCTTCAGAAATAGTCCTGTCCCTGTCCTTGCCAGCCCAGAGAGGGATATAAATAGCTTCCCTTACGCTCCTAACTGCTCCTACCATCAAATAACTGCACCCTTCAAGGTTAAAAGAAGGATTACACCTCTTTTATTCCTAAACATTATCCAGATATGATGTGCACATGCATCTATTTGCATCCACAACAAGAAACCCAAATGAAAACAAAGCTGGCTCTAATGGCCAAGCGATACAAAACGTTAACAAGAAGAATAACTCTGAGACATTGTCCAAGTCTCTGGTTCCCTCAAAAGAACTGAGGAAGTTCTGAACATAAAACCCTCTCATTTAGATTTTGTTATGTACATAAGGTTTAAATGTAAAAAAAAAACACTTAATGATAATTTTAATTGAACCTTGTATTCAGTGCAAGAGTCTTTAATTTTTCTGTCTTTTATTTTGTACACTACAGTATAGGCTCCACAAAAATAATCAGACATCAAACTCCTGAATGTAAAATATAGGCGCTTGGCACTGCCAACAACTAATTAAATCAACTAATTGCGCAGAAGAGAGGTTGTTCTTGCATAATCGTGCAATGTGGTCAACTGGAAGATTGTGTACTTTCTAAACCAAGTACAATTTCAAAGAGCTTTACAATTCCCTACTAGGCTTTTGTGTAATATTTTTATTGTGCCATATTTTCTCTTGGAGTGTGCTGACAGCTCCCCCTGCTGGATACAAAGAAACATCAAGAACGGACCGACATTTTCAAGACGTGCACTGAACACAAGAGAGTTTACACCCGGACTTTTCGCATATTGGTGTTTTGAATTTAAGTTTAAGAAATTATTAAATGGGAATACAATTAACTAGATATGGTTCCATTACGAAATTGTATTAACTGTGGTATTGTTGAGAAATCAGAAAGCAATCAAACGGCCCTCACAATACCCTTAATGGACTGGAGTATTGAGAGCAGTTGTAACTAGAGGGTTCAGCCCCAAAGTGTTGTCTGTATAATGTAACAAATTTCATTCGTGGTAGAGGAAGTTAGATTTTGTATTTCAAGTAAGTATTTTGAGTTGAGTTGAATTTCATTGTTGCATAGCGGACTTCACAATAAGTGGGAAAATGATGGGGTCCTACAAAATAAGGAACGAATAAATGTTTATTTCATGCAGTAAAGAGAAGAAAAGAAACAACGTTTCGGATGTGGATCTTTCTTCGGGTATGCTGACATAGCTACCTACTTGAACTACTTGTACAAAATGTAGTTCTTAAACATTGTCGTGTAGTAAATACGATTTTTTTACAATGTCTTACTGTTATGTTGCTATTTACATTATGAAATAAAGGCATGAATTTATCCTGTTTAGTATCATTCCCTCATTTGCCTTTTTTAAATTGTCGTTTATTGCTCAGCATTATCCCTCTGGAATGTTTGGATTGTTTAGGGGATTTTAAAATAGTATCAGTGATTAATACTCGGTTTATCGGCGAAACAGAAAAACACGATTGCATACAATTCACCACTTTTTAAAAATACACGCAGACAAATCTTAGAGATTCTAACTACTAAGCTCTTTTAAGAGTGTATAAAAAAAAAGACCTGCTCCAGGTGAGGCTCGAACTCACAACCTCGGCATTGCTCTGCTTTGTACTGCTATATAAGTACCGCGCGCTAACCGATTGCGCCACTGGAGCTCCAATAGTATCGTGCAGCACAAGGCAACATAGCCTGTACTCCAGCGACAGATCGCTATGTGTTTAAATGTGTTTTGGACCTTTTGTTTTTGCATCACTGTTTCATATTTTGGATCTCTGTGAAATACGGTAGAGCTCTAAAAGCCCACCAGGCAACTGTTTTATAAACAAGCCCCTTTACGGCCGTAAACAACCACTTAAAACATTCAACTTCGTTATGACTGTATATTTTAACACTCATAAAATAACTTTTAAAATGTCATTTCCGCGACCAAAATTATGTCTATTAAATATTTGAAAAGTGCATAAAATTGCAATTCGTATTGCTTTCGTCGCTATCTAACCTTTGCACATGAAAAATATCATTTCATAATCCTCATCCCATGAGCTGTTATAACCTAAAGTACGGTATTGCGAGAATACATAGTACAGATAGCAATCATGTACCACAGATAACTGCACCAGCGCACTATACATATTTAAAATGTCCAATACGAATTTTCTTAAAGATGAAAAAAGGCTGCAAAGCTCTGGGCCGCCTCAAACTGAGCTCCAAGCACCGTTTTCCCTCGAGAGCTGAAATGCTGTCACGTTAACTCTACATGATTTCCGTTAAAATAGATTAAAATATATATTTCCCTGTTCCGTACATTTACAAACACAAGAAAACCCCTAAATTACTGATCTCTTATTTAAGGTTAGAAGCTTCAAAACTGCAGTTACAGCGCCTCGCCAGCAGACGCCGCAGACACGCGTATCCTTTAAAAACGACAGCTATCGTCGTGTTTTAAAATTACAGTACTGTAGTAGTAAAGATCATTGGTTTGATCGGGTGCAGAGCAAATACATGTTATTTTCCGTCCTTATTAAAATTATAATTGCATGGATATTACGTAGAGGAATTTTTCTGTGTCACATTTCCAGAATGTGTTTGAGTCTTTAAGCTACTTGAATGCAGTCTTATTTAAATGTAATAAATGTAATCTGTTCTAAGTATGATAGAAGGGATTTGTGTAACGTTGGTGTATTCTTGTATCTTCATTTACATTCAATTACATGTTGTTTCATAGATGCCAATACAGTATGTCTACTGTGTGTTATGTGTCTGTTTATGTGTGCTACGTTTTTAGTCCATTCCTTGTTTGTGAGATGTCACGAACCCTCTTCAGGACAGAAAACCTTCGCCTCTGTTTCAGCACACGTACTGTAGTTTACAGAGCCAACAAATAATTGAATCAATCTGACCACCAGTAGGGGGTTCTGCCATAATCAATTATTTTGGTTTCATTTGATGTCTACCGTTTAACTTGGAAAAAATATATGTTTAGTAACTTATTTAAGATTATTGCCAAAAGAAAAATAACACTAAGTGAAGCTTAAAAGGAAGGAGTATACAGTATGCCGGCCTCATTTTAAGGTTCCAGAGCTCTCAAAGGCAAGCTGTGACAGTCTGTCCTACTTTCACCATCTTATCGGCCCAGACCTTGTCAATAATACCTTCAAGGTCACTGTGTTTTCAAATTTCACAACCTTGGCTTCCAATTACTAATTGTTACATGCTGTATTTATTCAGTATGCAGGCGCACTGACAATTTAAGTAAAGCGAGCTTGCGAGTAAGTCAAAGCCTAGACTTTACTATTCAGTATTATGTTAAGCACATTCGCAGGCCGCATACTTGGTGAAATGTAAGACATTCGTGTTTTTTTAATGAAAAATACTTTATTGAGGAACCCCCTGGGAATTTTCCTCTCGTCTTTCTGGCTACACACTGTCTTCCCTATTCCGTTTAGTCCTAACGAAGTAACTAAAAGAAAGGGGAACTGGGGTGAGTCACACAAACTGGCCTTTACTCTCTAGTTGTTGATTATAGAAGTGTGCATCAAGATTGCACAATGGACAAGGTCGTATGACTAAGAGGGTTAGAAAACGTTTTAACCACACAGTATTCACTGACTTTAACTGTCTTAACTACAGTACAAATGCTTCAAAATACAGTTTTAAAACTTCCATATACAAGTATATTATTGAGCACGGTAAAATTTCAGATTGCACTGCATTATTCTTAGAAACCTAGGGTTATAAAGAAAGTAAGACAGAAAGAGTGGGTGGTGGTGGGCGGTGTATTGTACGTCATACGTCATAAATGCATGTTGATTTACGTGGATATTTAACAATATGAACTGGGCTTTGCAACAGTTGGATGGTTTTACGTCCTTCTTAATCGCAAGGGTAACGGTTATTTATTGAATTAAATAATTAAGCCAAAGCGAAAAACGAAGGGGTCTAAATTATTGCAGAAATGAACTGTTTGCTTCTTTGCTCTACGTTGCTGCCCATAATTCCGTTTCAAAACTTACTGAGGAAAAAAAAATGGAATTTAACCTTTCCTCCGAAACGGTGAAAAAACAAACTCCTCCCTCGTTCTGACTTGAAATTCCTGTTCTGTATTGGTAAATCGATGGTACTTTCTACCCAGCTGTAGTGTAGATGTTCATTCCGTCTTTTTGAATTTATCAAAACTTTTGAGAAGACCAAAGATACAGTTTTAGTTCTTAGGGGAATTTTGTGCACTGCTGTAATTCAAGTTCACTGTACTTAGAAATATAGAATTAAGCATATACTCATGGACACAGAAACGCTGCTTGTCAATGTTCAAAAATGGATTGAACAAAACAAAGAAGCTTTCGTTCCACCTGTGTGCAACAAACTGATGTGAGTAAGAACTTTCTGTACTTTGAGAAGGTGCCCAGCTTGTATCCCCAGAGGGTAAAACTGCCAAAGGAACAAAAACTCCATGATTTCGTGTGGGCAGAAAATGTAACAACAGGAGATACACAAGTGATTTTTTTTTCTCATATGCTGGCAACGATTTTCTTTTTGCCCTTAAGTTGAGAATTTTGCGTTGACACACTGCAACTGCAGTTGTTATGGTTTTACGCAAATCTTAGTGGCTTGTATATTCATACCAACGTGACACCCAGTCAGTGCGGCTGTATTATGTGCAGTCAACACCAAATTAACAAGTGATTAAACTACAGGAAACGCCTATCGCTGATTCTGATTCGCTTATCTTTAACTTTAGGGTATCTGTCAAGTAATGTTACAGTTGGCATGATATTCTTTTTGGAGATTAAATCTTTAAATTTATGTTTTCTATTTAAGTTTTAAATTATTTTTAGAAAATAGGTGCTGTGAACCCAATCTACACTATGTACAGTATACTATTTGATGCTGGGTTTCAGTTTTTTGCTAAATAAAATCTTTTTTTGTACATCATAGTTTGTGTTTCTTTCGAATTCACACCTTATCCATGAAAATCGTTCATGACATGAAATCAAAGTAACTGTACTGTATGTGTAATGTATGTATACACTTCTTTCTACATGCAGGCAAATTTCCCAGTTGAACATCATGTTTGTAGGAGGCCCAAACACAAGGAAGGACTATCACATTGAAGAAGGAGAAGAGGTGAGAAACCTGATTCTCAGTTAGTGTGAAATGTGTTGCCTGATGGATGGACAGACTTCATCAATAATGTCAATTCTTTCCCTAGAGAGTCACTCATAAACAACTTTGACTCTAATAATTGTGCAGCTTCTGTTGTGTCTTTTAACATTAATAAACACATTTAATTTTACAAAATCAAAATGTTTTTTTTCAAGAAATTGTCAGTCATGTCACTGTAAACAAGCAAAGAAGTTTCTTTAACGTAAGTAATACAAATACAAATTGTTTGATGTAAAAAAGGGATTACTTACCCATACCTGTGAGTATGACTGTATGTGAACTGGAGCCCTAGTATTAATTTTTGATGTATATCTTTGTGATAAAGTATTAAGTGAGCTAGAAGACTTCATACCCATATTATCAGCTAAAGGTCACTATCGTGTGGATGCCATAAATTGACCTTAAGCAATTCTGCGATATCTATGTGGGTCATTTGTCTCGGTGGTGGCAATTGTAAATGCAGTAGCTGATACACTGTTCTGACACATTTTCAAGTATTCTGAGGACACACAAAAATGTTCAGAAGTTTTGTACATTGTCATGTTCCTCTTTTCCGAGGCGTTTTTGGTGAATGATTGGTAAGCACTTAATTTATTTCATCTTCAGGACAGTGAACTGGCCTGTTTATAACCCACAGTATGCCAATAAAATGTCAATTGCTTATAGGGTCCTACTTCCTAAATTCCTAGTGTTTCTTTTTTTTTTATTATTCCTTTACATTACCAAGTAAATTGAGAACAAATTCACATTTACAACCTGGAGCAGCACGTTCACTGGAGCAATTGGAGACAAGTACCTTACTCTATAATACAGTAACAGTTTTCCACTCTGGATTTGGACCTGCAACCCTCCAGTCGAGAGGACAGAGCTCTAACCATTAATCCATGCGGCTGTCTAATTGTGCAGTTCAACTCAGCACTGCCACTTCATGCTCAAATTCAAACCAGCTGTGGTGTCCCTTTTCCTCTGAGCAACAAAATTGGAAATGTCTATAGCATCCAAACATTTTGCTATTGACAAAGGGAGGTTTATGCAAGTGTAGTAGACCAAGCGTCATTGAAAAACACCTTTCTCTTCGCATTACCCCACACTCCAGGTAATTACTGAATACAATGAAGTATCCTTCTGCTTATCATGGAAAAGATGAAAGTGACTTCATTGTGTGGTCTAAGCAAACATCTCAACTCAGATTTCTGTGCTGCAGCTATTTTACCAGCTCCAAGGGGACATGTGTCTGAAGGTGATTGAAAATGGAAAACACAAGGACGTGCACATTCGAGAAGGGGAGGTGAGTCTCAATCAGATGTCCTCAGGAGCTGAGCATGCAGTATTTATTAGGGTAATTAATCCTCCGGATTCCAAATCACAGTCCCTCCATCTGTCATTGTGAAGTTCTACATTGAATCTCATGTTTGTTCATTGCAGTTATAGTGGCAGGATGTGAATAAGCCTTTCACCCGAAAGGGAGTTCCATTTTTTGCTGCAGACGTGAAGATAATGCAGGTCCAGTCATTGTTGCCTGTTGTGTGCAGATGTTCCTGCTGCCCGCACGGATCCCTCACTCCCCACAGAGGCAGGCCAACACTGTGGGACTGGTGGTGGAGAGGAGGAGGCTCCCGTCAGAGACCGATGGTCTGAGGTACACTGACCCCTCAGCCAGCATTCTGCAGGCAGACTCAGCTCCAGCAGCTGTGATAATCGGTCCAATGGAATTCTTTCCACCAGAGGGCAGTAAAGGTGTGCTCAAAAAATTATCACTTCCAACAACAGTCAATCCTAACTGTGGCTGTGTTGTGTACGACCGAACTGTGTCAAGCTTCTTACCACAACCACAGGATAATAATCACACCTGAGATTTTCCTGAGTTTTCTTTTTGGGAAAGATTGCACTAAGGCTTGAAGAGTACAGACACAAAGCTTTTTGAGTACTAGAGAATGTACGGGTGACTACATCGCTTTGTGATTTAATAGGTATTACATTGAGAACACCACAGATGTGCTCTTTGAGAGGTGGTTCTACTGTGAAAACCTGGGAACCCAGTTGGTGCCAATCATCCAAGAGTAAGAGATGTTTCTTCTGGATATAAACTGTATTAATTGAGCACAGCATGTGTTAACTGTGCTGCAGCCTGAGCTACTCTCACTGATACACAGGACTAAGAATCATCCAACAATAATAATGACTGTCTCTTACCGACTGTAGGACTGCAATTTATTTATTGTAATTATTCGAATCTGGAACCATTCCCTTATTTTTACTGCATTTACCACTGATCTGATTTTGATGTGTTTGTATGTGGTCACAGTTGGGGATTAAACAATGTGAAGCATTACAGGGTGTATTTTAAATTTGGGATGGATCACCAGATCTTTTTTCAGTGTCTGAAAAATAAGATTAGATCTGCATTTCTACAGATAAGATCTACAGTTCTTTTCTTTATTGAATGCACATAATCTGCATAACCATGCTCACATGTCATGAGTAATAATCTTATTGTTTTGTCTTAAAGGTTTTTAAACTCTGAGCAGCACAGAACCGGCAAACCTAAACCAGGTGCTTTTACTAATTCCTGCATTTATTTGTATTATACAGGTTTCATGCCCCAGGAAAAACTAATGTAGCTCAATACATACAGGAATACATCATTTATAGCATAGTGCTAATTAATACATCTGTTTTGTTCTAGTCCACACACCATCACAAGTCATTTTGTGTGACGGATTGTTGACTGTGGATGTTTGATTTGTCTTGTGCTTCACAGAGGAAATGCTGAAACAGCCTCCATTTCATTTCAACACCACCCACGTGATGACTCCCTTTTCCTTCAAGGATTGGATTAACAAGCACAGGCAGGATCTGGCCAAGGGCCGTAATCTCGACATGTTTGGTGCACAGTTCGAAACAGAGGTACTCTCTCTGCACTCTGTACAGCAATGGACCAAACCATGATACCACACAGTGGTGCCATCCAATTGTAGTTGCTGACTTTTGGCACTGCTGAGACCAGTCAGTAAGAAAGTACACAGATGGCCAACTTGAAACCAAGAAAAACCAACCTTCTGAGGATTATGAAGATCCAGCAGAAAGATGCATTAGCTAAAAATGTAATCCATTTTGTGAGAATAACCTAGGAAGGTAGTTTTGCTTTCACAGGAAAACCAGTCTAAAATGTGTTTCCTCATTAATTTTGCTGTGTTGTAATTTATGTGTCCATCAGAGACATTTGGTTTTGAATTCGGACTTGAATGCATAGATAAAGTAGGCCCTAATATACCTTATCTTTATGCTAATAAATATATAATATTTGAATTATATTTAGATGCTGAAAACTCTTTTTGAGTCACGCCTGAGTAAAAAGAGTAAAGGGATGTGAAGGTAGTATTTATTTTTTAATGCTGTATAAACACAGTGAATGTAGGATATACTGTAATAAAGCAGACGGGAGAAGGATAATGGTCTGAGTCCCAGTGTGGACCCTGTGGTAGTGTTTGTAGTTGTGTGTATTAGTTGTATAATGGCTATGTGCTTGGATCCCCTAAGACACTACATGAAAGCACTTAGTATTCCTATTAATTTCTCTTTATTATTTCTAACAGACGGTGTTATATGGGGCAGGGGAAAGTGAGGGATGCAAACTCTACGCTGACATATGGATTTGGCAACTGGTAAGTGGGTCTTTAGAAGCAAAGAGGAACTCCACCCAGTAATGGAAGCGTGCCAACTACACTGGTCTTCGTGTTGTTTGTTCTGCAGGAAGGAACATCGCAAGTGACGCTGAATGATCAAGCTTTCTCCCTGTCACCAGAAGACAGCCTGCTTATCCCAGGACAGTCTGAGTGAGTGAATGAGAGAGGAAGGGAATGGGGGTGACAGACCAAGGCCAAGTGTCCTTAAAGAGTGATTGGGAAAATGGCTAAATAAATTCCATACAGTATTCTCCCACAATCTCACTATTGAAGAATGAGGATATAAGGATATTTTCTCTGGCTACTAAGAGTAGTAATCACCACTGTGACTTTAAATTTGGGCCCTGTTAAAGCCTGGGTAACTACAGTAGATCAGCAGTATATTTGTTTCAGTGCACCACCAGGGTAGAATGGACTTCAGTCAGTCTGCAGGTTTCTCATACTGAATTCAGTATTGGAGTAGGTATAAAATTTTATACAGATGTCTGTTCCAGATTTCGATTAAATTAAGACTAACCCAAATGATTCAGAATCAGTAGATCTACAGATGCTCCTAGACAAATCATCAGTGATGCTCCTGGGTTAGTCGGGTGGTTGGGGTTTTCTTCCACCAGGTAACCCAGCTGAGGCTGATCAGACCTCGGCTTGTGTCTAGGTGGCACTAAACTAATCCCCATTAATCTCCTCTTTTAAGCCAGAGTCGTCTTGGGTCTCATTACAGCGCTTTGGTCGCTTTGGCTTGTCTCCTCCTCTCCCCAACAATGCCCAGTGCACTGAGTGCTGTAAACGGTGATCGAGCTGTAAAACCTTCGCATCTGACCTCAGCAAGCATGAACCGTGCTTTGCAGCCCCTGCTGTGACTGTTGCTCGTATTTGATGAGTTTCCTTTCAAAGGCTTCCTCCAAACAGTTCCCAAGGGACAGTGAGCTCTAGTGAGATAACTTGTTTGGTGATCTCTGACACCAGCACGATGTCTGGTCTCAAGGTGCTGGTTACAATATGTTGGGGGAATCTAAGCTGTTTCTCCAGGTCTGTCAATCTAATTTATGTGATTTTAAAATTACACCTGAAAATATTTAGGTTTACGGCTCAAGCACCATTCACCATCTTTTTTCCAACTCTCATTTTAATAATCACTGTTTTTGTATTCATAGGTATCGGTGGAAAAGAAATGAAGGATGCATAGCTCTGTACGTCGTGCAAGATCCAGAAAGAAAGAAATCTTTTTCATAAATCTTTAACTACTTACAAAAACACCAGGATTGAGTTCACTAATCCAGTTCACCAGACAGTATTGAGTTCACTAATCCAGTTCACCAGACAGTATTGACTTCATTAATCTAGTATCATTGCTGCTAATTTTTTTTCTAGATGCTAAACACTTTGGATTTCATCCCCAAAAAATGAATTGGTTTATATTTCCATAATTGCCGTTTCAAATTATGTGGAGTACCACAAACTTCTTTAACCAAGAGGCTTTGTTTGTTTCTTATTTAAAAAATGTCCAACACACAATGGAGTCTGGATCATGTTACCAGCAAAGTCTGACCAGGATTCCTGAGGCAGTGGTACACAGCTGACTCTTCCTGAGCCCTCCTGGGCACCTTCAGGCTTGCACTGATGTAAGAGAGGGATGTATCTCTCCCCCAGTTCCCCTATATTGTGTGTTGTCTGAGCGCTGTTGCGCCTCTATGTGATTATAGCCTTTTATGTGAACAATGTAAAATTACTGCTCAATTGTAAAATGTGAATTTTATGAAGGTGATAGTGTCAGCATGAATTATAAAGAAATGTGTTTATTTAATTTGAAAATAATTCCACAATGCTACATTAAAGTAAGTTATAAAGATCAAAGTCAAATTTTTCTTAAGGGCTGGTTTTCTGAAGGAACCTGTTTTCAATGACATGGAATCTGCAAGTACAGTATGTGATAAAAAATACATATTTGTCTTGTAAAACAGTGAAGAACTGATGGCTTCATCCAGTGCAGTACATTGTAGGGGTGGATATCCAAATTGTATTGATCACTATTATTTTTTTTAGCCTTTACTCAGAATGTTACAGAGAAGTAGAGTTGTTACAGTAAACATTTCTGTGAGCTACACCGCTGCTATTGAAGCTACATTGGTTACATTTATGCTTTTAAAAGCTCCTATATCCCTAAGTATGAAAAGGCTCAGTAATAATAGTGTGGACAATAACTCCAAATTAAAGTTTCAGAGGACTGAATTAGCATTCAGGCATGATTAAATCCAAGCTGTGAGTGAACTGTTCATTGTATTGTGACAGTTTGCATGATTTTACCAACTGGAGATTCTTGGGCACAAAGTATATTTAGCATGACCCTGCTCATGCTTTGAGAATACAAGAAGCAGCAAAAAAAAACTACATATATGAAACAAGAAACACTTGAAGACCTTGAAGAAGCAAATTGAAAGAAATTAAGATATTCATGTTCATATTATTTAAGTCTTATAGACAAAGTGAGAAAGGAACAAAAAAAGCCCACAGAATCACGGGATATAGAGCTAAGATATACAGTACAGAGAAGCATCTAAATCAAGAGATGTTAAAATTTTACAATGGATAAAAAAGACCACACATAATTCATTTTTTCGACATCCTCAATGGTATTGACAAAGTTAAAGCTACAGGCTTTATAAAATCAATTAAATTAAATATTTTAAATCAGTATGGAAATAAGAGCTAGAAAACACAAATGGAAACTTAAGGGGAAGGTGCTTTTATGACTAAAAAAAGCAAAACTATACAATTGTGGTTGTAGCAACAAGCTAACCAGACACATTGAAGCTGATACCCTGGCATCTTTCAAAAAATATCTGACCCATATTTTCAGATCGATTATATACTAGGAACCAAAATATCGACAGTGCCCTCCAAAAGTATTGGAATGATGAACTATCTTTCTTGTAGAATTACCTGGATATTTATCTGGGCTTCTCACTGTAAACTCTAATAATAATCACTTCTTGTGAAAAAGTGTGACTGGTAAGTACAACACCTAAGTAAATCAGTTATTTCCCTTTGAGACAAGTAAATTATTTTGAAGTTACAAAAGTAATGGAACAATAAAATTGACAGGTTTCTCTTGTTGGTCAGATGTTGTTAGGTACTTAGGTACTCATAAAAGTGTTGTGGCCATCCTGTGAACTTTAGAGGGCACTTTAGATGGGCCTAAAGGTCTCTGTCTTCTTTATATACTTCATGTTCTTACGAGAGGAGAAGGATTTAGTGCATACAGTACTTGTCTTGCGCATCTGAAGGGCTCTGCTCTTCCTGTGTGGTATATACCATACAGGATGTCAAGGCTGTGGACTGACACTTCCTTTCCTAATAGCAGAGCTGTTTCCTTTAATTTGCAAAGCTATTTCCTTGTTCTTCTGAACTCACACAAGCACCCTTAAGAGCTACAACTATATTCTTGTTTTAACTATGGTATAAGGCAAAGTTTAAATGGTTGATTAATTATCTGGTTGTTTATTAAAATAAAGCTAAAGGTAATAAAATTTTAAATTTAAAATAAAATAAAATAAAAGTTTAAGGCTTTTTTCAGGCTAGTGAAAGGCTTGGAAACTCATTTGAAAAGCTGAAGGTGACAGTTCGTTCCAAGTTATGTTTTGAGAACTCAATTTACTTTCCCAGTACTACATGAAGATGGATTTCCTTTGTCAGGGTACTTTCTGATTTTTACTCAAGAGAGCCTAAGATTTATGCAATCCAATATTTAATTTATTTCACTTTTGACTGCAGAAAAGCAGCCGACCATAACAAGGATGCCTATAAATTTCTGCTGAGAATGTTATTCAGCTTGTTGTCAAGCCCCAGCTTCATAGTGGTCTTTATGACTACCTGCTCAGCAATGATGGACCCCAGGAACCAGTAGATGGCATATTCCATCGTCACCAACCCCATGAAATTATAATTGAAGGAAGAGTAGTCCCAGGGACAGGCACTGAAATAGCGCAGGATGAACCCTGTGCTGAACTCCCACAGGTATATCCACAGGGTGTAGATGACGGCCCTCTTAAACTTGGTGTAGTGCAGTCGTAATCGCAGGTACATCCTCTCGATCAGCAGGATAGATGTGGCATAAATAAAGAATGCCCAGATGCTGCTGTGACCCATGAGCTTCCAGGTGCGATTCAGCTTGAAGTCTGAGGCTGCTGTGAATGTCACCTCACAGAAATAGCCATGCAGGCCATACAGGTACCAGCGGAAAAACATTCCCAGGGGCTGGAAATCAGCAAGCCTTTCCATCTTGCTACAGTCCTCTTCTACATTGGGTGACCTTACTGGAAAAGCGACACATTAGTTGATGTTAAATATACAGGAGTATAAAAATGGAAAAGATGGGGACTATGCAAGGAAACATTGTACCTTGAGTTCTTTAGTATCCCCCCTACTGTATATAAAAAACTAAGCAATGAAGTATTTAAAAACAACATCTCAACATTTGTGTATTTCCGAAATTGCTCTGCATCTTGACTATGAAGTAACACAAAAGAATTAAATACTTTTTTTTTTGAAAGAAATGTACTGACATGTGGAAGCATTAATGAAGCTTTTGATATTTTTTTTTCTTTAAGAAATCATACTGATGCATTGTGAATGTTCACAGACCCATCTTATGAGTTCCTGTTCTGTAAAATTATGGAATGGATGCTGACTCATTGTTTAAAGTTAATATTTTATTCAAAAGCTGAATGCTAAAAAATCAGAGACATTGAATGGTAAGATATGTTTTAGTAAATGTCTGAAAAAACTAAAGGTAAAAAAATACATTTGTGACTGTGTTTATAGAAATGGAAGCACCGTTGATAGCTAATAGAGTCACAAATCCTATTTGGTAAATCTCTACTAACTTTGCCTGAATGAGGCACAAATTAACACACACAGTATGGTTTTGGACAGTAGGAGGATACTGGAGCACTTATAGACAGCACACAGCTATGGGAAGAACATGCAGACACCACCAAGAAGGCACTCCAGACTGCAATTGAACCCTTAGCGTGGCAGTGGGGCAGTAGAACTAATTAGAACAGCTCTGCAGTTGAGTAATGGCCTAGAAATTATTAAACACCTTATATCAACATTAAAGACATTGTCTCTTTACATATTTGTGATACAAATAGTACAATGTAACATTGCTAAAAAAAAAGCATGTAATAATAAAAATAGTAATAGGTGATGCATCATGCTCGCCTTGTTTGTTGAGACATGTGCATATTTAGACATTGAAAACATCAAAATGAGGGTAATTCCCTGTGATTGGTAGATTGGGAACACAAGTACTTTTAGTTCAAATAGTCTTTAAGAACAAGAAAAATAGAACAAGAGTCTAAGATTAATAAGGCTTTTATGTTTTTAATCATTTAGCACATCACTGCCATAGTGCTCCAAGGGCAGCTGGAACTTTATCAGAAGACTTGCAATAATGAATTAATATATATGAATATCTTTGACATTTCACTTTGTTCTTCACTCTTTTCAGTCAATTTTATGAAAGAAAACTCCTCTATTTCATGATGGAATTATGCCTAGTTACATAGAATTGTTTCAGGACTGACATTAAGTACTAACCACTCCCAAGTTCCTGGAAGTGGAAAAATATCAAGTAATCAGCTGCACATCAATTGGCCTAACTGATTAAGAGTTCAATTAGAATAGCAACTTGAAGACACTGGGGTTCTTCACAACAAAAGGTCTAGGCTTCCTAAGTATTTCTAATGCTTGATTTTTTTTTTATATCAACTACCTCAGCAGTAAGAAATTAATCACAGCACAACTATTTGTTTAAGCTACAAAGCCATTTGCTGCATCATAACAGTTTAAGTTGACACCGATACAAGGATGTATAGGTCCCCTCATTAACCATGAATACTGCTTGATGTGGAAATACTAGCTTTTTCTGTAAGGATCATGTTAGTTTTTGATACCAAGGAGGGAAAATACTGGCCATTACTCCTCCACCATAACACTTTTTCATATTTAAGGTGGTGTCTGCATTCATGTGTATTGTTTCAGACCCCCTCCACTATTCTGACATGCTGAACCTCTCAGGAGAGACCAAACAGATTTCTTCCCTTAACTGCTCTTCCCTTGTCCACCTGAGCATAGACACCTTATGCCTCAGCACACACCCTCTTTGCACCAGGAAATGGAGCATTAAATTACATTCTGACTAACCCCCAGTTCAAATTGCACCAACCAATTTCTAGGCTTGAGTATTCACCATAACACACTCCTAACCTCATCATTTTCTCAGCTCGCCCTGTTTGGTCAGGGACACCTCTCTGTGACATACTTGCACCCCTGACAGCAATAGCCAGGTTTGTCCTTTCCTTACTCTAACTGTCCCTCTCAATTTTACTCTGAGACCACTCATCTCCCTAGATTTTAAAAGCATAGTTATGCTAGAGAACTAGAATGCAACATCCCTCAATAAAGCATAAACAGCACTGAAACCAACAGGCCTCCTAGCCAGTTCTCTAGTTTAAAGAAACACACTGCCTCCAAACTGGAGCCCAAAAAAAAAAGAGACTAAAACCCTTTCTTCCCAGCTGCTTTTGTAAGCCTCTTCAGTAGCCCAGAGGCATGACTAATTCCACACTGAACCAATCCCAACAGCTCTTTTCCTTCCAGTGGAATCACACACCCTCCAAATGCTTAAGATTGACTTGGACCAGCTGTGACTCATTCTGCAGGTTTTTGCGATTAACAGGTGGCCTTCTGGGCTCAAGGCCACACCATCAGACCATGTGTTTAAGCCACACAAGTTTTTAAGTTTTGAGGTAAACCACATTTATTCTGCAAGAAAAATATCACCTGGATGAGAATTCTGTATTATATTTTTGCTGAAATAATGTCCCTGTAGAACAATTTAATCTGAATAAATTGTATGGTTATATTCTAAACATATCACCTACTCCTCTTTAAAAATATTTAAAAATATTTGAATAACTCTAAAGGGAGGCTTGAATTTTTTAAAAAAAACACTACATTGGGCTCTGAGCACCTAATTAAACAGTGCTGTTAAGTTTAGTTATGTTATGATTTTTTTTCTTATAAAAAAACATTTGTCCCACTTTTGAGTGAGTCATCCTACTGATTCCACTATGTGAAGTCTTCAGGAGTTAGAAACTGCTCTCTAATCACTCAGAATGCCATTTGATTCTTAATCATGGAATATTTTTTAACTTTAATGAATGATATTTTCCACCATCCATCTTCAATTCTTCACAACTAGACCTAATTTATTTCTTATAAAAAACAAGTTTACATTATGCCTTTAAAGTGCTGTTCCTCATTAGAAATATTATTACATGTCTGTTACTACCTGTCCTTGATAAAAGTTTGACCTGCATGTAAGGCTACAAATGATCAGAAAAGGTTCAAAGAAAAGGTCCCGATAAAGATAATCAGAATTACTTATTTTAGCCAATTATCAGAATCAGATATCGATAAGATGGTGCATTCTCAGGTTGCATTTACTTTTTAGTATTAAGATTCTACCTTGACAAAACTTTCCAGGTTTTATTTTTGATATGATATGTAACTCTTCTAAATGTTTCATTCGTCGGCTTATTAATTAAACTTACTGAAGGTGAAGTTCGCTTGCTTCACCTTTCTGACGGAATTTATTTCTGGTCCATGCCCTAGCTCAGACTTACGGAAGCCATCTTACATGAAAATGGAAATGTTTTAACACATCTACATTTCAGATAAGAAATTTTATTTCATTACTGACTTTTCAAACCTAATTCAAAATCTGCCAAAGTACTTTCATTTGAAGGGATTCAGTTCCCTTATTTACATTTCAGTCTAGGTGCATTCTGGCAGTGCAATTCTTTGAAGAGATCAGGTACTGTAAACATTTGTACAAAATGAACCATTAATGTTACAGGTTTATAATCAATGGGTAAAGCTGATTAAAAATACACAATCTAGAGCACATTTAAAGAAATGTAAGTATTTACCGAGTTTTCCAGGACCCATTACACCATGTTTTTCTTTGAAGCCCATGCCTTCGGCGTGTGAAGAAGAGTTCTGTATTTTTGCATCTTACTTTGGTCCTTTGTATAGGTATCAGGGATTAATGTTTCTCTAAGCTAAATATTAATCTAGAATTGAGTCAGTGAGTGACAGAGACATCTCCATTCATAACCACCTGAGTAGAAAAGGATAGGATGGTATTCCTTATCAGCCCAGGTGTAATTAGAGTGTACTGTATCTCTGTTTGTTTAAGCAAAGTTTAACCTGAGGTGCAAATTCTTTTACAATTATTGAGGAGATGTGAACACTGCACATGAGATCCTGGTTTCATTTCACAATAAAAAGGAATGTTGTAATCAATGAAAATATTTGCCATTGGCTCATTCCTATTTCTTATTTTGGGTTAGGTAGATCATTATTTACCACGATAAAGCATGGACAGCAATTGTTCCTCACACATTTAAGTGTGAAACTTAAAATGTCTTCTTCCTCATTTTATCTTTTTGTGAAAATATTCTGCTTTTTTAAGTGAAGAACTAAAGCTTAACAAACATCAAGTGTAAACTTTTCAGAATTTCAGCATCACAGAGGAATGGATCTAAGAATTAACTTGCTACTAAAAGTAATATATGTAGGTAATATATGAAGGATTGGGGTCAGGTAAAGAATAATCATTGGTACTACAGTTGTCCACAAGTACTGAAATATCTTATAGTAGACATAAATGAGGCAGTTCCAAAGTAGATGCAATAACCTTGTAATTTAAGCATCAGACACAACATATTCTTATTTTGTTTTCAGTCAGGAAATGGGGTCAGGCTATAGAGTGTGAAGCGAAAGAGACACCCTGATGTTATTACTGAGAATGGCTTCACTTGTGAAAACAGTGAATATACAAGGTCACCAACTCCCCGTTCTACAAAGCAGAAATAATCTAAGGAGTCTGCCCTGGATGCAGAGTATATTAGCCATTTGCATCATTCTGTTTTTATCATGGGCAGCAGTGCAGAGCAGCGGTTAGGGCTTGTAACTTTAAGGTTGTGGATGCAAATCCTGGTTGGGTCCCATCTGTACCTTTCGGCATGGTGTTTCACTCAGATAGCTTCATTAAAATGCTCAGCTCTGTAAATGGGTACAAAATGTAAAATGCATTGGATAAAATCATAATCCAAATAAATGAATAAAACGGTTCCAGTCGTCTGTCTAAGAAGATAGTTCTGAGCACTGCACATTTAATTTAGAAACATTTTTAATTCTTGTGTTTTGGCATTTTATTTCTGTTTATTATAAGGCATTGTGGAACACTTGAAAGGATAAAAATATTGTATTCATTATTATGGATAAATTTGTATTTTCAGCAAATTAAAAGATCAAATATAATGTAATTTCAGTTTTCCATTTCTGTTGAAAAAATGCTCTTTTGTTTTCAGTTTTGAACTTTTCATGCAGTGTAATTAGTGTAGTCTGCATGCTTCTTCAGAATGATACAACACATTTGAGTCTTTGAGGTCATTAGAACTTTGTTGTGCAGGAACTGGTCAAAACACTGTTGCTATCTAGACTATGCAGTATATTTTGCTGTAGTCTTAGAATAGCTGTCATAAAACAAGAGTAAAAAATGTCCTTCTTTATTCTGCGGTTAAAAAACGTTAGATTGTCAATCTAATCAACACAAAGTTTACTTTTCCTTACAACAAGGAAAACTAAAACTCATGCTCAAAACATATGCCTTTTAGAATGAAAAATAATGAATCAATCAGTCTGTCCAATTTTTATAGAAAACAAATTTTTGATGTTACCTACTATTTTCTGATTTTACACATACATTCGCGAAAACAAGCTGACGATTTTTACAAATCAACCTTAATAGTTTAAAACTTCAAGCACTGGTTTGTGATGGATGCACATTCCAGTTTTGTCTAGTTGAATGGAAATTAGAGAGAGAGAGGAGTTAATTTTCCATATGTGCATGCACATTGGGATTCTTATTTGCACTGTTCTCTTGGAAACACTTTTCTCTTGGAAAGTGTACAGTACAATAGACAAAACTTTCACACAATGTGCGCATTTCAAAACAGTCAATAATAATAAAAAAGTGACCATACAACAAAGCGCAACAGCATACAAGTGGCGCTACAGAACAATAAGCACACAGGCCAATAAGTACTTGGTAGTCAATTAACAGGTGTAGAGTGCAGAAGTGTATTCGATTCTTAGGCATTGTGGAGCAGGCGGTTTATGATGCGCACTGCCACTGCCGTGCTTAATTGGTGTGGTATCGCTTGCCAGAGTGCAGTGGGGAGAATAGCTTGTGGCCAGAATGGCTCAGATCCCGAAGAATGTAAGGGGCTTTACCTTGACGACAGATGGTGTGAATCTCATCAATGAATGGAAAATCTGATCCTTTACTGCAATTCTCTGTGCTATTGTCACAACCCTTTGTAGAGTATTTCTGTTATGTTTGGTAGTATTGCCACACCATACAGTAGATAGATAGATATTTTAGCGTACAATAATAATAGTGCATCTGAAATATACATAAACAATCCAATCAGTTATAAGGTTGTGTCAAACTAAATGGAGGGTGTGATGACCGTGATGAGAGTAAGTGTCCATCTTTGTTCTTTATCTACATTAATGCCAGTTTGACTGGATTGCTTGTTGCAAATGCTATAGTGTTTTTGTCTATTTTGTTTCTGTTTTGAATAAAGCGAAATGCTAGGTCACGGAAAATAATCTGTTTGACTTCAGGGAAAAAGATACCAACCTGGACAACACCAAAGATTTTTAAAGCAAAGCAAACACAACAAATGAAAGAAAATAAATGACTGCAGTTTAGAATGCTATGTTTAGAAATTCATACAGTAGTTTAATCTGATAGAAGTGAACTCTATAGCCACAAAGCACACCCTTAAGGTTCAGGGCTGTTCACACATATTACTAGTTTTATGTCATTAATGTTTGAAGAGGTCTAAAGTTCACATAACTATTTATTTGCACTTCAGAATGGTGCCCAGTTATTGGTTATCTGTTCTGGACATCCTCATTTGTTTAAAGAAAAACAAGCATTAAAGTGTAAGAATGAGTTCTTGGCTTGGTTTATCTTCACCACATCCTAATAGAGAAACATTATCTTTCTTAGAAATAAAATGTAAAAAATTGAGTTGTCACATATTGATATTATACATATAACTTAAATGGCCTACTTTACTTGCGTTAGTGCAGCCATTGACGGTGACATACTGCATGCTGCCCATCAGTTCATGAAGCAATGGCTTCCATTCTGACTTTGCTCCCTAGAGTTCCTATAGGGCAACCCTGGAAATACTGGAGCCCTTACAGTACATAAGTGCATAAGAAAAGTTCCAAATAAGAGAAGGCCTCCATTTGCTCAATTATATATTTTTGAGATTATATTTTTATCTTTTTCTTCGTAGGTATCAAAAGGGAATAGGTTTATAACAATTCTGTTGTGTTTTTTTTATCTAAAGAGGAATTAAAACTTCTTGATATCCAAAAATACGGGAAAAAGGTTAAAAACAGAAAAAAAGTTAATTTAGGCATTTCTTTAGTGTCAGAAGAACTAGCACAACTGGGCATCTGACCCATACCGCACAACCATTTTGAGAAAAGATTCTCCAATTAATAAACTTCCAAGATCTTAATGAGCACAACATACTGAAATTCTTGTCTCATCTAGAATCCTCCTTTTGAAAATGGCAAAATGTTTTTTTTTCTTTTGAGAGCTCTATACAATAATAAAATAAAACTAATACAACTGTTTCCTATAGAATTTCCTTTCATTATTCTGAAGATGAATAAAAATGAATGGTAGGTAGTAGTAAAAATAAGAAAAAAATGGTTATATACAATAGTTACATATTCAATAAATATTCATCTGTAGAATATTAATTGGAAATCAACACAAGATGTTTGCAATATTCATTTGGTGTCATTATTTTAATTTTCATAATCCAATGACATCCCTGGCTGCATTTCATTTATTAATACAACAATTTTAAAAATAACATTTTAACACACATTTACTTGGGCAAACTAAATTCAAGATTTAGGCTTATACTTTTTTTTGCTGACAAAAAGACTGCAAACAAGCTCTTCCATGAGTATCTTACTGGTTTTAAAAAGCGTTCTTTTTTAAAGAAGCAAGTTATAAGGAGGGACCCAGTGAAAAAGTGACAACTCCTTATAATCAACTATTTATATCATTTCCTTTTACTCCCTAAAAGGAGGTGTCAGATAACTTAAACCTTTAAAGAGCAATCCAACCGAGACCAGCTGTTACCTCATAGCTAACTGATTTATTAGTTCATAGAAATAGAAGATGGAAAATATGCGGATTTATGATACGATATGATCAAAGACACGAGCAGTGGAGGATTCTACTACTCAGCATTCTGAAGAAGCCAGAAAGGTGTCGGACATACTCTTACTGTAGGTAAGATATTCGATTTAAAAAATAGTATTCACTGTTGACATAATTAAAGAGAACATGTTACCAGGACAGCCTTTGTATTGCTTGAAACAGTTGCTTCAGTGCCAGATTCATTTTGATTGGAACTTCGATTTTTCATTTCTCGTTCCAAAATCACAAATACAAGTGGCTGTGAGCTGATACTATTCGAGCCAAACTGCCCCATTATATTTGAGTGAAAACCCAATAATCCAGTCAGTCCAGTTCAAAAGTACGCAGTAAAAGCTTGGATGAGATTTGGAGATGAGATGAGACTTTGAATTTAGATGTGAATTTTAACGTCTTATTTGCTTATGGTTTTTTTTTGGAATAATAGATGTAGTTTTCTATAGTCTTAAAAAGTCTACATGGTGGTTTATAACTAGCATAACACAGCACAGTTTTTATATAGACAGGTTTATCATGCTGAAGGTTATCCTGGTTTTGTAGTGATAGCTGGACTGAAACTCCAGGCATATCTCCCCACGGAGTGGCACACTAGTTATCCCCAGCAATGCTAGGACCCATGAATACAGCTGAGTGGACTGAAGCAACAGGGGTAAATAACCCAGTTTAAGAGCACAGATCACAGAGTGTAGCAGGGAGAAAAATTAAATAAATGCAGAGATTCTTACACAATTATACACTCCAGTCTTTTTCCACATGCTTTCTTTAACATTCTTCACTTGTTTTCTGATAATTTAAAAGATTTTTAACAGCTACTGTTTATAAAGAGAATTCATTTTCATTATGATGTGTAAAATTTAAACATCCTGACTCAGATGACTTCCAGGAAGTTATTCATATGAGGCATTTACTGTCATTTAGAGCAGTTTGGCGATAGCCCACAACCCCATGCAACATTTGAAAAGATAAAAAAACGGATAAAAAGGTGATTAATCTATGGATAGACAAATAAAACATTTCTGAAATCCAGCATCTTGCTATCCAACAAACATCATGGAAATTATATGAGATTTGTGAGATATTTATCATCCTCTTTTTTTCAGAGTCTTACTAGAATCTAAAATTAGGTCTTAAAAAAGAAAAATGTTGAGCAATGTGTATGTTTGCTATTTTGTTGAACACCACTGAAGTGATGATGTGCTTTAATTAGATCAGGTCATTGCACTCATTATTTTCACATCTAACTTCTATTTCACAAATACAGTAGTTCAAGTAGGTAGCTGCTTTGGCATACGAAGGCTGCAAAGGAACAAGTAAAGGTGTATTCCCAGCTGAAAAGAGAAACAAAGAAACAACGTTTTTGCTCTGCACACCCAAAGAAGGCCCCAACGCTGAAACATTGTGTTTCTTTTTTCTTTTTCCAGCATGTAATAAACCTTTACTTGTTGCACAATGTGTGTCTTCTTGGCTTCATGCTGCCATGCAAAAGTAGCACTAAGGTTTCTAAAAATGTGCAAGATGACGTATTCAGTCTTTAATGTTTACTGGAACTGGGGAAAAATTCTATGACAGCATTAATTGCACATTGTCACGATATTAGTTCCCCCTCCTTAAGGGTGCTCAAGCCCTATCACTCAAGACTTTATTCTATGCACCTGCTCCCTATTCCCAGCCCACCTTAAAAGCCAGGCGCTGACGCTCTTCCGGGCTCTGCATCTGATTTCCATATTGTGCGAGTCCGGGACCTGGAAGCGCCTGGTCCCGTTAAGGTTTTAACCCCCGTTCCCATTCCCCGTTCCCGTTCCCCGTCCGCCGGTTCCGACCCAGCCTTCGTGGTTTTTTAATTCTTGCTCTGACGGATCTCCTGGTTTTGGACTTTCTCGTGTGTTTTGGATATTCCCAAAAGACTACTCTCTCGGATTGTTCGCCTCGGCTACACCTCCCCCGTGCACCAGCGCACCTTGGACATGCCCCCTTGTCTTCTGCCCCGTATTCCTGCATGGCGTTTCCCCAGTGTTTCCCCACTCCGTCGGACTGTGTCGTCCGCATAGGGTCCGGAAAGAACTGTTCGTTACACACATGGCATATATACTGTATAAACATATGTCTAGAACTGAGTGTAGTGCCCCTAGTCTTCCCTGCAATCTAAAGAAATCCCCAAGGCTCAAAACAAAAATGTATCTGGAACAAATTGAAGATGAGTATCATTTAACTCTATCAAGGCAGGATGGAGGGGAGGGGGAGTTTTTTTTATTAAGAACTGTTAAGTGGTCTTCAACAATATCTAATGGAACCACTTTCTACTGAAGTACTGTATAAACATCTGTACCTTATACGCACAAAATATTGCTGCTAGTTCCTTTGTAAATGAAGTGCAAGAAAGTTTCTTAGTACTCACTTATCTACATATTCTTGTGCCATTCATTCTATGTCTTTTTTTCAAATAATTTTGTGTTATTTAAAAAGTTGATAATTTTTTTACCTTTTTTTTTACACAGATCCTCCGGATGCTGTAAAAAAAGGCTTTGAAAATCTGTTACTTAAGTAAGTGGGCTGGAAAAGCAGCAACCTTCCCATTTTTGCAGAAGTGAAGGTTCAGTTTAAAACCACAAGCTCAGTTTTGCAGTGTACACTTGTTTTTAACCATGGCTAACAACTCGATGCACTGTTTGTCTTCACAAAAGGATTTGGGCAATATTCTTCCTCCTATCCTCATCATGGAGTTCCTGCTTGGCCTCCCAGGAAATGCTGTGGCTTTGTGGATCTTCTGTTTCCGCATGAATCTATGGAAGCCCAGCACTGTGTATCTTCTTAACCTGGTGGCGGCAGATTTTCTGTTGATCATCAGCCTGCCTTTCCGAATTGACAACCTGATGAGGGGGGAGAATTGGGTGTTTGGAGATGCCATGTGTCGAATTAACCTCTTCATGCTGGCGGTGAATCGCTCAGCCAGTATCAGCTTCATGACAATCATTGCCATTGACCGTTACTTCAAGGTTGTCCATCCACACCATTTTATGAACCGCCTGTCTGCAATGCAAGGGGCCATAATATCTGGCTTGATGTGGGCCCTGGTGCTCTCTCTGAGGATCCCTCTGCTCACTAATCAGCTACTCTATGAACACGACAACAGCTCGCTGTGTCGGAGCTTCAGCACCTACAAGGAATACAGCTTTGGAATCAAGTTGCACTACGTACTATATATTGCTGAGTTCTTCTTGCCCTTATTCCTTCTGCTCTTCTGCACTTTCAAGATTGTCTGGATTCTCAAGTTTCGGAAGATGGATAAGGACCGCAAGGTTAGACGAGCCATTGTGGTCATCGGGGTCATCGTTGGAGTATTTGCACTCTGCTTCATGCCCGGGATTGTGACCGGTATAGTTACCCTTCTCATCCAGAAGTACAGACCAGGTGATTGCGTTTCATTCTTAACTGCGTCCAGTCTTTTCAGCCTTTCCATAGGTTTCACCTATCTAAACAGTGCTCTGGATCCCGTCATTTACTGCTTCTCTAGCCCGCTGTTTACAAAGACATTGAAGACTGCCTTCAACACACTGGGGTGGTGTCACCTGGAAGTGGACAGGAGAGGTAGTGCCACCAGTGAGGGGTGAAAGATGGGTCTTTCTACTCACAAGATTTCAAATACCAATGCACGGACTTCTAGAAAGAGTTATCTGCTTGCAAACATGCTTAGAAACAGTCATCACTAATTTGGAGGGTTCTTTATCCTCCTCAAAAATGACTCCCAAAATAAAGGTAATTGAATCTAATATCACTTTTGAACTTATGTCTTACAGCTTGTGCACTTTGAATTAAAGGACTTGACTTCTATGTAGACATCTGTGTGTACAATTTAGTGTGCTATTAATATGAGATGGCAGCCTATATATCAGGATATGGCCATTTTGAAGGCCATTTAGAAATTGTTAAATAGGAGACCATGTTGTGTAAAAAAGTACTTAGTCATCAAATATTGCTTTACTTCAAAGCCTTTTCAGAAGAGTATATGATTTTTTTGTTTTTCAAAACTTTCCTTTGCATGTTTGTGGTCTTAAAAAGTTGCAATTAAAAGCTATGCAAGACAACAGCAAATATAATGTTTCTGTCATTGAGGAAATCTGGATTTAATTTGTGTGAAATGAATGTAAATGTAAATCTAAAAATAAATATGTATATAATGTGCAACTCTGTGTATTTCAGTTATTTCTTAACTATGTAAACACCTGTCCTTAAAAAATAGATTTTTAGACTGAGTTAATTTGTTTTGTATATAGAATGATTTTATAAGACACAAATAATATCTGTACTAAAATGAATATGATTTTTAGCATCCACTAACAAATGCTAATAATCAACATAATTATACATTTGTTTAATTTATCTTGATGTTATCAAAGTAGAAATCAACAGAATGTTATTTTTACATTAATTAGAACAGAAATATAAAACAGTGGAGGGTGTAAAGAATTCAATTTATTCTAATTCTGTTTGATTCAATATCAATCAGCTGAAGTTATGCTTCACTCTGGCCATAACTTTACTATTAAAACTATATTACTCAAGAAATCTATGAAGTTAAATGCAGTGAAAGCGAGACTGTAATCGGTATGAATAGAGGCTTTCTTGTCAAAATAAAGTTTTCATTCCTTTGATGCTCTTAAGGAGGTGATAAAATTAATGTGTGTGAAAGAACACAAGTGCTGCAAACGTTCATACCGATAAACTTAAAACTATATGCAACCCCTGAAAATGATTTTAAACACATAGTTATAAAGAGCTTTTCTATTCTACTTTCAGCTTCTGTACAGAACTGCAATACATCCTGTATACTTGGAAACAGGATGGCCATTACTGCGCAACATTTGACAGACCTATCAGAAAGACGTGCTAAAAATGTTTGCTTGTGACACAACCTATTTCAACACACTTGTCGGAAATTTATCCAAACCACAAATCTTCCCCAGCAAGCCTTTGTATGTGTATAAACACTTATCACTCTTTGGTTCACTCATTATAAAAAGAAGTGGGCAAGAGACGGTTCTTCAGCACTGCTCTATGTTCTCTTCTCAGTGTATGAGCGTGAGTTTCTGCTGGGATTTCTAGAGAACCTTATTCTCATATGGCAGGAAACAACTCATTATTCTACTGCGCTGAACCACACAAGAATGTTGGGAAGGTCCTGGTACCAATTCTATCCTTAGAGTTCATTTGTGGATTGGTTGGGAATATGTTGGCGTTATGGGTCTTCTGTTTCCGGATCAGATCTTGGAAGACCTACACAGTGTACATGCTCAATCTGGTCATCGCAGACCTCCTCCTCATCGCCGGCCTGCCTCTCAGAATCATTAACTATCATGAACAGGAGAACTGGACTTTCTCCGAACCTACCTGCAGGATCAACTTATTCATGCTGGCCATGAATCGTACAGCCAGCATCTGCTTTCTCACCACTGTGAGCATTGACCGATATTTCAAAGTCGTCCATCCGAGGCACCGTTTCCACGTCACTACGCTAGCGGGAGCAGTGAAGGTGGCATGCCTGCTGTGGGTACTGACCATCCTCATGTCCATCCACCTCACCCTGGCCAAGCTAGTGGACATAAATCCTCAGCAGGAGAAAAACTTCACGCTTTGCAGAAGTTATAGCTCCTACCGAAATCCGACCCCTGGCATGATCTGGCATGGTGTACTTTTCTTCATGGAGTTCCTGGTAGCATTTAGCCTGATCATCTTCTGCACTTTCAGCATCCTCTGGCAGCTGAGGCGCATCAAAATGGACTCACAGGCAAAGGTCAAGCACATCCAAAAGCTGGTCATTCTGATTATGATCATGTTTGCCATCTGCTTTATGCCCAGTATTGTGGCAGCAGTGGTGGCCCTGCTGGTCAAAAGTCTCTACCGTGATGACTGTGACAAGTTCAACATCTTTGGCCGTGTGTTTCATGGCTCCCTGGCCTTCACCTACATGAACAGTGTGCTGGACCCGGTCTTGTACTGCTTCTCCAGTCCCTCTTTCAGAGACAACGTCAAGCTGACACTGCAGTCTATTTGTATATGGAAGAAAGGATCTGAAGTCTCTAGCAAGCACCTGAGGTAAACGTTAAGATGTACAAATAAAATGTCCCCCTCAGGAGCTGGGGTGTAGTATACAGACTGGACTGCTCCACTGTTACCGTTGCTTTTGATACTGCCAAAACAAATTGTTTCATTTCCACAAGGAATTAAACAAAGGAAACATTTAATTTAATGCAGCATGTGCACCTGTACAAAGAAAACTTTTAAAGTCTGTTTCTGATTCTTCTTCAAAAGAGTATTCAATCTTCATTCGATTGAAAAACATACTGCTTCCTCTACATTGTGCATAATCTTCACTGCCTTACCAGTTAATTGTTGTGATGAACTATTACCTATTACCAATAATTAGCAACTATTAAAAAGTAATGTAAATGTTTTAATGGTCTTAAAAATCAGAAATCCTGGAAATAATTTCACACATCGCAGAAAACAAAGTTTGTCCCATAAATCTACCAGATTTGTTTTAATTGCCTTGTAAAATAAAATAAAGCATTATTGCTTATTGATTAACTTTATTGTGCTGTATAGTTATTAATGAGCAGTTCAAGGAAGTCCTACTGTAAGATGTACAGAATATCCACTTTCTCAGTGTCAAAAATTAGGAAGTTAAAACCTAGTGAAATTGCTACACAAACCTATAAAAACTGCAACAAAGAATATTCTTTATAAAGCCTGTTAGCTCCTCTATTCTAAATTGTTTTTTTATTGTTAATGTCAATATAGACATTGATTTAAATGGTTTGCATAAAAATATAAATACATACTCTTTAGAAACTATGCAATAGAACTACAAGTCACCCTTTCAAGCAGTGGAATAGTGTCTGTAAAGGGCAAGACAGCCGTTAGCTACAGTATTTTCACAATGGCTTCAACCAAAAAAAAGCCATGTACCACGTTTTAATGAAAACCATTGCTAATGGGATTTTATTTTAAATGAAAAAGCTGCATCTGCAAGTCCTACAGAATTTGCAAAAAATATCTGCTAAATAACTTTTTGCTGAGATTGTAGTTGTGTTCTGCATATTTTGGGAAAATTAATAATCCAGCTTTATTAAGTGGGTCCATGATATTAACTGTGTGGGCATGAACAGAATGCTGGACAATTGTAGGCTTAAGCCTAGATCTGAGAGCATGAACATGAAGCTCAATTGAGAAGTGCAAGCAGGCTGAATATGCCACCAGAAAACCTCAAACACCCAGACAGAAAAAAACAACATCCTTGGCCACAGTGCTTCAAAACAGCCCACACCCTATTAAATACAGACAGCAATTCTATCAGCTGTTGTTTAGTGTGTTTCTCCATAGCTAGCCAAAGACGAATACAAAGATGTGTGTTGGAAGTATAAACATAAATAATTCATGTATATACAGTGTAAATATACCATATTCAGAATGATAAAATTGCATTCAATGTGCACTCAAAAACATGCAGAATGACACTGTGTGACTTAGAATAAATGGATATGGGCACTTTCTGCCCATTCGAAAAAATATACCTGACAATAATCCTGTAAAATACGTGAAATACATAAATACATACAATTCAAGAAATTGTGACTACTGCTTGTTTTTTGTGTGTGAAAATTTCATGAAACACTGTTGACTGACAAGAATACACAAATATAAGATTTGATACAGTCATAATATTTATTCACCACTGTAAAATTGTAAGACTTTTTGAACACAATCAAAGTAGTCACAATTTGAGTCAAAATCTGTAAAAGGAATGAATGTATAATTTGTAATTGTTGGAAACTCATCTGGATATGAGATCACCAGTCTGGTGTCCTAACAGGACCTCCCTGCTAGATGCCTTTCAACGCACTGCGTACATTTCAGAGCTCAATGGAAAATTTCAAATGCATTATACTTTCTGCTCAATTTTCTTTCATGTTGGTTATAACATTCTTGCCACATTATACTCTTAAGTGTTTAGTTTTTAAGTGCTTCTTCAATAATAATTTTCATTATATACATTTTGTATGCAATGTAACAAACAGAATGTCATATCCGCTTCCTTCATAATACAAGCTAAAGCTTCCAGTAGTCATGAAGGTTAATAAAAGCTCTCCATCTTTAGTGTGTATTACATAATGCTCAATTTGGACATTTTGGTCCTTGATGCCCGTTTCCTGTCCTTGCTTCTTGTCCATCGTCTGCTGTGTCTCTGAGCCATCATACAAGAACGTAATAGTTCACACATCTTAGAAATTATGGGTCCACCAATCTGCTTTCAGAGCTTAAGATAAAGGGTCACACTTCTACTTGTGCATGGTTTTCACAAAGATACTGTAAAGGCATTGCATACTGAGAGGTGAAAAGAGAAACTGAGAATCAGAATCAGACACAGACAGGGGTTTAATCAAACCAGCACTGGTTTTAATTTGATCTGAATGCTTGATCCTTAGCAAAAGCTGAGAAGTACAATGTATGTTGATGGCAGTGACAACCTGGAAATAAGTGGACAGACAAACCTCATCCTAATTCTTCATTACTACCCTAGAAAGCACATCAATGGAGAACATCCCAAAAACATGGAGAATAAAGGAGAAATAGCCAAAATAAAATCATTTCAGAACACTGAAAGCATTAAAAATTGAAGTGGTTGCACAAATGTGACTTTATCTTTTACTGGTTTCAGTTAAGCTAAGTGGATGATACTTTCTGGTCCTTCCTTTGTAGGGATTAATGCATAGTTAATTATAATTAAGATTTTCAATATGTTGGGAATAATGTCGCCTCTTCTTGACATTACTTATATATGGGAAGAATACTGCAATGGAAAGCTGTTTAGTGGCTATAGATGGAAATAATCCCTTATTTGTTCATTGAAATTTTAACTATTGTATATTACAGAGTGATCAGAATGCTGAGGCTGCATACTTGTGAAGAGTTATTGGTTTCATATGAGAAATAAGAAGTAATGTCTAATGAAAGAGACCAAAAAATGCAGGAACCCAGTCCATACCAAATCTCAGTGATACCACAACAGGCTCCATTTGGTGTCAATGACCTTTGTTTCAAGAGGCCTTGTTGAAAACTTGGGCTACAAAGGGGATGCACCCTATTTAATGAAGGTGTCCTATTTCAAAATCAATAGATTATCTGCATAGATAAGAATGTCAATAGAACAGAGCACCCTTATAATTATTCTAACAGGTGTCAAGACCACTTCTTATCAGTCCACTTTTTAAAATTTCTGATCACATTTTAAGTTTGATTGTCAGTGGTAAAAATTCAGAACAGGCACAGTACAAAGACCTGTTATTTTAGAAAGCATTGAAACACTTTAGCATACTGCATGAGGGGAAATGTTAAAAAAGGAAAATATTTTAAAAATACATCAGACAAATCTGACGAAGATCAAACATATTTACAGTCATTTGTTCACACTGAAAAGTAAAAGCAAAAAAAGCTTCCCAGTCCAATATAAGGACAGGAAACTAAACTTTGAAAAATACAGACATGCCTTCCAAAAGTCCTGCCATTTTTAGGAAAGAAATGGCCAAAATTAAGAGGCACTGAGCATTATCTTATTGCCACTCTACCAGGTAGGCTTTCTTTCACCTTAAAGACTGGCATTGAACACTGCACAAAATTAAAGCCTCTTTTATTCCAAAATGATTGTGCAATATTACAAAATGAAATAATGATGGCTGATGTCAGTACCCTCCTGATGTAACTGGTTGGCTGGTTTGGACAGTCCAGGCTGTGGGGTAGATGCCACTGAAGAGCTGGCAGCTTGCTCAAATGGGTGTGGATGTGTTTTAAGGACAGCAGGGTGCAGTCAGTCATGGATGATGATGGGTCCGTGGGTCCTGAGGCTCGGGTACGAGGGGCAGTACACTGATCTCCTCACTCGGATCTGCTCACACGGCTGTCTACATGCTCTTCTTAACTGGGTCCGAGAAAGCAGCTTCCGAACTCTCCTGAAAGTGCGAAGAGACAGGACAGTCAGAGGCATGTGGTCCCAGGCAAACACAAGACTCCACAGTTTTCCTCCAGCCATACAAAGATTTTGACATATTTGTTTTTTTTAATTAAGTTATAATACGAATGAAAACGTTTTTTTTCTGAAATCTCTATAACAGAGAGAGGTGTGTTATTCTTTGTTTTCATCTGCAGAGAGCACTTCTCATCTGCAGAGAGCACTGTTAATCTGTTTATGTGGACAGATGGCTTTAAGAATCACTCTAAGTCTGGTTCGTCTCATAATGTTAAAGCACTTGTGAATGCTTTCTGCTGTTTGTTATTCACAGCTGTTTCCTTTAACAGAAGATATTCCCAACAGCAAGCTCCAATCCTCTGTCTCTTATGGGAGCCCTCCAGCCATCTGTCTGTAGAAACCAGTCTGCTGGTGTTCAGTCTGCACACAGACCAGTTCCACACTCAAGTATAAAAGACACCTGAACACGCCAGACCTCTTGAGCCTCTGGATCTGAATAAAGGATAACAGCACAAAGCAGAGGATAACAATGTTTCCCTTTAAACCATAGCAAGAGAAATCTACCACAAGAAGATTATGAAAGGCTCTAGAATTATTTTAGCATTGAATGCATTTGTCAAATATTACAGGGGCTGCAGAAACAGACAATCCAGACATACGGTAGTTTTGTAAGTGTCTGATATTGAGTGATGACAAGCAGAAAAAAGGTTTCAGGTTTGATATTTGAAACTGCCTCTCTTAGACACTAAAGAGTATTTGCCAAGACATCATCAAAGACAGCTTCTATTTACTACTATGTTCAGTGTTTTAATATCTTCAAGCAGTATGAAAGACAATAACTAAGCTTTTATCCAAACAGAAAAAAACACCTTAATTATACACTTTGATTCTGTTTTCAATCCTTCAGAGGTTTAATTATCTCCCTCTCAGGAGGGCCAACAACCTGACTGGGAGCCAGTGTTGGAGCTCCTCTGTGAGAGAATTAACACAGAAACAACTTCCACAGATAACACACAGTTCTTTGTTTAAAAGGCACTGCTGTAACTGTCGTATTCAAAGTGATTTAAGCCTGGACCAAGCAGTAATTCTTTCAGATGTGTTGTAGAAGATTTTAGAGGGTGCAACTATACCAAGACGTTCAGAGTTCCTCTTCTTGGAAGTTATTCTTGGATATTTACTCCTGCTATTCCTCGTTTGGGGATTAATTTCCTTTAAAGTATACATGTTTCTTTCCCATTCTGAAGTATAGACTTCATAAATTATATTTTGTGACATTCCAGACATGTTTTTACACAACACTGGTAAAAGTATGATCAGGATATGGTCGAATAACTATGATTGTATTACAACTCATTTAGAATGAATAAGTCCACAAACGTTGTGGGAGTGAAGACTGGATAGAGGCATATTATGGAAGGTACAATAAGCCATGTCAGACACATTAAAACCACAGAGCCAACATCAGCTGATACATTGCAGAACACAGCTAATATACAATGGTAATGTAGAAAGAAGCATAATTAAAAAGTAAAATAAACATAGCATGCAGATTAATATACATATTGGAATTTATATCTTAACATGAACAGCAATTATATTTAAACACAGAATATTTAAAGTTGTTGTGGAACAGAGATATTTCCATTGAGGGAGATAAGATGTATAGCCAACTATATGATATATGGCTGCTATAACTGATATAGCAGCCATATCACCCTGCAACTCACAACTGGCAACCCACTGAAGCTAAGCAGGTGTGAGCCTGGTCAGTACCTGGATGGGAGACCTCCTGGAAAAAACTAAGGTTGCTGCTGGAAGAGGTGTTAGTGGGGCCAGCAGGGGGCACTCACCCTGCGGTCCATGTGGGTCCTAATGCCCCAGTATAGTGATTGGGACACTATACTGTAAAACAGGTGCTGTCCTTCGGATGAGACGTAAATCCGAGGTCCTGACTCTCTGTGGTTATTAAAAATCCCAGGGCGTTTCTCGAAAAGAGTAGGGGTGTAACCCCGGCGTCCTGGCCAAATTTCCCATTGGACCTTACTAATCCCCAATAATCCCCATCTATGAATTGGCTTCATTACTCTGCTCTCCTCCCCACTGATAGCTGATGTGTGGTGAGCAGCACTTTGGCTGCCGTCGCATCATCCAGGTGAAGCTGCACATTGGTGGTGGTGGAGGGGAGTCCCCATTACCTGTAAAGCGCTTTGAGTGGAGTGTCCAGAAAAGCGCTATATAATAATTATTATTATTATTAATTATATCCCTCAGACAATTGCTGGTTCCTATCACAAAGCATATTTTTGCAGGCTCTAACTTTAATTAAAATATTATCAAACATCATTTCATCCTGTTCAGTTCTGTAGTAACTGAAAAAATGTGGTTTGTACCACCTCTTAAGTTAAGTTTCCACTCCTGTGCGCCTCACATTCTCTCTTGACCTTTGTCTTTGTCTTAGTTTATGGCTCCTTATGGGAGACTTCTAATCTAAGTTTACCCTTTTCATTTTACTTCTTTTCATTTCACCTTTCCTCAGATGCATCACCAGGATACAAAATGTATCATGTTGTGCGGCATGTACATGTGTTATCAAGCATTCTTACGTACCACTTACAATGCCTCTCTCAGACTGGCACTGATGCAAGCAGATTAAAAAAAACACTGGTAAATATTTGTTTTTCAGACCTTTTCCAGAGACTTCTGGAGAAGCATTTGGCCTGGGAGACATTTCTTAGCCAGAGTGACAATCAAATTTGCCCTAACCCTTGTTTCAGATAACAACCGCCATTAGATTGTATATTGTGTTAAAGGGTGTTGCTTGTTGGCTAAGATTTGTCATCTCACTCAGCAGGAGTTTGAAGACTGCAAGGTAAAGCTGTAGGTGTCTGGCGGATGGTTATGGTCTCTAGTTTTCAATTCTGTAAGTGTTTAAGAGGGTTAAAGAGGAATAAAATGGAGAAGCCATAAAAGAAATAAAGAATATATTTCCTCTAAAATGTTGGTATTAGTTATGTAACAGGCGTCAGTGAAGATGAAACCATTCCAGTGATGTCATTCCATTAGAGTCATTCTCTAGGAGTGTTGAACCTCGCTATAACAAGGAACTGGCTCTTGATTTTAAGGGGTTTGGTTGTGACCTGTAGGAATGCTTCAGGTGTGCTGAAGGAATACCTGTGAAGGTGGATCAAATCCACACACCCCAACTGCACTTTCAAAAGGAATAACATGACCCAATACAAATGTTTATCCAGGTGGATGCTGCACATTCGTGGTGGTTGAGGGGAGTCCCCATTACCTATAAAGCGCTTTGAGTGGAGTGTCCAGAAAAGCGCTATATAAGTGTAAGCAATTATTATTATTATTATTATTATTATTATTATTATTATTATTATTTATTGAGAAGTTAGGCAGAAGAAGCTTTGGTTTAACATATGGTCAAACACTTGATCAAAGGAAAAGGAAGTTAGGATCCCCCACACAGAGAGAGGTGTTAACCAAGGAGTGGCAGCAAAGGTGTAGATGGGATAGAGGGATGCAGAAAGAACAGAGAAAAGAACAGAGATTTACTATGGTTTACATAGTTTTTTATGTATTGTATAGTATTGTCATGGAGAAGTATGAGTAAGAGTAGCAGAGGTGAGGAAGACCTTGGATGTTGTTATCCATCTGGAACTTGTGTTAAAAACTCCATGAATTCCCTGTTTGAAAGGTTGTAAGATATTTTGTTTGGTAGTTTTTGGTCACAAGTAGCTCAGTGTTGTAAACATTTGGCAACCAAAACTCTTGAATCTATGTTTGCAAAGAAATGCACAACCTGATTTATCATCATCTAACAGCAATAGGCACAGGTGAATCTTTTACAGTCATTAGCTACGCTGATAAGATTGAGCCATGGCTGAAGAGCACTCTTAGATCTTACTGTGTTATGAGACCACTGCAACGTCACCAAACAACTTGGCATTCACTCATGGTTTCAGTCTAGGTGACTTTGTGTCGACTTTGACTGAATATAATTTGATGACATCTGGCTCAAACCAACTGACGAAGTGGAATGTTCAATGTTTTGTCGAGGTGCCATTGTAAGAGAACAGCAATAAGTTTTAAGCAAAAAAATAGTCTGAATGGATTTATTCAAAGTATCCTCACTTTCTAAAGCAGGCATGGCCAGACCTTATGCTGTAAAGACAAAGTCAAACATATTCATTGGTTATTTATGAGTGAGCTGCTCAATAACACGTAAGAGTTAAAGTCAGGTTTTAATTAATTTATCAAGTTAATAAATTCAGCCAAGCCAGGAAAGACCTGCTCGAAGAGGCTGCAGGCAGTGCGCTCACATTTCTATTCAGAATGATCTCTAAACTACTTTCCTGTATTCCCTGCAAATTTGGTACATCGTTATATGTCTTGCAATGATTGCAAGCAATCATTCAATGATTGAAGGTGTGACCTTTAACACCTGTTGAATTAGGGATTTTGTGAGACCATGGCAGGCAACTCTCACCTAGAATATCACTCTTATGATGCAAAACACATAATTGAAAAACAAAGGCATCACTGCTGTATTACATGTGGATAATCACAGTGATTATCCATGATCATCCTGGATTATCCTGGAACAAATAAAGTACAAAACATCTTCCAGCTAGAGTAACTTAAAGTATGTTAAAAATCTAAAAAAATCAGTTCAAAATAGAATTCAATAAGGTTTTGGATTATTATATGTTATTTTCTTCAGAAAATACAACATTTTCTTTTTTCAATGAGCAAATTACAGAGCAATTACATTTGATGAATAAACCTGATGACCTTGCAGGAGAGCAGCTGCATACAAAGAAAATAAAAAAGCATGACTGTCAATATTGTGTAATACTGTGAAAGCTATCAAATGCAAGACTTGGAAGGCTGTTTACCTTCTTTGAAGACATTGTCTTTATTAGTAAGCCCACTGAGAAAATGTAATTTTAATAAAGAATCTATTAGCTAGATAATTAAGGTTTACTGCATGTCAGTGCAAGCTAGTCATTTCTTTCTAGGGTTATGTGACAGTAAGGTTTCACCTGTTCAGCCTGGCTGTTTGTTTATGTGTTTGAGTGTTACGTGAATTGTACAAGTATTGATTTGTATAGGGTCTCATAGTATTACATTTAACCGGATCTAACTAAAAAATGTGTCCAAGCTTGGTTTGTGGAAATAAGGCAACAATAACTGTTTTACAGCCACAGTTGCACGTGCACATACACTGTACAATTGTTCAATTAAAAGAGACACATCCCTAAAATAATAATGATAATAAATGCTACATTATTGTCAATAATTAATATGTCTATTAATATTATGTAACAAAATTGCTTACTTCGGTGCTAAATAGGTATTTTGATTAAGAATACATGATATGATAAAACATTTATCTAGAACTGCTAACACAGGAAAAAACATAAATACCCTCTAACAGCAGTGTTTGACAAATTTCTAACTGTAGACGAACTGAAATAGGTTGGCACTAACTATCTGTGAAGACATGACTGCTATAAATAACACAGCTGTAATTACTTGAATTTTACATTTTTGTGTTACAGCTTCTCCGATGAGCAATGGTGCACCCCTTTATGACATCAATGCTTGAGCAAAAGGATAAGTTAGTTACCAAAGAGAAAATAAATTGACTGAACTACTGTCATGATACAAACTGTGAGTATGAGTTTCTAAGAAGCACAGGCCAGAAAATTATGGCTGACTGACACTTATGGAGTGATTCCATTATGGGGTAATTAATAAATAAATGCAGATCTCATTTTTGATGAAGGCCCATATCAACTTAATCATTTAATAATGGTTTTACACATATAATAATATAAAACATTACTTTATAATTCTGCCCTCGCTATACCCTTTCTTCCCTGGTTTCAGTGTAGTTAAAGATCCATCAATCAGCTTCAAGCTATATTTAGATACTGTTTGGTGCCTTGGAGAACAATGACTCATTCTGACATTAAACTAATGGGAAAGTATTTTTCTCCATAAGATGATTGGTAATAGCTTCATGCTATCGGATTTTAAGTCACATTATTTCTGAATTCTTCTGCACAAAGACTCATAATGTCTTCCAATATTGAATTAAAGGGGTTATCTAATAAAGTAGTTCAAGGAAGGCAAAACATTAAGTTGTAGCATAAGTTTTAACCAGTTTTAAAGGATTATATTTCATAATATGTTTAGCAGTGGTTCTCAGTGTTGGTTCTGGGTAACCCTGCTTTTTTCTGATTTTTATGGTCTTTGCTTTCAGCTCTGAAAAAGCTGGCTAAGATTTCTAACATGAACCTTTTGCTGATAAGAGAGTTTCAGGATAGCCTTGATTTAGGTGTCCTAACTGACATATAGCTAATTGGATTTAAGCAATAGGAAAACACTGACTCATTGTGGGAGCTGCCTGATACACTGTCATTTCAACCTGTGTCTGTTCATCATCAATTGATCACTTATTAAGTGATCCTTTAAGTCAGAAATGGAGCAAAATCGTAATGACTAAAGTGAAAGACTGCATGAAGTTCTGCAGGCGGAAGTTGTTGGAAATAATCTACTTTAACAACAGTATTTATGAAACAGGACTGAGGGCAGAAAAAAATCTAAACTAACAAGCTAATCAGTTAAAGGCCCCAATTAGCACTGCTGATTAAGGACCCAGCTGGAAAAAAAGCCAGCAGAGACAGAGTTACTCCTGGAGCAGGACTGAAAACCATTGTTTTAGAATAATAAAGGCTTCATGACTAGGTCTCAGAAGCTGGAATTTATTTTTCCTAGAATGGCTGTAAGCATTAGTAAACATGAGAGCTGTATTATCTAGATCGCGGGTCTCAAACTCCAAAACTGGAAGTCCACAGAGCCCTCAAACCTTGTCCCACCCGACTCTCGGTTATTTAACTAGATTAATTGTTGTGATACCTGAATAAATTCACACACATTTAAAATTACTGTACCAGAATGAACAACAAGGGGAAAATACAAATGAGGGTAGATTTATCTGAGCTAGATAATAACTAGATTGATCAAGTCAATTGATATTTCAAGGTTTTGTCAATACCAAAGGGCACTGAGGCCCCCTAGAACAACAAGTCGAATTGACGTTATTTCTAGTATTTGGTGTCTGGTGTCTAACTATGTACTTGGCCCATTTTTTGGGCAAACACATGTGTTTAATTTATCATGCTGTAAAACAAGGACCGATATGTGAAAAAGCAACATGAGGAGATGTGTGTTTGGTGTGTGGATCCTTGGAATCAAGTGAAGGGTGGGATAAAACTGGACTTACCATAAGAAGTTGTCTAACGGCTGCCGAACTGAAATGAAACAAGCAGCCAGTCATTGCACAGAAAGACAGAAACAGACAGCTCCTCTGCACCAGCAAGACAAAGCGGATCCTTTGTATCAGCCTACAAGCTACCTTTGAAGCACAACCCGCCAGTGTCACAGACACTGAAGGAAACACTGACCTGACAGGGGGTCAGTCAGAAACTCTTTTGTAAGAACTAAAGAAATGTTACAAACAAGAAGAGGCCATTCAGGTCATCTAGCTTGTTTGGTTGTTAGCCACTCATTGATCCGAACAATTTCAGCTTTGTCTTGAAAGTTGAGTAACATGTTCCGGGTCCAACAACTCTTTACAGTTTGTCTGAGTTAAATCTAGTTATGTACTGTATCTCAAGATTAATATTTTCAGGCGCAGGGCCACACTCAGATTTGTACTGAACAGTTATCTATTTATATGGTATCTTTTATTTTTTTAATAAATTTACAGAAATGTCAGAAATGTTAGCTTCCCCTGACAAATTCATAATACAGAATGAAAGAAATGCAACATAACACACTGAGAGGCAGAGCAGTTCCTGTGAAGTGTACAATCCATTATTCTTTCAGTGACAGGAGACATACAAGCTATGAAATAGGAAATAGCTGCTATATTATGTTATTACCTCACAACTGCTTTTAGATTACAAGGAAGAAAAAAATTCTTGCATCATGATTCAGTCCATTTCTATGCAACCCCTCATTTTCCAGTTGTCCCCATATGAGAAGAAATTGTATTTTAAGTCAATCATTTTGTAATTACAATGTTATTAACATCCATTTACCCTTCGGAGGAAAAAGAATTGGAGCATAATATGCATTGATATGATATACACCAGCACCCAGAAATATACCTGCAGTATAACAGGTGGTGACTAAGGAGTACAGTGTCCTAAATCGTAGCGTACCATCCAAGGATACTGCAGTCCCTGAGGCCAAGCTGTATGGTGAGGAGATTTCAGGGCAAATATGACAACGGATTTTAAATCACTTCTGATTACGAGAAGGATTATATTCCCAGGGTCTTCAATTTTAGATAGAGCTTTGAAGCTAAGGACTGGAAGTGAAAATGCCCAATAAAGGGAAAAGCACCTCATCAATATACATCAGATGTGGCTGTTGTGCTGCCACACTCAAATCTTAAAAAAAGAAAGAAAAATGCTGAATTATAAGCAATCCAGCACAGATTACTGAGGATTATTGTGTGATTGAACAAAGGATAATCATCCTTTTCAGTCTTGACATACACTGTGCAGACAAGCTTTCAGGTTTCAATTCATCCTCACGCTACCTTTGTTGCAGAAGAACGCCACAGAAACTCCAGCTCACATCCTCTTAGTGATTTCCTTTTCTCTCAAAGACACAAAGACAGACTTACAGCCACCTCACACGGCGCTGCACTAGGGTTCCTCAAATTCAAAAACACCCAAGGTCAATTTTAAATGTATGCTTGCAAGTGCCCTGTTCTTACCAAGCAGGTATGCTGTGCAGAACATTTCATCTGGGTTCATCAATCAACCTCTGCTTAGCTACATTTAGCTGTTTCCTGCTTCTCACTGCAGATGTGCCAGTTGTGTGAGAATTGCATGTATTGCGAATAAAAATTCAAGAGCAACTTTTCCTTTCTTTTTTTTCTTCACATGAACTGTATGGCTGATCATCTGTACACCTGAAAACAAACTACTGTTTTAAACTTTCTTTGAAGCAGTGCATGGGGATTTTCTCTAATTGATAAAAATGTGTTCACAGTTACAAATGCTAATTAATTAATTATGTTTTATTATGTATATAATGCAGTTCTAGAATGCAATGGAAAATTGAATTATGGTAGGAACCATCACAATGGGTAATTAGTTCCCTCACCATTCTGTGTACAACGCCCTGAGCAAAGGAGTACTGATGTGTTACAGCACAAAATTAGATATCACTAATCATTACATAATGCTGCAAAGGAACTAGTAATAGGTTTATTCCATGCTGAAAAGAGAAGAAAGAAAACACAACATTTTGGCCGTGGAGCCTTCTTCAGGTATAAGGCACCCTTCTTCAGAAGGCTCCACGGCCGAAACATTGCATTTTCTTTCTTCTCTTTACAGCATTGAATAAACCTTTTACTTGTTCCTTTGCAGCCTATACATGCTGACGCATCTACCTACCTGAACTATTACATAATGTTGTTGTGTACACATTGTAAAAAGACAGTACAGCCCTGCAGATGATAGGGCCATGTTTGAATACTAGCAACGTATACTTTATTTAGGACAGCAAGACACTAACTTGTAGTTCTTTGCTCTATTGTGTGCACTGCATAGGATACCACAGAGCTCTAAATGATACTGCTCTACGTGGCCATAGGCTGTGTCTCACAGGGTGCCATGCTGTGCATATAGTATGGTATATGCCCACCTGGTTTCCTGGGACACCAGGAAGAAGCCGTCGTCAGGAGCATCAATCCAGTTGGGTCTCTGTTTGCGGAGAAAGGTGCCAGCAGCTCTTGCTGGGTTGCTGCTGGCTCTGCCATTGTGCTGGACAGGAAGAGGAAAGAACAGGGGCACCACAAATACATAGATGTTAGGCCTCTAACAGGTACACAGCTGCTCCTTCGCTTTTGCAATACTGTAGAACTTGATTTCAAAGTTTTTATGAAAGCAAAGTTAACTTTTGTACTTTTCTTTATAATTTAGCGTTCTATGACAAAAGTGAGCTTTTACCCATTTATTACGAACAGTTACATATCTACAAAGATGCATGAATGTCTGGTGAGACAATAACTATGTTGATCTTATAAGTGAACGTAAGAAAAAAAAATAGTTTGGCTGCAAACCAAGTTTTAGTTCCTTAGTGGTTCTAATTTAATTTCATCAGGGTTGCATGTGCCTCAATACATCATAATGTGCTTGAGATTCTGAATGTGAATTTTTGCTTTATTTTAATTCAGAATGTGTTCTGTTTTCAAATACTCTTGAGGCTGAAAAAAAGGATATTTTTTTTTTGCAGCAGTTTATATCTACTGCTGTAATACCCAATCCCATCATATCAGCTACATGCCCTCCTCGAGAAATACTATCAAACACCAAGACAGCAAATGAGAAAAAAAACAGTCCACAGATCAGCCCTTCCCCTGCTTCATGCTGACAAGTCCCTGAATGAATTCAAACAGGCTGACTTGCTGTAATTCTAGAGCTCATTAATCACTCTTGCCTGTGCATTAAGAACAGAACAGTCAAAGGTTATGTTGTGAGGATTATAAATGCCTCTAATATGCTATTACTCATAATAACTTGTTGTGTTCTTGTCTGTGGTTTTTGCTAGACATCATTGTTTTGCCAGGGAATCCTTTTAACAGCAATGAAACTCTGAATATAAGCAATGTCCTATGTGCTCAGGGACCATGAGAGTAATGTGGCTTCTGCCATCCTGCAATTTGTGTCATGCTTGATGGGGGTTGAACCCAGCTGAATACATAAATAGGTGAAGTAAGAAAGAAATTTAAAATTGTACTGCATCTTTTATCAGTTCACACTAATGCCTAAGTCAAACTGAATTCTACCCTAAGACCTTGGATGTGCAGAAGCTAACTAGTTTTCAGATAAGGAAAAAACACAATAAAAAAATTGATTGAACTATAAATAAAGTGTAATGCGTGTGAAAAACCCATTATATTCCCTACAGTTTGTACAGATTTGAGAATGTGAATGTGTTTCTTACATGAATAAACCTTTTGAGGGTGAAAAATGAATATTGTCTTCAGAGCTTTCAAAGTAGTGTACTTGAAAAGTTGAGCAATTTTGGGATGAAAAAATAAAATGTGAAAGGAATTTACTGGCTCCCATGCACAAGCAGTGTGGTTTGTGTTTCATATGGCTTATTTAAACATCCAGGGGCACTGAACAATGGCTGACCCTGTGTTCTGATCCCGGGCTTTTCTCCCTGTCTGTGTGTCTGTGTGTCTCATGGAGAGCAAGCTGGGGTATGCGAAAAGATAATTCCTAATGCAAGAAATTGTAAAGGGTTAATAAAGTGATGTTATTATTATTTATGTTAATGGTCCTCATGAGGAGTTTGTCCCATTTAAGTAATGTTATTTTGTCCTTTTCACTCACAGGTTTACTGATACAACGACCACGATTAGAGTATAAGCAGAAAAACAAAGTCCACTGGTTCTTTTTCCAAGATATTAAGACGACAAAAAAATGGACACAATTGTGTAGTGTGGTGCCTAGTGTAAGAGACATAAGCACTGGATCAAGGGGACTCCAGCGTGGCTTTTTAGTTCAAGAAAACAACCTCATTATTTTACAGTTGCCTGATGTAGATGAGCATTTAATTGGAGTTCCACGAATGACAGTAATCTCTGTTATTCAAGAGCCAGACACAAAGACGTTTTAACAGCTGGTTTGTGCTCCATGTGGGTTGTCAAGGAGGCACTGGAGCAATGTTCCCTTCAAGATTTTTTATTGTATTTCATATTTGTATTTTCAATCTGTCAAGATATCCACCTCCCATCATCTTGTATGATAGGGTGCCTATTGTTTTGTTTTGTTTAAAGGTTTTTTCAATATTTGGCAGAAAATAACCACAACAAACAGTGCTCTCAGGTTCTGACCTTCATGGCAAGATTTCCACTTTTTGGGGGGAAATCTAATTTTGATTTCTTCCAGTTTCAATTCATACAGCCTTCTCAGACATCCCTCTTTAGGGATGTTTTTCATTACTGTTTCCTCATTACTCCAAACCACCATGGGAAATGCCCTCTGATTTTCTTCTCACTTGTTTTTATTAAAAATCAGTGGTTGCCGTGGAGCTGGGCACAAGGTATGCCACAACTGTCTTACTCATAATAAAAATTAAGCACAGAGCTAATTAATGTAGGGACTTACCAGGACTGGTCCCATGATGTGGCTCATGTTGTCTAAGAAAAAAAGATATAGAAATTCATTTTAAATATATCGGTATTGATTGATTTAGAAAGAAACGGACAAATACCGATAATAAGCAAGAGGTACACTATAAGTCATGCCATAAACCGAAGTATTTGTATCTTCCAGATTCAATAAACCAGATAGACAATAAACAATAACAAAAAATAATTATTATAATAATTGACAACAAAAAAGTTATAATATGTCATGTCTGTTCTAAATACTGTTTTTCAGCATCATTTCAGTTTCATTATGCCTTTGGGTTGTGCAAGGAAACCAGGGAACCCAGAGGAAACCCTTACAATCACAAGGAGAACATACAAACTCCACACAGACAGCACCCCAGTTCCAGAATTGAACCCAGAGCCCCAGTGCTGCACTTTCCCGTGTGCTACAGTGATGCCCTAGAGTGATACTATGGCAAATAAATTATTTAAAAAGTGGTCACATTCTCAGTGTCTTTGAAACAAAAGTACACTCAGCCCAGAGATATACATTTTGAAACAACGCACAGCCTAATGGTGTCATATTGGATCCGAAAAAAGCCAAAGATAACATAAAAATTGCTCCTAAAGAGGAATGTGGGCATACATTCTGACAGCTTTGCCCTTTTACACTTTCAAGTTAATGAGAGAAATTAAAGGTTTAACAATTACTGAATGTTCCTCTCTCTAATTTTATTTTCACTGCCAGTTCCAAGGCTGAGGCAAGTGTTAGCACAGAGCAGTTCTCACCCAATTTTAATTATTTCTACTTTTAGACATTCTGACACGACAGTAGTGCCCAATGAGCTAATGAGGAAACTAGGGTGCTGAGGTGTTGGACTGCTTTAGTCTCTCATCCTCTGAGTGACTTTGCAAGGTGCAAGAGACCTACAGTGTTGATCACACGTGCCTGGTGGTCTATGAAGAGACCAGAAAGTGTCCAGATTTCCAGCTTCTCCTCAATGGTTACACAACATAAATCAGACTGCTCACAGCCAATTAATTCCACGGAGTTATGCTGATGAGTGTTTAAAAATAAATGTGGGGAGATATTATTATCTATCTTAGAATGACTGATTAACATCACTCACAGCTGCAGAAACAATAAACGTAAACTGTTTACTTCAGGCGCATCCAGTAATGACCTGCTGAAAGAAGTGATGAAGAGATAGGACAGAGCACTCTGAAGATCTGTTCGCACATGGCAACTCCATGTGGTTTACAAGAAGAAGAATCTGGTGAAAGCCCAGAGAGGAGAACAAAGTCTGGAGGGACGAGGAAAAATGAAAAACAATTAAACAGATGGTCCGATTTTCACATTACGGCTGCAAATGAAAACGTGAAGGATATACAGTATGTTTGTCAACTCATATGCATGGACTATAGGTGGTTCCTTTGTGTGTGGAATTTGTGTGCTCTTCCCATTGTGGATGGGTTATTCTGAGAACTCAGGTTGCCTTCCACATCCCAGTGATTGCTGACAGGCTGACTGGTTCATCTAAATGGTCCTCTCCATGAGAAAGAAAGCTGGGCCACCCACTTCTTAAATCTGCCCAGCCCTGCGTGGCTCTGGTGCCTCTGTCTCCAGGGCTTTATGATTCACAAGTATAAATATATTCACTTTTCTGCTTGATTAGCATGAACACTTCAAAGAGCTCATACACACTACTGAGTCCAGGATTCACAAAACGGGGTCAAAAGACATCAAAAGTATAAACCATTTTGAAGATCGTTTAACTGAAGCTTTTGTGATCTGCTACATTCTGACCCTTGTAAGTTAAAAACAGTTTTAAGACTTAGATTATCTAGTGATGGACGCCTATTTGAGGGGATGAAAGTGAGAGAATGGAATTTAATTCACACTGTGTCAAATTAGGTGCCCCTATGTCAGTGAGCCTTTAAATGTGAAACTGGATTTTCAAGTATTTTTTTTTCTGTTCACCGCAGGTGTCGAGCTGATGCTTTATTAGCCAAGGGGAGTCTTTGCAATCAAAGACTCATTCAGACTCATCTTCTTCGAGAATTTCTCTCCTTGTATTTCTGAGACTTAGGAGAAAAGTTCATGCCTGTCTGGTAAAATGGGGATGTGGGATAGCAAAGAAAGCTTCACTGTCAATGTGTTTGTCACAGAAGACAGCACAGTGCTGCCTAGAGAGGGAACACGGGTTAGCTTCTATCAGATAGACAAAGCCAAGACAAAACGTTATTTCCACAGTAAAACAAGTCTCATAAAGAAATGAAAATGAAGGCGGAGGGCATTTGTTTTCTCTTGTGTGTTTGATGCAATGAAATGAAGCCGGGTTCTTAAATCTTTATGGTCAAATGGCCACGAGGTTGTCCAGCAACCCAAAAGTGCCAGGATCCTTGAAGGGATCAGGCAGAACCAAAAGGACAAACTACAGACTATGTCACGATGAATGAGAGCATAACACACATATATACAGTGCTGTCCATTTTAGGATGCATAATTTTACGTGTAGATTACCATGCCCAATAATGTTCCCTCTTCTCTCCAGCCCCTCTATCCTGCTGTGGTGGTTGTAGCTCCGTTTCCCCAGAATTCCAAGGGGACCGTGGCTGGGCAGAGAAGAGAGGAGGCGTTTTGCGGGCTGGCACTGCAGGCTGGGTGTCCGTGCCACTCTGGGGCTGTGGAGGGGGGGGCGGGACTCTGTAACACACAGCACAGGCAAACTGAGCAGCTTCTCTTTGCAGGGAACCATAATGCTTTAATGACAAACCTCCAATAATCACACATTGATATGACCACGACACAACACCAAGTACTGTGCAGTGATGAATGCTGTCACTGGAACTGAACAAAAATATTGGAAATATGATTGAGTGCAGCAAAATAAGCAGTGTCCTTCTCGTCTGTGCTCGCAGACGATGTGGTTGTAGTGAATAAACTCCCCCACACAGGATAACCCTCCCCTTGCAGGGTTTGAAAACTCACGTGAGGTGCTTTCCAAATTCATAACCAGGTTTGTTGTTGAACTGTTAAAATTGAACTTTCAATATTATGTGAAGAATACACATAAACTACCCGATTTGAGAAAAAGCAGCAGACGCAGATCAGATACATTGTTAAAAAATTAAAATGGGACAACAAATATGCTTCTCGCATGGTTGCACCTGGTTTATTACAAGCTAAAAGCCTGAGTTCAAATGCTGTTTTTCTGTTCTGTGCACATCATTGTTATTCGGGGCCTCTGCCAAGCAGAGATTGTACACCCACCTAAGTACTTGAGGACGCTGGAGAGAGTCACTCTCGGAGAAGCTTTCATCTTGGCTGGTCTCTCCACTCCTTCGGGCAGCCGGCTCATGTCTGGAGATCAAAGAAGCCAGACTTCAGATCTCGAGTGGGATGTTAAAGATTACATGTAATGTTAATGACAACACAACAAATAAAGTGCATTAGAAACATCTTCACCAACCAATCCACATAAAAAGGAGATTGACGTTTCTCCATCGACCACTTCGATCTCTTGCACCCTTCCAGGTTCTCTGACTTCCTGATCATTCTTCTTCTGAAAGATAACTGGATTCTCATATACAAGCTTCCAGAAAAAAATGCATGTCCTTTTAACAGGACAGTTATGTTAAGTATTTTTTTATTACTAGGATAATAAGAAAACCTCTGTGACAGATCGGTAGGCCTGCTCCTCCCAATCTATATATATATACCTTAAACATGAGAAGAGAAGTATACATTTAAGAGAGATTAATTTTAAATTTGTATTAAGGACTTCTGAGTGGGACCACTGGTGAAGAACCGGGCTAAGAATTTGGATTGAGCCCTATAGTCTGGTCATCACCAGATTTAACATGGGCCAGGCCTTTGGTTAACTGTGACCAGAATTCTCCTGATGGTGTTATATAGCTGACGTTCTGATCGCAACATTGTCTTGCCTAGAGTATTCTTGCCTTGCAACATACGATACGTCCTGTGATCCACAGGAAGACTTGGACCTCTGCAGTGTCGATATTGAGACGTACATTCCTCCTCTAGTCATAGAAGCTTGTCCTCGCACTTTGGGGTCATAGTGTGGCCAATGGCAAGTGACTCTAACAGTGCATATTGGAGTACAGCCTTTGCAATCCTCATTTCATCTGAGTTGACTTAGGGTTTTCACAAATTCATAAATTAGTAAGGAGTTAAATATTCAAGTGTTATAGTAAACTTCACATGCAAAAAATCTTAAAACAAATTTAAAAATGTAAAATCTTTTAATCTAGGAAATAATTAATGTTTTAGGAATGAACAGTTAACCCACAGACACTGCTCTATCATTTCATTTTTTAAATGTTGTTTAACGTTCTTATCCTAACAATGTTACATAACTAGCCTGTAGTTTAAGCTGAGTGTCTGAAATTATGGATAAAAAAAGAACGTGAAGTGAAATATTTTTCATTTCGATTCAGTGCAGAATGTAATTTTGGAGCCAAACAATACCTTGTCAAATGCTACATAAATGCCTCTCAGCTACAGATAAATATTTTGAGCTGGACATATTTCTGAGTGGGTTGTATAAGCCATTAAAAGAAATATATATTAAATACATGTACAGACACATATTGTAGCCCTTAATGAAGTATATGCCATTTTCTCACTTGAGTGTTATAGAAAAGAAGCAGAAGAATTTTATATAATGGATTTGCTATCATGCACCGAAGAGGAAAACACACATCGAAGGAAGTGGATAACTAACAGCCTTTCATTCTGCCAGGACAATCGCTGTTTAAACAAAGCTTGCCAAAGAAAATGTAACCCCTATTCAATTCCACATATGTAAGCAGAACTCCAGGTTCATTTCCAGAGCAAATCAGACCAGTTTAACTACACTGACACTGGGTTTAGGGAATGTTAACTGTTGCTTTTTTAAAAAACTAAAAAAACTTTAAAGGCAGATCATTTAGCATTGAGGTTAGGTTTTAGTGTTAGGGTGAGAGAATATAGCAACGTCAATCAGGTGAAGAGTATGACCTGCAAATGTGTGGGAAAACAATTTAGCAGTAAGTCATTGAAGAAATCTCCACCTTGAAAACGGATACAGAGTATTGAAAAAATATTTAGTATTAGCCTGACTACACTATGTACATGCCCAGTGCTATCAATGCAAATACTGGCCTTAAGCTGAGAACAAGCAATTTACCAGAACCCCTTGATGAGATATTAGGTCGTAGTTCCTCTTTACTCCTGAGGGTACACAATCTAGGTACTAAATATATCCCTGGATAAACAGAAAATGGATTAATTTTAGGATTATCAGTGCAATGAGGTCCAATAGGGATTAGGGGCCTCTAGCTTCCAGATGTGGAGGTTTTGAGAAAATGGGTCGTAACAAGCTTGCCTGGCCGACTGTGGTTTTTAAAATACATCTGCCCTGACAGCGCTAGCTGGTGCTTTCTGAATTACATCTTGGTTAGCAGAATGGATAACATGGAATGCTGGTGAATGAAGAAGTAGGAATCCCTTACATTCCTATGTTGAAAGATAACTTGCAGTAAGAATAAACTCTGCTGTACAAAAATACCAATGAGTTTTCAACACCCAGTGTGACAGTTAATGAAGGTGCCTTCTTATTCATGGAACTTGACATTGCATTTCTTGAATATCTCCAACAACATTGGCCTTCCCATCTCAATTCTAAAATTAGATCATTCTTTATTGTGTTGTTTGCCTTTTCAAGCTTTTGCACTTTCTTGTGTGTAGCTTTTGTAGTTGTTGTATTTCATTACCTTATTAACTTGTATTGTCATCCAGAAAATTCTAAAAACATGCTAGACAAATGTATGGTCTGTTACAGGCTCATGTGTCATGTATGACAGCTCTAGCATAATTGGGTTTGTAAGCAATCAGAAACAAGAACACACACCAAAATATTGCATGAGTTAGTAAGAAATCCTATTGAGATCAGGAACCTGCTTGATTTACAACTCCACTACATGCAGGCAAAAAAAAGATTAATCGATACATAGGAGAGTGGAGAAGGGGAGAACTAACCAACCTGATTCTCTTTTTCTTCAGTAAGAACACTCTGTTGTTGCTTTTGAGTGGTTCACTGGCGCCAATTGTCCCAGATCTGACACACTAATGTACAGCAGTTAAAAACATTTGGATGCAACAGCACCTTACTTCTGATTGATATGGCCCTTCTGGCTTTTATGCGCCTGGCTAATGTTCAGTCAATATCCTCTGGTTAAAAGAACAACCTCAGGTTGACTGAGCTTTAATGCAGTGAGATCAATTCAGATCAATCAATATCCTAAGTATATCAGCAGCAGACACAAAGATGCTACAAGTCCCTAGACCTTTGCACAGCCTCGGTGCCTCAAGCCAGTTAGAGATGCTCTGCTGCTGTAGTACAGACTTTAATTAATCGTTAGCACTTCTTCTAAGAGGGAATGGGCACTTATCCCTAAGGTGAGTCACCAAAATTCAAATTAATTGCAGTAGCAGTACTAGGAGCCACTGTCTCCTTGTTTATGCTTTTAAATGAACTGGGTTCTGAGAAGCCATACTTGAGAGGCAACCCTAGAATTTCATCCCAGGAGACAGGAATGAGTGATGTGGAAACAGGAAATTTCCTCACAATTCATATAAAGGAGTCAAATCAGATGGATGTGTATCACTGCATTTTGATTCGTGTGTTGAAAGACAACACACAGGCTTTTGAAATGTCACAACCAAGAATGGTTTCTAGGAAGTATTCTGTGTACAAGATTTAAAGATACCTTTTGAATTTAATGCAGCATTTTTGGGGAGACGGTCTCTTAGGATTTGGCAGCTTTAACAATTTACTTTTGAGGCACGTGTGAGATTTTAATCTTTTTGAGAAGTTTAAGAATATTGACCTGGGGATTTGCAGAAAAAAAAGGCTTGTGCCTTCATTTAGTTCAGCAGGGGCAGCCGTCTTGGCAACAGGGAGATGAGCCTTGTTTTAAGTGATATCGGAGTAGGAGAGGGGAGTGACATTCTGATCCCAGGAAGTTGTGGAGTTGGTTTTATGGTGCGGTGTGGTGAGAAACTAGAGAAAACGGAGGAATATGAGGAGGAGTCGTCCAATTGTCCAGTGACTGATCAGTAAATCTTTACTAAATAAACGTTTCAGCCAGAACTTCGTTAAGTCTCATATAGCATGCAGTCTCCTAAAAACCTTTAAATTAATGCTCTCAGAACGATAGTGTTGGCAGTAAATATATATCTCCGGTCAATATGCAGGGCTACATGGTACGTATAGCATTCGTTTCCAAATTATACTGTACTGGCATGGGATGGCACTGCTGATTAGCTAATACAAGGGGAGGATAAAGAAAAAAAGAAAAGGGTGAAAGATTTGAAAGTCTGGGGGAAGGTAAACAAGAGGTGTGAAAGTTTCTGAGACCTCTCCAATGACCCCTTCAGAGCAGCACAGCAAAAGGTGTGGATATTCAGCTTGAACAGCATGCTCACCTTTTACTACAACCGAACACAAATTCAGATGTCAGCTCACAAACACACCTTCCGCTGCTTCACCAAGTTCTGAACAGAGCTCCTCACACGAGAGCAGCCTCTGTCCACCTAGCCAGACCTCAGCCTCTCAAGGCAATCCAACCCATGGACAGACAGACAAAAACAAAACAGGGGGCGCCGTGAGCACTGCATAGTCTGTGCGAGTGCTGCTGCCAGTTTTCCTCATCAAAGCACGTCACGAAAATGAAAACCTTCTACGTTGTATCGTTCTATCGTTCCTAGCCTATGTGCATAATGTAGACAGACATGAGTTCAGATTTTTAAAAAATGGAATAGTGTGACAATACATTGTATGGACCAGAAACTGTGCTACAAAGTGTGAATGCTGGAGCAGTTCAGAGCTGGAGATCTCTGTCCGGTCCAGGGCTGTAACACTGCATGCGGTCTTGCCAATCGACCGCGTGCAAATTACTCGCCCAATCAACAGACAAGTACTGTACAAAGCACAAGTGGTACATAAAATTACAAGGACTCAAGAGTGCTTTTAACCTTTTTATTTTTTATTTTGACCAGTCAGCACACACAACATTCACAACAGAAATGCATCACCAGAAATTGACGCACAAACAGAACACTGGAATGAGGAGATCACTGGACAGAGAAAGACAGGGGAGTTGTGGCGGGGGGGGGGAGAAATGTAGGAAACAGTGTGAACAACAGAGTGGAGGAAATAAAAGACAAACACACATTCACAAACAACAGTGAACCAATTCATTTCTAGGATCTTTTCCTTTAATGATTTTGCTCATCGGCTTTCCTAGCCAGTGATTCTTACACACGGAGTGACGCATTCTGCAATGAAGTAAACAGAAATTGAACCTTTTTTTTCCTGTTAATTTCCTTCATTTTGTTTTGCAATCGGTCTGTGCTTTCTGAGGAATAAGTGGGTGTATTTATCCTTGCACCTTCCCAGCCTTTGTGGTAAAATGAAAGAAAAAGCAAAGAACACTGCCCCTCCAGGTTTCTTCGCTGATAATTTGAGAACACTAATTTCTAAGATCTTCTCAGATTCTAAATGTTTAAGATCTGCAGCTGATGAGGTGTTCAAACTTACTACTGAGATCTCTCATTGAATAAAGTGTGTTTTATGGGTGCGAGATTACTGTAAGTATCAGAAGACTGTCACAAGTTCTTTTTTCTCTTTGGAAAAGCCCCACCTAATTAGTTATTCTTGGTTTGATTTCCAGTTACTACCACACATTTTGAAACCCTGTAAGACACCACACATCAAAAGCAAGAAACAGGACCACAGCCTGTGGGATCTCTGACTACATCACTCATACTCTGCCCACACAGGGTGTTGAAAAACATTTTCTGAAAAAGCAAGGTTTAAACATCTCTGTCCACCTTCAGAGCAAAAAACGAATTGCATTGAAAAAGACATAAACCAAGCAGAAAATAGCAGGATTACTCATGTAGTCTTACACTGAAGTACCTAGAGCATTCTTTATTAAGAACTGCACTTCAGCCATAAAAAGCATTTTTTAGGTTTGGCTCCCACGGAAAAGAAATGTATGCTCTTCAAAACCATGAAAAATTGATCTGATGAATTGTTAATATCAATATTTAGAAAATGTGCTTAATTTATCTTTTCATGATGAATCAAGAACTTAAATATAAAATGTTTATTTACCTGCGTTAATGATAAAGAATGAATACTGGAAAGACAGGGACAACCTGCCAAGTTTTCATGTTGATCACAAAGAGGGGAATCAGTTGTCTGGGTTCAATTCTACCAGAGATCAGGGCTTCACGTTAGACAGAAAGCAGGAACCTTTATACTCAATTAGCTTGCTGGATGAGAATCCTGCATCGCCCGCAGCTCACTGAAGCCAGATTGTTGCCTTCTATAAAGACTCAACCAAGCAAAAAAGAAATGTACAGTATACAAAGCAGATCTGGAGACAATATCATTGTAATACAGCAGATATACTGTATTATCTTATTATAATGCAAATATGAGCTTGAACATCCTGTGATGGAAACCTATAATAAGGGAAATGGTGGAAGAGGAAGAGAGATATCAGATTTAATTTGCAATTTTTTAATTAAAACATCAGAAGGCTTAGCTCACTAATCACATGCTTTACTACTTATATTCCCTAAGCTGCCCAAGAAACGCAACAACAATTTTATCAAAATTTGCAAGCTGCATGTTTTGATGTCTTTTTGGTGCCGGTTCACTAGTACAATAAATTAATGGGGTACTCAAGTTTTAATTCCTTAAACCCCTGTATGATCTATGGTATCTATTTAAAAACACAACGTCTAAAATCACAATACACTGATAAAGGTCAGAAATGACTGAATTTAATAGGAACAATCTAATGACACATTGCCACTACAGTCTCAGAAGTGAAAAGATGAGCTGAAACAGGCTGTGCTGTACCACTGAATCACAAGCCATTATAACATATGGGCCCACAGTATCCTCCATTAGTGTCGTATTCCTCCCTTGCTTGTAATGAGCAACGTTAGCATGAAAAGAGGCTAACTGAATGAAGCACGCAGGGATAAAAATACAGCACATCTGGTTTATGTTTTCCATTGCCAAGCAGGTACATTTTTAACCAATATTCCCTCGTTTTCATCTGAAAGTTTTGCTTCCAGTGAAAAACATCATGCACTTAGTACTCCAGAAAGTGCAGCGGCACTGCAATCCCTTCACTTTCCTATCATTAATAACCAACCAGTGCGGACATGAAAGTAAATAGGTGAATTCAATCAACAAAACAGTCTTTTAGTAGTATGACGTTCCAGCAATTAGGGTTACAAGAATGCAGGAAACAAGTTAGGAGGAGGAAGAATATTCTATTTTAATGCATATTTCATTTGAAACCCTCCTTCAAAAGAAAATCCTGCAATATCATTTGCTGTTGCTCATGCTCACACTTCTCGAGTGCCTCGTCTTCTCCTGACAAGTCCCGGCGACCTCTTTTTGTTTGAATTTCAAACCCCTCCTTCACCTGCTCCCGATACAGCCTGAAGATGTGCGGGCAGCTGAGACAAGGCGCCTCTCCTTGCCGGAGTTCTCTGGTTGGCACTGCCTGTGCTCCACATCCTCCCACCCACTTGTCTCACTCCCCATAGACCCCTTTCCCCCTCCCAGGGGTCCCCACCCCCCTTCCAAACCCTGACGTCTGTGCTGTGGGCTGACAGCTGCTCTAGGTGGGTTTTCTCCAGCCACCATACCCACCCCTTCACTTTTACTGAAAGCCCTTCTTATGCCAGAAATGTGTTTTGGTATAAAAGCAAGCGCAGCAAAGCCTCAATAGCATCTTTCCACTACTCCGAGTCCTGTTCACTAATTTACACACATCTGAGAAAGAGACCATTCTCTGGGACCTTCTGACCTGATTTACAGCTCTAAGAGTAGGATGCATGTCCCATGCAAATGCTGTAAGACGCGTTTAAAAAGCCTATTAAACACAGACTTCATACATTTTCTTGAAGAGATTATAATTCACATATTTTGCTTTAACTTTTACAGAAAAAAAGCACCTGAAAGCCTCTCCGGAATTGTCATCAAGTCCCCAGGTACCATGCCTTAACAAGCTCCTCCAGAATTATACTTGCAAATCTGTTCCCTTTGTTATTTGTACTGACGCAACCCTGCAGTGTCTTTTGCCCCTCTCAGGAATAATACATTCCTATATTGTGACAATAAGCTATTCCACAGCCCTCATCCTCATTTCTCAGAGCTGCTAAAAATGTTTCAGTCCATAAACACCCTTCCCTTCAATCAATCAGATCGAGTTAGCAAAAAAATATTTTTTTAAAGGGAATAATCCGCTAGCTCTCCTTACAGCAGCTTAGGAAATATTTCCTTTGCTTTCGCAAGCTTCATCACTGCACGAATATGTAATTTGGCACAGTGGGCCATGTCACAAATCTTGTACCCTGCGGTCAGCCTGAAAGCCAAGAGGAAAAAGTGCTGTTCCGGTCAGAGAATCAGTTAGAAGAGTTCTTTGTGAGGTATTTTTTGAAAACCAGCATATCTGACAGATCTGGAAACATCCTTTTGTCAAATTAGTAGGAGTCCATTGTACTTTCTAACCCATTTAAGCATGTACTCCATGAACGTTGACCTTTTATCCCAGAATTCTGCTAACCTAACTGGGATTTCTTTGTTTTCTTTTTCCAGTCTAGTTTTAGAGGCATCAACTAACTTTTCTAACACCATACCAGGAAAAACCCAGCTAAAAAAACTCATAGATGAAGGACAAATTTATGAAAATCCGTTGATGTATATTGGTGAATGACGTATCAAACATGGATCCTTTCTAAGGATATAGCTCTTCCAGACTATCAGCCCAGTGGTCACTAAAACAACATCAGGAATGCACAACTCAATACATTTATTTATCCATACAAAGAACAGTCTGAAGTATCCAGCTCAGACACCTGCTTCTTCAAACATCACAAGTACTATACCATCTTCAAAAACTTAAATCACAACTTAAAACAGTTCTCCACAGATCCCTTCAAAAAACAATTTTCAAAAGCATCCATTTTCCCCAATCAGAAAAAAATGTTTTTGCTTGTAAATTTATGAACAAAACTGCTCTTAAACAAAACTGAGTGACTTGTCTATGCCGTGTCAAGATGTGGAGAAATGGCTGTTGGAATAGTGACCATACAACACTATTGGAACAGACAGAAACAGCCAATGGTAAAGTCATCATTCTGAACGTTACAACAACACTCGGGTGTCACCTACTATCCAGAACCTGAAGAGGAACTGATGACAAAACAGCAGAGACCGGTGGTGCTCTCACTCCCTGACATTAATGCAATGGGCTGCAAGGCAAGCAATTAACTAATCGAGCAATCTGAGAAAACAGCCCTGAAAACCAAAACTCCATTTTGAACCAAACATCTTCGAAAAAATAGTGATTTCATTTGCTAACCACTTGTGCAAAATAGACATTTTTTATAGCTAAAATACATTTATCTCTATACACATAAATAGTAAAAATATAAGGATTGTATTATACACTTCTCATGTGTAATCCAAAAAACAAATACAAAAAAGGGGCGGGGAAAAAAAAGTTTAATTTTTGGAGATAACTCAGACAAAAGGTGACTAGAAACCAAAACAAAAATAAAACACAAAATAACAGATGTGGGGCCAGGTACAGTTTATTGCAAACAAAAAAATACAAAAAAAAGATAAAATAATAACAGTAAGAGACAGGGAAATGGCTGAAAGCATGAGTGAGTGTGACAGAAGTTAAGAATTTAAAGAGGTCTTACACTCTGCCTTAACGGCAGCAATGTTAATGGGCACAAAAGGTCGGCGTGCCGCCTGGCGCAGCCGGATGAGGTCCCGGCACATGTGGCGTGCCAGCTTGGTGAGCCGCGTGGCCTGCAGCAGGAAGGCCTGCCTTGTCTTCATGGAGGACTTGGGGCTGCCGCTGTTCCTCACCGGCACGGCGTGCGCAGACTGCCGGGGCCCGTGACCCCGGGACCGCGGCTCCTGGCGGGCGGGCGGGGCGGCCGGGAGGTGAGGGGGCACAAGGAGGGGAATGGCACATCGGGGAAAGGAGGAAAGGAGGCGGTGAGAGAAGGGGGCCAACAGGGGACGAGGACAGGACATGAGAAAGAGGGGAGAAAGACACCCGTTACTGCACTGCTATATTTCACTTCGAAAAACAACCACATTTTATTCACAAAAAGATCCCAAGACTCATGGAAACTCAAGGAAATATGAGCATATGGAATTACAGGCGAATTTGACAGCACTGTTTTATTCTTAGAGGTTGAATGCTAAATATGCATTCAACTGTTTTGGGAGGGGATGGGGGGGGGGGGGGTCGAAAATTAAATGTATTTCACACTAATAAAAGGTACTCACTTATGTGAGATACCACCAATTTTAAAGGCTGCATGCATAATGCAACAAAAGAATGTTGTGCATTATGAGACTGGGAGTAATATGCAGGGGTATTTAAATAATTTAGAATAAAAATTTAAAAGATCCCGGTTGAAATGACTTATTCTGGATCTCTGAAGAGCAGAGTACAGCAGACAGCTCAGGTCCTGCAGCTTCAGTATCTAAGGAAACTGAGGAAGGAAACAGGCTGCGTTTCACCCATTAGGAAGGACACTAAAAAAAAAAATCATTTCAGAAAGGGTAACGAATGTTCTGACTCTTGTCTTTCTCATTTGCAAATTAGGACAGCATCCCGCAAAATCTCTCCACCAGAGCAGCAGACAGTTGTTTCAAGGTGAATGAAAGGGCTTTAGCTACACAGATAAAGCATCTGAAATTGCCAGCTGCAGAACCGGACACACTAGGGCCTGAATGAGAACAGATGAAAATTGCCAGGGGCCCCCCGATGGAGAAGGTTGAAGAAAGTTCTTACGTTGGGGGCTGGGCTGGGGGACATCTTCTCTTCTCCTTCAGCTCGGCTTGGCATCTTCAGGCCCCCGTACTTCTTCCAGTACACCCAGCAGGACACACACAGACGACACTGCATGTTGGGGGGACCCCAGGAGTACCACTGAGGCGACTGCATGGCTGCAGGAGGAAACACCAGAGGGCCTTATTAAAATAAAGCTGGCGCCACTACACTACCCTTGCATTGTCCATCCATTATCAGTGACTTGCTTAATCTGGAGACTGACGCAGCAAACTGGAGACTATTCAGGAAGATCAGGGCACAAGAAGGGACTGAGAACAAATGAGAACTCTCCTTTTGACACAACACCAGTGTGTTGGTGTTCCTCCTAATAGGAACTTGACACAATGAAGCTCAAGGGGTCACTGAAATCTTTCAGGGTGCTAATTAGAGAAGGGAGAACACAGTACACATTCAAAAGGTGACACCTAGACACACTGCTGTGTTTCATCTCTTTAAACCACCAAAGAGCTTAAGATCCGAGCCTGGTGCTGAATTTGTTTCATTAAGTTGGCGTCACACTACATGACACGACACGACTGCCAGTCTGAGAGCGTGTCAAAATTATCGACTGCAGTTGCTGAACCTCACTGCCTTTTCTCTCCTAAAGGGTGTCAAATTATACGAATAGGAATCGCAGGCGGTGGCTAATTACACGATTCCCTCATGACTTTTCCCTCTTTTCACCAAATCTTGTATTGCTCCACGAAAGTACCGCGAGGTCGCCTCATTTTGGCGGCCAATCAACGTGGAGCACAAGAAGAGCACCGCACGAAAGTAAACAAACAACGTGGAGAACAAGCACATAAATATCTTGAAAAATTTAACACAGCCATTGTTTTCCACAAATAATCCTTCTTTATAAATATAGAACAAATTTACAAAAATAAAACACAGTTAAAAATATAAAACCAGTTTGATTTTATCATAGCGAGTCGCTGAGAGTCGTCGGGGCTGTTAAGAGCGCTATGACTGAGTAGCTGGGGGTGTCACACTACACAACCGACGGAAACGGGAGCGCACTGCGACCCTCTACAACTCGCCGGAATTTTCTTACGATTATGTAAACGAAGGCTACAACTGAAAATCCTAGGAAAAGCCGTGTAGTGTGATGCCGGCTTTACAAAGTTAACAAGTTCAATGAGACCCTGAGCCCTGCTTGAGTAGAGCAGTGTCTTTCAGGTCTAGAAGCTCAGCGCCCTCGGTTTTCACAGGCGCCCAGCAGTGCCCCCACACAGCGGCCAAAAGCGGCCCTTCCAGCGTGAAGTGACCCAGGTACTTACAGAAACAGCTCTCGCAGGCCCGGCCCAAGCCCGGCTGCTGGAAGCTGCCCGCCCCGGCTGCACCGTTCATCGTGGCAGTTTTACCATTACTTGCCGAGATCTGGTTCGGGTTGGGCTTGTTGCTGCAGAAACCGCGAGTAAAGAAAAGAGGCTTAGCCCTCCTGTTTGACACGAGTGAGAATTCAATAACGCAACAAGCCCAAAAGAAACCAGAGCACTAAATTTCATTATCAGTCTGTCCTGCCAGGTCCTCATGTCTTCAACTTGGCAATCTGATTCTTGCTCATTCTACACATTTCTAAGTAATTTAAAAAATTCAAGGGCGTTCATTATCTAAATATGGAAGGAAAATTGGTTCATTAGAAGCTTTGGGAACGTTCAGAGGCTTTACAGCGTTATCTCAAGGCCATTTAATAACTTGCACAGGGAAATTGTGGATAAAGAGCAGACCCCCAACCCTGACACAATAGGGGACAGCCTCAAGCAGCAATTCACATGCCACATGCATCAGCCCCCACACTCCTGAGAAGCGAATGGCCCTTCTCATCAGTGTCTCACACACATAAATGCTTTCTAACATGACTCTTCCCAATGCATTTGCCTCACATGAGCAATATGGCAACAGGCAAATGCAGGTGATGAACTGATTGGGAATAATAGGAAAATGTGACAACACTTCTAAAATAAGCTCTTCTTCTTTGTACGCTTTTTATTAACTGACATTCTCTGAGGTACCTGACAGGACAGCTTGTTACACGTCACAAGATCAGATTTCTTAATCTACTTTTGAACACACAAATGGAAGGAAATATACAGATTATTGCAAAAGACTCCCTCCTGAACCGAAGAAAGTAGCTAGACACTCCTGGGGCTTCAGAAATGTCACTAAAACCTGAGCAGATGCATAATTCACGATGTATTTGCCTTCTAATTCTGACAGTACTGTTTGTTAAAATATTAACCACCTGACAACAACATCCAGAGGTTCCCACAGTTCCAACTATTATCTTTGCATTAGTATTTTCCTCCACAAAATTCAAGCACCAAGTAATTCAACTCTTCCATCTAGCTGTACAACAAAATACCATCAATGTTTAGAGAATACAAAAGCATACTTACTAAGTTGGGATGTAAACTTGTTTCAGCTTGCTTTCAGCCTCTGCTGCCTTAAGTCGCTTCTAAACAAAACATAAATTAGAGCAAAAGTATTGAGCATCAGTTTCTAAATGTTTCCAGTTCCATGTACAAGAGAATAATTAAACAGTACCATCATGAAGAAAAGTTCTAGAAATATCATTATTCCTTACCAAATACAATATTGTGATAATTATAAGAAACAGAAACTGAAAAATATGGACAAAAATAAGACTGATGGTGCATTCTTAAGTATTTCTCAGACTTAAGTCAAACTTCCAAAGTTGTGAACTTGCATAAAGATCACAAATGTGCGTGATGTAAGAAGCATAAGTGCTGTGTATTTTAGTTTCTAGTAGACCCACCTGTTGCACGTATCTGTCGGTGGTTTTCCACATGTAGTAATATTCTATGATACTCGTCAGGGATTTCCATGGAAGCTTTCAGAAGAGAAAGACAAAAAAATCCAAATACTCAGTTACTAAACCACCCATCCTTCATAGGAAAATTTAATATAGACAAACATTCTCTCTAAAAACATCATTAAAGGGTCTATGAAGTCAAGAGGCAGGCTCAGTGTCAATTATGCTTCTACAAATGATCGACCCATCTTCAAAAACACTGGATAATAAACAGAAAAACCAAACTGCTTATAATTACCAAATGTAATTCTCTTTTCGGATTTCACTGCACACTGTAATTAAACAGTTCAACTCAACTAACCATCAGGCACATTGTGACAGTGACTGATAAAGAAACTATATTCAAGCACTTCATATTCAACAGTACTTTTCAATGTGGTTATATAACTGTAATTTATCATTTCCACACCTCAAGGCTGGGGTAAAACAAACTCATCCTTTGAAAATATCATATGTACTTTGAAACTGCTCTCATTTTCACAGGGAACACTGTGTGCGAGTGTTAGGAGCCTTAATGGAGAACAATAGTCACTGGTGGAGTCAAAGGGCAACCATGCTACTTCGACTTGAACTGAATAGCCGTGGATCCATTAGGAAATAAGGGCATCCATAAATAATGTGTGGCAGGAAATGAATAGCTCCACAAAACAACATAACTAAAACTTCAGAAATGTGTAGCTAATGAGCACTCAGAGTAAACAGTTTCCTCTGCATTTTGCATGAGAGCTTGTGCTGTTATTTCTACTTTATTTTCTTCCTATTTTAGCTCCCCTTTTTACTTAATCGGCCTGCCTCTCTGACTTTGTGCTCAAAATCCCCGCTCTCTATCTCATTTTCCAGTCCCAGAATCCCCACCCCCTCCCTGTCAACTCACAAAGTCTTGCCGGATGTCATTAAAGTCCTTGCCGTATTTCTCCAGTGCCTCTTCGAAGAGGTTGGCCTCTGAGGCGCTCCACTCCTCCATCTCGTCCCGGCACAGCACCGGGCCGCCCTGGGGCACCAGCACGCTGATGGCGCTGGACAGGTCGTAGCCGTGCCGGTGCAGGGTGTCCATGGCATGGAACTGTGGGGAACAGGACACTGTCCAGACCACACTTCACAAACAGCAGACTGCTCTGCTGCACCGATTATGCAGCATTATTAAGCGTGTTGGATTTTCCCTTTTATCCCCATAGAACTCAACCTCAACTTATAATGCAAATTTATTCAGAAAAGGGTTGCAAGCGTGGCATAGGCAGCAAATGGTAAAAGTTTATACACAAGAGAACATCCAAGCAAATAAACAAACCATTAGCTGCATCTTTTCAGCAGGATGAGAGGTGTCACAACCCTGATTTTAATTCATTGATTACAGAGCAAGAAACCCTTTTGACACAGAAGCAACTCAGTAACCACTCTGTAGTGTTTACAGTGCCCTAGAGCCATTCCCCTAGTTGTGCAGAAAAAAAAAGGCATTTGTTTTTTGCCTGTAAAAGCTTCTTAGATTCATGTACACGTATACAATACAAAAAAGGTTCTCAAAATGTTACTACTAAGTTGGACCAACTACTTCAGCTCCAATTACACATTTCTCTTATTACTCCTCAGGAAAAAGAAAAGTGAAGAAAAAAAGACCCTACTTAGCGTGCCAGTTCAGCCCGGAGCCCTGAACATGCACTCAGTTCGATTATGGTATCTTGCCTGCGTTTGGGAGGACTCCCCATTAGAGAGCTCACCATCTTGCTCTCTTGTAGAGAACAATATTTTCCCAGAGACGACTAGAATAACATCACAGACCTCTGAACCCTGGCTCAGCTCCCCTGGTTATCTGTGTGAAGTGCCAGTAACATTCAACTTCTACACCCACGGCTGGGTCTTTCAGGAATAACATATTGCCGGTTCTTCATTTTAACAGCTTATTACTTTTCTTTACTGTGCATTTAATGTCCAGCAAAAAAATACTTCTGCAGCTAAGCCAGAACCTTGAAGGGATAACGTTTCCCACTTCATTTTAGATACCAAATGACTTGACTTGTTTGGCACTACTTAGTGAAAATTAAATTTTTTAATTTTAAAAAAAGTCCTAAGGCAAATACTACGACTAAAACGACATTACAACACTGCAACAACATATTACCCTTCCTATCAATACAGGGCAGGTAAAATCAAGTTACAACCAACAGGAACCTAGTGACATTTCCATTAATACAGTCAGCACTGCATTTGCTTTTTTGCTTGGAGTGCTTTTAAACATTGAAGAAGAACAATTAGAAATAATGAACAAAGGGACTGATAATTAGAATCTAGTTAAAGAAAAACAAACAGTGGTTTAAGTGTTGACAACAGAGAAGATGGATTAATTGCTACCAAGCCGGATGTTTTAATCTACAATGCTCCACACTTCCCCCAATAAGCAACGCAGGAAACATTGCAGTTTTGTCCCCAATTCACGTTTAGATAATTTTGCTTAGGGGTTGCATTTTGTCTCGGTTACAACAATGGATTTACAATATTTGGCTTTTATGTTGTTTTGTTTTTACCAAATGACAAATAATATTACGGAACCGATTTTTGCTTAATTTTCCACTTCTACTCCCTGAACAAATTTTAGTGATAAAGTCATATCTTGTTTGGCAGGATGGGTACCTGTACCAGTGTTAGCAGTTATTAACATGTTGCATTTTTACTGCCCCACTAATCCCAATGATATACTGCCACCTGTGACTTTGCTTAAATAAACCTGTCCCAGATAATCGTCTTTCATGGTTCAACTGCTGCTTACAGCACTGCACACAGTCCCCTCACTTCATAAAGAGAAGTATATTCCCTTGAGCACATGTGCAGTTCATGTCTTGAGAAAACCAAATTTATAATAAAGAGTACTTTTCTCCCTGTTGAATGTCAAGGGAAAGGAGTAAAATGATGTATTCTACCCTTTGCTCCATTAAAGCAGATGGTCTCTCGTAAAGGTTTTGGTACTGCTGCAGAGCAACCTGCAATTTTATTAAGAATAACACTCTTTTGTATTCACATGTGTTCAAAAAACAAGCACCCAAGACTAAAAAAGGGGCGGTCTCCCAGTTTTTCAAAATCAGAAAAGAGCACTTGAAAAATATCAAGCGATTGTTCTATTATTGTCCTATCGATATCGGCATACACCCTGCTTTTGAAACAACCTGAAAGCATGCATTTTCTATATTTTCCTTTACAGCCGAATTTTTCCAGAAGTGTGGTAAATCGCTCTTATTTATGTCGATGATGCCACTCCAAGAATGTCCAGCATGAATCAATCCCTAGTGCAGACGATGCTGATGGAGATGAAAACATGTTGTCTAAAACATGTTAATTAGGGTTGGGTGTTTGTCATCTAAAAACACATGCAAACCAAACTGATAGAAAACTATGCAGAAATACTTGTGACAATTCAAGGGGAAAATGCTTTTGGAAAGAAAAACCTAAATGGTGCTACAGGATATTGGTATCATTATGAAGAAACCTAAAAAATGCATCATTAGACATCTAAGTCTTATGAAGAACACAATTCGCAATCCTGAAACAATTCAGACAGAGAGGCCTGAAGCAATGGACGAAAGTAGAAGCCATTATTCAATTCTGAGGAGGCTGAACCAACACATTAGGAAGAGAAAGTTACTCGATAATGCAAGGACTTTGCCTCACCTTGGAGATTCATTCAAGTCATTATCACCGGGCGGATACAGAGACAAACAAAAAGTTGACCCATGTTGTGCACCAAATGTACAAGAACCTCACAGAGAAGGGGGAGGCGAGGATGATTTCTGAGGAATTTCCTTCTCCTTTTTCCTGCAGGTGTCCCTGTGGCCAAGATTAGGAAAATCCCAGAGGACAGCTGCAGGCACTCACGCTACAGAACTCAAACAGCTTTGCACTTCTAATGAAAGTGACGCGGGGGAGAGCTCTTCCGATCAGAAAGAAGCTAAAACCTATTTATCACCCTGCGGCCCTTCTTTGTCCGGTGTGATTCCTGCCTTTGTCGGAGTCGTTTTCTCAGTGCAAACAGAACAAGAAGGAGTACAAAATCCTGGCACAGCAAGAGCGTTCCTGTCCCAATTTGCAGCTGCCTGCCATCCAGCAGTCTTGTCAAGGACAAGACGCACTGTAAAGAATAAATTCCCCCTCTTTGATGACATCAGTAGAAACAGAGGAACACCAGGCGTACAACAACAGTACAAAATTGTACAACATGACCAGTATATCCTGTATCTGAGACTCATCTGAGAGATCAACCATTCTCTTTTACCATCTAAGAGCGAGAAATCAGGAAATATCACAACATCCGAGCTTGTTTTCTTATTCAGCGACTACGGCACCCACAGTTTCATGACCACCCAGCACCTGCTCCACACCCACTCACCGGGGACACCTCTCTCAGGTACGAACTGGAACACCACAGGAACAGCGTATCACTGGCACGGGTTTGAAAGTGTTCCCCAAGGCCACACCACAGCAGGCTCACATTTCCACCGTGTACCAAACTGCTAAACCGAGTCCCGAAAACTCTGTGCACCGCTTGTGAGGCTGTATTATTTATTTTTTACTTGGGAGTATATTTCAAATTTCAAAGGCAGCTGTTTGGTCCTTTCCCCTTTAATTGTCTTGAAATTATGTATTCCTGTAAAATTCTGGGACTAGTGAACCTGAGAGAAAGACTAGCCCTTCAACCTAACCATGTTATGAGATGTCCAGAGAGGAGGAGGGACTACAGCTTTGCTGGCTACATTGGAACTGGGTGCTAAAGTCTCAAGACAAAAGAAGATGCCACGTGCAGTTATTAAAAAAAAAAAACATCCACTATGTTTTTCTTAAAGACTTTCAAAGGTTGGAATGCTTTATTAACTGTGTGTTGAACTACCCTGATGTTCTAACATTTATTTTTCAGTTACAGTAACACTGTAAAATATGGTCACCCATATGAACATTATAATGTCAATTGTGCTGAATTCAAACAGTATGGCACTTCAGTGAAAAACAGTTTTTGACTGTTTTAACTGTGATCACCTGTTTTCCTTGAGCAGGTTTTGAGCATGTTTAAATGTGTCACTTTACTCATGTTCACGCACTCTGGGCAAGATGACAAAAGAGAACGGTAACAAAGTTGCCATACTGTATTATGAGCTCTTCTATTTTTGATCATTACATGAATTGCCAACAATTATAGTGGACCGGAGGGGAATTCTGAATCTTTTTTTGCATTGCATTAACATTAAAAAATACTGGAGACAACACCTGTGAAATTTATACTGAGGACACAAACGTGTCTGACACTAGCAGAGCAGTAGGGAAAATAGGCATCCACATTAGATCCTCTAACAGAGTTTCCAATCCGCAGTGGTCTGTGGCAAAAAAGGGTTTTTTTTGTGGAAAATTGATCCTCCAGCTTGAAAAGCGTGAAAACCCCTGGCAGAAGAATAATTTCCCATGGTAGATTGTACAGTTAGCAGTGGCTGCAGCAAAACCGAACCCTGGGAGCTTACCAGCGTGATGTCCCGGGAGGCGGCAGCGGCGCTCATATGAAGGCTGGGCTGTCTGACAGAGCTGCTGCAGTCCAAGGCCCGCGCAAACGTCCCCACGGCACTGTCAGAGGAAAGAGAGGAGGCGTTGCCATTAAAACTGGGCACGGGCTAATAAAGCCCCCTGCGACGCCACATGTGCAACAAAGAACAAAGCTCAGATCGCCAGCGCAAGAGCTGGAAGGTGGAAGACGGAAGACGGCAGCCTCTAGTAACCCTACAAGCAAACCACGGATCTTACACAACCTTCAGCTCTCAGTCCTGCCAACCTGCGAATGGCAGCGCAGATGGCTCCCTCTTATCGCTCGCTCAGCTGTGCGATAACACTCAGATCCCTCCAGGTTATTTGTATATTTACACACAGACCCAACCAAGCCGGGCCTGCAGAGTGCTCACTTTATCCAAAATGTTTTGGGACTGAAATTGCACAAAGTGGCCTTTGTCAACAGGTTATTTCACTGATGTTTCAATGCAGATAAAATGATCTGTTCGCAGATAACAAACCATGTAGCACCAGCCCTTTTCTCAATCTCAGAGGCAATTTGGGAACAGGTAAGAAGGTAATTGATTTGGCCTGATCCTAAAATTTTAACGAAACTGAGTAACACAAGCAAGATAGCTATCAAGATCTCTATGACTACAGTAAGCATCAGCTCTTCCAAACCTAACTGTGTTCCCAAACAGACACAACACCACAGAACAAAAGAGATTTCAGACTCAGCTCTGAAAGTGGATACAGAGCATCACTTACAGAACTCCAAGGTATGTTTCTATTGCAAATGCCCAGGGCTGAAAAGCTCAAAATATCTCACCTTGTACTACTTACTCATAAACGTTGTTGCTTGTTCTTTTACACGACTGTCCTCTAATTTCTGTACACTACAGAAATCTGTTACTAAAACAAATAAGAGATGTCAATGATGCTGATGTGAAGCATGACAGGAATGCTCATGAGGAGGTATAGGTTGGTAGGGGAGTAGAACCAGTGACAAATGCAGCAGACAATCCCTCAGTTTCTGTTCCTTTCAGAAGATTTGTGCATCACCCATACAAAGCAAGTGATGTGATAGAGAGGTGAACGGATACCACTCAGAATTGACTAGAAAATGTATGAAAAGAAAAATAAACAACCTCAGCTCAACATTTCCACTTACAAAAATCGATATGCAATTTACAAGCACGCATGTATACAACAGGACATTTGAGTACTTATCTGAAGAAGAGCCACTTATCCATGCTGTTACTCATTGACTGAGTAGCAGGGAACAGCATTTTAAAATGTTTACAAATAGTTTTGGCAAAATTGTATTTTATTTATGCCTTGATTGTCCAATGGAAAAAGACCACAGACTTATAACCAGAATGTGGAAGGAAGTACCGCACAGTAGTCTGCTTAGATTGCTCAAAATTAAATCACCATGCTGTGTAATATAATAATCATTACTGTATGTGCTGCCACACTGCCTTCGTTTCCCAGCCTGGTTTGACTCTGGCAGTACAGTGTGGTGTGCTCAAGGACCTGTAAAACCTTCTGGTATAAGGCTCCTTCATTCTGGAAAACTGACAATATAATAAAATCTGTCATACCAAATTTCCAATAAGCACAGATCAAAATATTTAGAACACCAACAGGCTTTGTAAAAACAGTTTGCAGAAAATACACAAAATCTAGTTACAGATGTACTTGCATATATAATACGTAAATGTGTGTAAACTGATTCACCGGCCAATTTATTAGGAACCTCCAGTTTAAAGAACTGACTCTTTCAGTGGCAGACAATGCATAGAAGGCGTTGCAAGCAAAAGACTCATATTTCCATTGGCCAGAACAATCACATCACAAGCCTATCTGCATCAACTGGTGGAATATGGGGTTCAATCAGACACATCCTTGCTGAAACAGACATTGCTTTAAGAATAGGAAGCAAAAGTCTTATAGAATACATGGCAAGTCATGATGTTTGTGCTGTTCATGCTGCTTGCAGGGGTCCAGCAACATTTGATGGGGATTCCTGACGTTATGAGATTTTGGGAAGAGAGTACAGAAATAATAATTCATCTAGATTTGGAGCTTGACTGTTCTTGTGCTCTTGCTTGGAGGACAAATCTTCAGTTAAGCGCATAATATTTCAGCAGGCACTGCACTCTCGTGTTCCTTTTCTGGTTTCCTACTTAGTCCCTAATCACATTATTGGAAGTCCACTCTCCCCTCTCACGGGAACTGCTCATAGTGTTACTGGATCTGGCCAGCAGGAGGATCAGTGTGGGACTCAATGAGAAGTCTTGAGGTGATGAATTTAGTATCACTTTTATCACTGGATCCTTCTGGGCATTTTGGGAAACGCAGGTTATTATGTGTCCATCCACCATTTTTCTAAACACTTCAACTAATTTAGGGTCAAGAGGGAGCTGGAGCCTAGGCAGGCAAGCAGTGGGCACAAGGCAGGATACACCCTGGATGGGATGCCAGTGCATCACAGGGCACACACACCGATACACTTGCACTCACATCTGGGCCAGTTTTCCCAGAAACCAATTAACCCACCAGTATGTCTTTGGACTGTGGGAGGAAACCAGAGCACCCTGAGAAAACCCACGTGTACACGGGGAGAACATACAAATTCAAGGCAGATATCACTGCAGGAAATTACCAACGTTTCATCATTACTACACAAGTAGGGTCACTCCTGGGATTGAATCTCAATGACTACACTTTGAACACATCAGGTCACGCTTATATCTTGTATTATATAATGTGACCAAAAAGGGAAGATGAAGTTGTGAGCAATGTTGTGGGGAGTGACTTATGATTTTCATTTACACAATCACAATTAATGTTCTGAGTGTTGCTTTTTTATAATGCTAATTATTTTGCATTAAAATATTTTAATTCAAATCTATGTATTCATAGCACGCAATGAAAAAATAAGTTTAAAAAATCATATAACGCAGGAAATTTCACAAATTCAAACCTGGTGTGACATGCACCTGAGCTACGCTTTGGGAACCCGTTACAGAGCCAACAGCATGCTGATGCTTCATCATGTGGCTCAATATGGTCTGCGAACTGAAAACAAGTATGAAGGGGGAAAGGCAAGTCAAGAAAAAGTGTCAGATGTGGAGCTGAAAATTAAGATTTAGAACATGTTAAAGGGCTGCATGACAGTGATCGGGTTTGTGTGTATGTATGGCAAGAATGACCCTTCGATTTGTGCAGTTAGAGACACAGGGAAGGCTGTTTGTGAGAGCCATGCATCTGCTGTGTTCCAAGCCTAGTATTATTTTTGTAATTCTGTACACTGTACAGTCCTGTATTACTGTTTTTATAATAATTTAAACTACATACACATACTAGCACATTAACGATTGATTTTACTTAAGGAAGGGGAACAGGAGAAGAGAGGTGTTTTCATTAGATGTGATTTTGGGTATAGGCAAAATGTCAAGACCCGCATAAAACTACTGCGTAAAACACGAGTCTACTGTATTTCGTCTGGCACAGCATCCCGTTGGCCTCTGGAATTTGTTAAACAGCAAAAGCTATGAAACAAAGCAAAATATTGCACAGCACATAAGGACTTGCAATGCATAGTACAGTAGATCAGCAAAGAAGAAATGTGGAGCCTGCAGACTAAAACCAGTTCAGCTGTCCAGTATCTTCCTTAGCAGTGAAACCACAAGAATATAAAATCAACATCTTTCTCTTGCTATGGGGAGAAAACATTATTCCCTCTTAAGGTTTACTACCAAAATAAGTGCTCTTTAATAATTTAAAAATACTTAGTGGGTTCTGAATCTTAAAGGAGTCTAAAAAGGATTTATAAAAAGTACTACCCCTTTGTAATGTCACATATAAAACTCAATCATTTTTAATAGATGTTTTTAATAGAAGTAACAAGGTCTGCCCATTGAAAAGAAGTGTTTTTTAAACTTGTGTACGCAAACACAATCCAAGACCATTACGAAACAGTCCTGCGGATGAGCACTGTGAGCAGTCTTCTGGCAGCTGCGAGCAGGTAGTCAGGGTGCTCTGACCCAGTGTAAGGAAGAGACAGGCAGATAGACCGTCTCCATGGAGACAGGTAAGGCTAGGCTAGGAGAGGAAAACAAGCAAAGCGCGTTCTGGGCACTAAAAACTCAATTATCAAAATGAACAGGTTCACCCTCCTTCTGCAGCTGAAGGCTAAGCTGTTTGCTCAGCTTTTGAGTGAAAGAGGGGAAAAAATATAAATATATAATCCTGTCTGGTCCAATACAACGAAGCTATTCATCTTAGAACACAGCTCATAAACACAGACTCTACCAGCCATGAGCAAGTCCCTCACAGCATCTTTTTTAACAAACAATGATCTTTACAAAAATCACTAAGGGGAAAAAGAGTGTTCAGAACTATAAAGGTTATCCCCTCCGTTACATTAAAGGGGTATATGTTCATACACGCCCCTCCACAAACCATCCAGGAGCTGTGAGAATACTGGAGGAGTGTTCAGGAAGAGACAACTGCATTCCTGTTTTCCATTAGTTCACGCTGCAATTACCTCCATATTGTGATGTAAATAACAGCTTCGCACAAGGATTTCAATTACAGATATGTGTTCTAAAAGCTTTCAGCATACAATTTTCTCAAAACAGTCTTCAGGCATTCTACACTAGAGCTTGTTAGTAATAACATATCGATACCCCTTGGCTATACTGCTTCTAAGTGGCTGTATTTGTTATTTTGAGCATCATCTGTGCAATGACAGTCTTCTTCACAAAATACTATGGTCTTATTTTCTAGTATATCTGTATCATACTCGGGGAGAGACTATAATCAGAATACAATACCTGTTTATGGCCATTATAGTGTTACATCAGTATTTGTACCTCACATTTAAAATGTATTCTCTTCTGCATCTGTAGTCCAGCGCCATATTCGTTCAAGAACTCAGTATTGAGCTAATGTTACAAAAGAATCAAGCTTTATTTCAACATCAGCCACGAAAAGCACAATTTTATATTTTTTGTACTTAAACGTAAATGTAGTCATTTGTACATGCACTAAAGTATTATTCCATCTACTTATTCTACACTGAAGTGTACTTTTTATACAGTACCCTGCAACTCACAAATGGCAACCCCCTGAAACAAAGCGGGTGTGAGCCTGCCCAGTACCTGGATGGGAGACCTCCTGGGAAAGCTAAGGTTGCTGCTGGAAGAGGTGTTATTGGAATCAGTAGAGAGTACTCAACCTGTGGTCTGTGTGGATCCTATTATAGTGATGGGGACACAGAAATGTAAAAAATGCACAATCTTTCAGGTGAGATGCTTCACATCTTATGTCTCGGGAACACTGACACAGCAGCAAATTTAGTCTCCAGAGGCGTCTGAACATCTGTGTTGAGGTCCACTACAAAATCGAGGATTATTCGGTTCGTGATTTTTGATTGCTAACATTCCTTTGTTCTTAATACATACTCTTTGATCCAAAATGCCATCAAAGATACGAAGATGCAGCATTACGTGTATGTATTAAAGATGAATGTTATAGACAATTAGTGCCACTGGTGTTTGCAGAGCAGTAAAATGCGAAACATACTGTTCTGCCAACAAAGTTAAGATTGCTTCTTATTCAGTTAATGAGATTCTCAGCTGTCATCTAGAAATTCAATGATCCAATAAAGTTAATAGGAATTTCAATGAAATCCTTAGGAAAACATCTGGATCATTTTGGCCTGATCATCAGCACTGAGCTTCAGCCACACCTTGTCGCCGGAAGTTCGGATATCAGCCGTGACATTCGAGAAAAGTCCTTATGTAGAAATGCATCCGCTGCTAGTTTGTACCATATTATTTTTTATATAAACAGCATCAAAGTAATTAAGCTACATGGTAAAACTTGCTTTACAATCTTTCAATTCATCCGAGGCAGCAAGACGGAGGACCTTTTCCCCAATTTCAGGACGAGCAGGCTGCTACCCCTTCTCCATGAACTAGAGAGAGAGCCTGGGCCACATCAGAGGCTTTCCTTTTAAACACATGCTTACTGTACTTGTCATATTCAGCCAAAAGCCTATCCTTCTGCTTTCATTGGTGTATACGATGAAAACAGGAAGCATACATTTCAGAGACATATCTAGCATATATTACCTGCTTATTACATGAGAGGAATGAATACATCAAAGTAATGTAGACTGGACTTTAATACAATTCACGGATTCAGCTCAACCCAATGTATTACGTTTTGATCAAACCAGGCCAACCTGTAACAATAAGGTTAATCATACACATATTGCTGTGCAAGTCTTAGATACTGCATACATAATCAGAAATTACAATATAAGTAAGCAATGAGCACTCGTTTCTCTCTATACGCCCATTAAGCTGAAAGGTTACATGTTGTACTACAAAATACCCATCTATCAGGCTGAACAGCTATCTTAAAGCAAAGCAGCAAAAAGTTCAGCAAGAAATCACTAGAGATGTCTCTGAAACAACTATAAAAAGGCAACTACAGAAAAAATCTTAAGACTTCAGTGTAGCAGCGAACATGAGGTGAAATACATACCGAGCTACTACGAGAAACTGGTCTATCTGCCTGTTGGTTAGAGGGCAGTGTGGGTCCCACATCTTCACCTCCAGTTTGGACTGGTCCCTCTCATCTGGCTCTCCTGGAACACAAAAGAGCAACGGCGTTACAAGACCACACCACCACTAATCTTTTACATTGCCAGCTTCATAAATCAATGACTTTTTATCCCACTGTCTTAACAGAATAACCTTGTTGTTTTTTATGAAAAATCTGCAAGGAACTGTTATGTATAATAATGTCTACCAACAGACTGGGTTTACTTTAAATGCCTGTTTTTCTTACATTAAATTTTTTCTGCCAGATCTCTCTACAGGGTGCTTGATTTTTTAAAGGAATACATGAATATATAATTTTCTTTAAAAAAAAACCCCACTAAAGAGAGCATGTTAAAAACAGCTGCTGTACGTGACCTCGTATTTACAGGCAGATCCAGAGGACGCCCGAGAGCCACCGGGCACAGGCAGTGAAGCAAGAAGCCTCAGAGTGGCTCAGGACAGCTGGGCACTCGGCTGGGCCAGGTGGGCCACAGCATCCAGAGACCGCGTATTCAAGCCAAGGTGCTTCGCCAGCCCTCCATCTGCACCTCACGCCCCCCCGGGAGAGGGCACAGCTCCCGGCCGCTGGCGCCACACCACAGCCGGCTGCACGAGGACACCTCCCACACAGCGCCAAATGCCGAGCTCAATTAGCACCTCGCCTCATGACAGAGAGGCCGTCCCTTTGGGCAGAAGTAAAAGATGTCCTTCGGACGCACGGGAAGCCCTCTCTAGTGTGGTTCAATTCCACTGGGTGCCATTTCTCTCCAGCAATACTTGCTCACACTACTTTGTCTACTATAACAAAAATGTACCGTACCTATCTCTTCTTAAACCTCCTTAAAATGTCTAAGAAAAGGTGCAGAACAGAGAAGAAATGTTATGTGGCACAGAGAGGTATATGAAGCCTATGAAATGTTTACGTTGTTTCACTGGAAATCTTTGGACAGAGAGAATCTACCCGGCCTCCTGCGACAGTAAATCTATAACGAATTCAATCCACAACTTCAACTGCCACTGCAAAGGGAGTTAACATAAATCGACACACTTTCAGCCCTAGTCTTTGTCTAAACGATATAATAAATATGCAGAAAAACAAAGATCGCTTTCAAAACCACTACATGTAATCAAGCTAATATTATTAGACACTAAACAAGTCTAGTCCATGTAACTTCTGGTCCTTGGAACTGCAAAGGCTCTTCCATATTACTGACTTACAGCTACAGCAATCTCCCATCAAGGCAAGACCAGACTTTTTTTAAGCTGGGTTTAGTCTGCAGTCATCTCCAGACTGCGAGGAATTCTCACTAAATGTAAAGTGCGCTAGGTCGGCAGATGTTCTCAGACACCATACTGAGTGATCTGCTTTCCTGTGGTATTTCTCCTGGCTGGGGTCAGCGCTAATGGACTGCATTAGGCACTCAACAGAGAGTGGAGAAGACTTAGTCGAGCCCACTTCCTCTGATCAAGACAGCTGGCCCATGATGTCAACAGGCAGTGCTGCTCTGAAGCCCTGCAAGACAACTGTACTTACATAGGAAACAAAACCATCCAAATAAAGGTACTGTATTTTTTAAAGAAACAAACTTTTTAGTGGTGACTAGACATTGCAATTTAATATTACACAAAACTGTTCACCGGGGAGAACACAAAATTGACAATAAAAGTCAAATTTAAAATTTTCATAAGTCTGACCAATTTAATAAAATCTCTACACAAAATAACTTGACCTGTCATGGGCATTTTAAGAGCTGTTTAGTTCATAAACAAAAATTTTTAAGGACTTTAAGTATCCTAAAGGTTCCTACTCTTTTTCTAATTCCTAAAGGGTACGTGTGAAAAGAATAAACAGCAGGTTTCCTTTCAGTTTATTCTCTGCTTCACCTTTCAAAAAATGCAAATATAAATTGCAGAATAGTTTGGCAGGTGGAAGGAAATGAATAGGTGGAACAACCATGCAATGTGCAGCACCAGCTGAAATTCTCTTCATGTTTCCCACCTGATCAATCACTGGAGGGGAACAGGAGGCTCACTGATTTACAGTTTAATTTAACCGCTAATATGCCTGGCCATCACACTATTCTCATTATGCTGTTAAATATAAATTAAACCCACCAAAGTAATCCTACAGTTAATTTTATTCTTCATGAAACATGAAGAAATGTAGAAATTACAACTAAAAGAAAAATGAGAGCATTCTAATAGATACTTCTCTAGGCTCAGAACCGCAGATGAACTTATTTTCTACTCAAATTTTAAATGGCGGGAAAAAACCTTGCAGAAATATCCTCCAGACTGGTCACAAACCCAAAGCTACAGCAAAAAAACTTTACAGTTAGAACATGTAGAAAAGTGTAGAAAATAAGAAGTTTAATTTAATATACCTTAAACCAAAACCCTCTTTAATATTTAATAACACTGTCAACCATTATTCTGTTCAACTAGTATGATAATTATGTGCCACTCCGTGCTAATTAAAAATTAAGCATTCCATCTCACTTGTGTCATGGTACTAATGTGCTGCCAAAACCTATTAGAGATACTGAGCTGAGGTTAAACCCATCAACAATCCAGGTCTCTACAGAAACAGAAATAGGTCAACTATACCACTTCTTTTCATAGTACACTAAGCTTCAGTATACAATGTTCATAAAGTAACAGCAGTATAGTTCTACTGCTTTTTGGACCTTGACTTCATTGTTAAAACCTCTTCAACTCACTAATGACAGGCAACGAAAATGGTCCTCTTGAAAATGGAGATGTCACATCACGTAGCATCATGTCAAGCGCAGGGAGAACTTGAAAGTTCTACAACAGAAATGCAGCAGTCGGAAAACAAACCCGACTGCGGGGATATATTCACTGAACATTCCCGGCACCAGCTCACATGCCCAGTTTGGAAAGGGCTGGCAAGAGGACCTCTTCCCTTTTGATTTTTGTTATAACCTGTTCTGCAGTGTGTCCAATAGTCCAAACCTCTGTCCTCTTAAAAAACTAAAATAAAAGTTGGGGATGTCTTCCAGCGTAAATATCCTAGCAATGTCCTGGATAAGTGGGAAAATTCCCCAGCAGGCATCACAAATGCCATCCAACTGTGTCATCACATTGCCTTCTCATAAAACACTCTGGCACTGGTATTCAAATGAGCATACAACCAAGGTGACACCATTTTCCTGTATGTTTCTTTAGATCAATTAAGTATAGCATGTATTCCTAAACACAATATTTCATTACATCTGCATTGGTATTCCTCTCTTAGGATTGAGGTTTTATATAAACACTATATTAAACAGTATCAGTGTCTTCCAATCTATGGTAGGCGTGCCATTGTTGCCAGTTATCAATTGCAGGCTTTTTTATTCATTCCTTCTTCCAGATCCATATTCCTCTCCTACCGAGGGATTTGTTTAGCAACGTCACATCTGCTCATGTCAGCCTTGCTCCCACTAAATCAATTCCACGCAGCTAAGTCTTTCAAAAAGAGTAAATAGAAGGACAAACGCATTCAAGTGAGAACCTCCTTCAAACACATTTTTGCTTGCAAAAGAGGTATTTAAGTTGAAAAGGTCAAAAACCGCTGAGTAAGATGTCTCCGTCCGTCACATAATCAGTCATTAGCGTGACAGAGGCATGTCTTTATGCATTGCTCAGGTTTCGCCTCCTGTGAGGAAAACCTTGTACTTATGTGTCAGTAATGTCCCAAAACCCCAGCGCCATGATGCTACAACCATACTACAAACACCTTTAGACTCTCTAAGTCTGTGCAGACAGCAGAACATTATGCTTGCAAAGGTACAGCAATCGTACTGATGCTTCAGTGTATACAATGGTAGATGTCTGGTATCTCCTTTGGTTAGACATGCTCTAATGACACAGTCTCCCATGATACCCACATCCCACTGCATGGCACACTCCTCCACACCCACACAGCTTTAATACCTCCACAGAATGCTTTGATTAGTTAGCTGATTAACTCTCTCTCAGCTCAAGCTCGGGTACTTCAAAGGAAGCACACAGAACCAAATCAATACAGCCTCTTCTGATTAATTGTCATTTTTTTGCCTTTTCTTCATGAAAATAAGTCAATTATACATTCATAAATGTTTTAAGGGACGCAGATACATTTAATTAGAATGATCAGGTCATTCATCGATGTTGTTCTGAGCTGAAAGGCTACCGCAATTTGCCTGGTTTTGTGACAGGTGGATTATTTTACAGTCTATTAAAATCACTGACTAACTAGGCTTCCTACTTTGCTATATAGGAACTACAAAATAGGAGCCACTTGAGAAAACGTTTTGATTTTCACCCCAATGCAATGTCAAATACTCAAGAGTCAAAAGATATTAGAATAATAAAAAAGTATGCTTGTTAAAGTGCATTTTTGTCTCCAACAGGCACTGTGCTGACTTAGTGGCAACAGAATAAACCCAGACACCTAAAGTAACTTCCAGGTAGGATGCGTAGTTACCAAACTTAGATACCCGTCTCCCTTAAAGTAATTTAAGGGATTATTTATAGAAAGCAAGCTAATTAAGTGATGTTTCTTGTGAAGCACTGCACATGGCGAGGACATTTCCAACGATTTCTCAGCAGGCTAAATCTGTTGCAGTGCAGCTGGACAAGGCGCCCACTTCCGAACCTCGTGAAACAGTCATGCACTGCTAGATCAGAAAAAGGGAAAACTGAAATAATCTGCATTTGACGGGTACAAAAAAACAGTCAAACTGTAATGTTCATTAATGCTCAGATACTAAGACAGCTACAGTTATATGGCTGGAAACTATAACCAAGTACTTAACGAAGTTAAACAGGACTTTTAAAACCAAACACCCCATTGTTTCTTTTATGAGTCTCAAACACAATCCTTAGGTACAGGTGGATTATTAAAGGCGACAAAAGTGATCAATTAAATTCATCCTTTGATGGCCGTTTACTGTCCTTTTAAAAAAGGTTTTCCTGACACATTTTCATAGGTTACGTTCATCAACAGGACCTCTGGTCGATTCAAGTGATGACCTAGGACCTGAAAGGCCATTTGAGG